CTCTTCCCTCCCCCTCCCCTTTTTATGAAGATCACCCACTCTGAGACCCCAGAGCTAATTCTCCCCTGGCCTCCTTGTTGGCCTAAGTAGGACAAATTCAGCTAGCTAGCCCTGTTGATTATCTAGTGCTTATTAGATGGATTTCCCCTAAATTGATTTCTGAACTTGGAATTTTATTGTTATTCATGTTTTTATACTGTATTTTATGCTGCTTTTACAATTAAATGTTTTAAATTTGTTGTTAGCCGCCCTGAGCCCGGTTTTTGAACTGGGAAGGGCGGGGTATAAATAAAATTTATTTATTTTTTATTATGTGCCTCCTCCACATGAGGTCCAGAGGTCAGCTCTCCGGTTGTGGGAGGCTTTCCCCAGGCAGGTCCAGGGAGGTTTGTGGCAACTTCATCACACAACTTCAGGCGCCAGGCGAAAACGTTTCTCTTTAACCAGGCCTTTCGCTAATCAACATCCGATGCCCTTTTAAAAATGTTGTGGGAGGGGGGTGTTATAGAAAAAATAAGGGATTTGGTTTTTGCTGCCCCACTCCCCAAGAAACTGAGTCCCCTAAGTCCATGATTGGTCAGAGATGAATGGATGGTGGCAAGATCCATAGAAAGCAAGGCAGATCTTTATTTTTCCGGTTTCAACATAGTTCCCTCCCCTCCTTGCCAGGAGGTAGGAGAGACCCTGAACAATGGTGGGCAAGCCCCTATAAAGACTTTGGAATCCCCACCATGATACTTCACAGGGTGACCACAGGCCAGGCACCACCTCTCAGCCTAACCTACCTTGCAAGGTTGTTGTTTGGATTAAATGAGGAGGGGAGGGAACCATGCACACCACCTTGAGTTCAGTTAATAATAAAGAATAACACAGCGGTACCTCTAGTTACGAACTTAATTCGCTCTGGAGGTCCATTCTTAACCTGAAACCATTCTTAACCTGAGGTACCACTTTAGCTAATGGGGCCTTCCGCTGCCACTGTGCCGCTGGCGCACGATTTCTGTTCTCATCCTGAGGTAAAGTTCTTAACCTGAGGTACTACTTCTGGGTTAGCAGAGTCTGTAACCCAAAGTGTTTGTAACCCGAGGTACCACTGTAAATAAAATAATAAAAATAATAGTTGGGATTCAAGACCACTCTGTTACGAATGTTCCATCTTTCTTGCCACTTGCCAGATGGAACCATCCCCCCTCTTCTCCCCCCCCCATATGCTGTTCTGGGGGTTCTCCCATCACACACACACACACACACACATTGCAGGGGTGTAACGGAAAGGAGGAAGCCCCATTGTGCAAGGACAAGTCCTCCCATGGTGCTTTCACTGATGGTGCACACAAGGTGAATCTCGCCCAGTCTCCACAGCCTTGCTCAGGGTAACTTCCTCATGTAAAGATGAGAGTCGAGGGAGCGAAAATGTTTTTGAACATTTGGTAATAACATTTGTCAAAGAGCCAGCTGATGACTGCGTTCCTTTGGTATGCTCTCTTACGGCATTTGTTCTGATGACGCCCCTGGAGCCCTGGAACAATTTCACAAACACAAAACTTTCCAAGTACATTAAGAACCTGTCAAAGACTTCACCGTAACAGCTTTTCATCTTCAAGTACCCACCAGGGTTGCCTCCAGACTGTCACTGTTCTGCAGGAGCGGTTCAGTCACATGCCAGAAACTTAAGTTCGCACAATTAAAGCCTATTACCCGCTGCCTTGTGGGACATCTTCAGCAGAAGAAAAGGCTAAGGAGTAAACTATGGTTGCCATATTTCAAGAGGTGAACAAAGTTGTTGAGCTTTTAGGGGGCCCCAAAAGAGGAAGTGTCTGGGAATTCCCGAACGTATGGCAAGCCTAGAGTAAACGCCACATACAGCCTTTCTCAACCTGTGGGTCCCCAGATGTTGTTGAACTACAACTCCCATCACCCCTAGCTAGCAAGGCCAGAGCTCAGGGATGATGGGAGTTGTAGTCCAACATCTCGGGACCCACAGGTTGAGAACCGCTGCATCTGGAGTGGAGTCCCTAAGATGGTTGGATGACGTCTTGTACACCTCCTTCCAGTAATCCCAGCTGCCAAGTTGGTGCCAAACATATTGCTCGGCTTTCCTTTTGACAAGCAGAGACATCACCTTGCCAACAAAGGTCCAGTAGTGATGTATGGAAGTGAGAGCTGGACCATAAAGAAGGCTGATCACCGAAGAATTGATGCTTTTGAATTATGGTGCTGGAGGAGACTCTTGAGAGTCCCATGGACTGCAAGAAAATCAAACCTCTCCATTCTTAAGGAAATCAGCCGTGAGTGCTCACTGGAAGGACAGATCCTGAAGCTGAGGCTCCAATACTTTGGCCACCTCATGAGAAGAGAAGACTCCCTGGAAAAGACCCTGATGTTGGGAAAGATGGAGGGCACAAGGAGAAGGGGACGACAGAGGACAAGGTGGTTGGACAGTGTTCTCGAAGCTACCAGCATGAGTTTGACCAAACTGCAGGAGGCAGGGGAAGACAGGAGTGCCTGGCGTGCTCTGGTCCATGGGGTCACGAAGAGTCGGACACAACTAAACGACTAAACAACAACAACATCATATTGGTGAAACTTAGAAGGGGGTCATTGTCTGGGCACCCCAGGACCTACCTGCACTGCCCAGGCTTGTACCCCATTCAGGTCATTCAGTGCTGCAGATGCAGCGAAAACAATGCAGGAGACAGCAGTTATGAGTTACTGGTCTCTGCAGCCACTTCAGGCGCTGTGATTCTCCAGAGGCTGGACTTCACCGCCAGAGGCACACTCCATTGTCTCTCAAGATGACAACAAAACTTTCATCCTCTGTGGGAAGCGTCATAGCTCAGTGGTACAGCAACTGTGAATTGCACTGGGGGGCGTGGAACTATAAAAATTTAGAAGAGGAAAAGGACTCTTGGGTACCTCATGCACAGATACCTTTGCCCCACAAAATATCGATGTAGATCTCTTTCTCCCAGCCTTTTCAATTAACCTCCCCTACTACTGGAATTGCTGAAAAAGAAGCATTTGAGAGATTTAACACAGGAGTAGTGTGTTGACACTTTAATATCTCTACAGAGGTTCTGGCTTGATTTTTGTTTTGGCTGTTAAGATTCTGTTTTCCCATAAGCTGTTATTGAAATGTGATTGAAATACTAACATTACTCCATTGCAAAGAATTGTTTTTATGTTTTCGCATATTGTTGACATGTCTATGGACAAGAGCACATTTTTTAAAACATAATAATAATTGCTGTCATTGCTTCCATTCTGAACACGATTTCAGCTGCGGAAAAGTTCTTTACAGATTAAAGTCTAATCTAATCTCGGCTGTCTGAGCAGTGTCTGTCAACAGCAGTAGCACTGGCTGGGTCAGGGAACCATAGGATGATGTTTTCCAATATATATTTTACTGCCTTTTTATATAAAAAAGTACAAACCCTCTAGAGAACATTCATTATTGTTTGATATATATGAAATGCTGTAAATAAATGAATCTTCCTGTTCTTGTATTGGCAGGTGCAGATAATCAATGCTATGTTGGGGCCTCCCCAGCCGGAGAAGGATGCCCGCACACCAGCAAGAGGATTCATTTACCACCCCCCTCCCAGTTCAGCTCAAGTTTGTTAACAAGCCCACAGACCTCCAGATTCTATCTGCCCCCCCCCAAACCGAACTCCATATAGTGAGGAGAAAAAAAGGCTCAAATGTACAAGTAGCTTATTGAACTTTTTCATTTAAAAAAAAAATGCTCCCATGGAGCTTTCTAACCTCCTCTCCTCTTGTAGAGCTATCCAATGTGGTGGCCATTAGTGCCTCCTGTCCTGTGGGTGTGAGATCCATAGTTTAAACTATGTTCTGTGGGAAGGACTTTCTTTTTCTCTTTCCTGGATCTGCCAACATTCAGATTCACTAAACGTCCACAAGATCTAGCTTTAGGTGGGAGAGAAAAAACTTTTCCCCCCACCCATATTTTCGAGTTAGAGGACTCGAAAAAAGGTAGAGGTTATCCCCTCCCCCCCCCCCCCCGATCTCCACCTTTAAACAAATACAAGCACCACTTGGCTTGAAGAAAAATTCTGCGAAAGTCAATGTCTGGCTTAGTATTTTGGGTACGCCCCAATAAGCACCACTGTCTCAAGCAGCAGATCTCACTGAACTACCAAAGAAGGAACTTTGCAACTGTAGTAAAGGAAGCACCTTGTGGGGGGGGGGGGGTGGACTATATTTTGGAGGGGAAAAATGAACAAATTCCTATGCCCCACAAATAACCCAGAGATGCATTTTAAATAAAAGGACACATTCTACTCATGTAAAAACACGCTGATTCCCGGACTTTCCACGGGCCAGATTTAGTAGGCGATTGGGCCGGATCCGGCCCCCGGGCCTTAGGTTGCCTACCCATGATCTACACGTATACCCACTTCCACGCATGGACGTAGCCAAGTGGGGGGCAGGGAGGGGCAGATGCCCCCCTAAATCAATAAAATTAAGAAAATACATAGCAAACTGAGGTTCTGCCCACCCCACCCCAACGAAAGACTCCTACGCCCATGCTTCCACGGACCCTTCTATTTTCACCAATACGCAATTAAAATAAACCATATGAGGTCATTTAAAAGAAATTACAATGAACGGGGGAGAGAAAGTCATGAATAGAAAGTTCTTGTTTCCATTATGCCACGAGGGATTTTCAGTTCATTTAGGACGCAATCCTACCGAGCGATAGGATCGCCCATCTCATCCATTAAAGTGAGGGCAAAATTGTAAGGGCGGAAACAGCTTCAGCGAGCCGCCGCTGCCATGGCTACGGAAAGCGACGAGGGACCATTCCCAGCCGGCGCCGGAGCGTTCCCAAGCGGTTGCCAAGGGCAACAGGCGACGCCTTTTCCTCCCCGCTCCCTCCCCACTGTGAGGGTTCCAGCTGGGGCTGAGAAGGCGCTCAAGTTCTAGATGGGGGGAAGGCCTTGAAAGCGACGTCGGGGGAGGGGTTGTTCCGGGGTGGGGGAGGGTTTGTGGGGTCCGGGAGGAGGGTTAGGGTCTTTTAAGGGTGTGTTTCACCGCCCTCTCTGGGACTGAGCTTAGTTGTAAATAAACCACTCAGTAAGAAGGGTCGTCCCAGTTAGGGCTTTCTGAAAGAGAGGAGGGGGCTGGGAAAGAAGCCTCAAGTTCAGGGGGTCTTTATAGTAAAGGGGGTTCAGTAGGGGTGATGCCAGCTGGCGACTGGCGTTGGGAATCTCAAACAGGAAATGGTCGAGAAGTCTTAGGGACTAGAATCTTGTCCTGTTTTTAAAAGGTGGGGTGTATTTGGGCCTCGAGTTAGCACTCTAGAAAAAAAGGGGGAATCAGTGGGGTTGTTGGTAGGGAAAACTTAGGGGTTAGAATCTATTTAAAAAGAAAAGAGGATAATTTGAGCTGAGATCTGGTTGTCTTTAGCAGTAGGAAGATTGATCAGTAGGGCAGTAGAGTGGCCTCAGGAAGGACTGGATTTGTGTTGGGGTGGGCCCACCCAGGGCCTGTGTTTAGCAACTTCTTAAAAGAAATGATGAGCGGAGTGGTTTGAGACAGGTGGCAGTTCTTAGTTGGATCTGAAGGGGAATTGTGCAGCCTTGCTGGCATTTTAATTGCGGGCAGTTGCTGTCAGTCAGCCCTGGACAAAGACGAGGCTGTCAAATCTGCCTTGCCTTTTCAATTAGTTACCTTTCTTTGGGTTCCCAAGGCACAGAGATGTTTATACCTGAGCTCCTTGCAGCAGCCCGACTTGCTTAGTGGAATCATGGTCCTAGTTTGATGTGAATTGAAAGTGGGAGTTGTGCGTTTGTTGTTATTTCCTACTTGTGAGTGGCTAAAGAAAAAAACCCCCAAATCCGCAGCCTTTATCTTTTGAAGCTGCATTTTATCCTTCCAGGCGCTGTTTGTGGTGTGAGGAAGGGTACCGTTACAGTAACCGAAACGAAGGTTCAGAGGCCGGGTTAAAGGAGTGGTTTTTCCTAGGAAGCGAGGTGGCTCTACAACACCGTCAATATGCCTATGCACCCAAAGTCAGACCCCCGTTACTTTGTCGTGATCCGGCCTCTGCCCATCCCCAGCCAGAAAGGCCTCAAGGTCCAAGCTCGAAGCAACACCATCTACAACTGCTGGGATGTCACAAGAGAGCAGGTCTTCCGGGAGAACTACCATCGGAGAATCAAGCAGCTCACGCAACAAGGCTACTTTACTCCCAGCTGGAAGCCCTATCAAGATTTTGGAGACCCTCTTTACCTCGATCCGAGGAAACTCACCCTTTACGGTCTCGGACAGCTCCCCTTGGTAAGCACAGTGCTCTCTTAGTATGTTCTTTGCTTGTGATATTAAAAAGTAGGTGGTGGACCTCATTAAGCCATAGAAACCGCGCACTGAGGTCCAGCTCCGAGGGTCTTCTGGCAATTCACTCACTGCGAGATGTGATGTTACGGGAACCAGGCAGAGGGCCTTCTCGGTGGTGGCGCCCGCCCTGTGGAACGCCCTCCCATCAGATGTCAAGGAAATAAACAACTACCTGACTTTTAGAAGACATCTGAAGGCAGCCCTGTTTAGGGAAGCTTTTTAAATAATTGATGTTTTATTCTGTCTTTAATCTGTTGGGAGCTGCCCAGAGTGACTGGGGAAACCAAAAATAGTGGTCAACTGCAAAGGGGATTCGGATATATAATTTGGCACATTTTACTAGAGAATCCTCTGCTATTCTATTTTATGCAACAAACAATCTTAGTAGTTGTGACCGTGGTTTATATTGTATGTGTGGTGCCCAATGATTTTTATGGTTATTGCTGTTTTTCCTTTTGTTATTTTTCCAAATGATGCCATGGCCTATGGGTAGCACAATAAAAGTCGATGATGATGATGATGATGATGACTGGGGAAACCCAGCCGGATGAGTGGGGTATAAATAATAAATTATTATAATATTATTATTACATGTGAGACATGATTATTACAGCAGGTAGCAGTGGTTGCCAGGTTCTGAATGCTGGGCAAAGAGACCTGAAGAGGCCCCTGGGCCTGAGTTTTAAAGGTTTATCTAAAGAGCTTTCAAGTTTAACTAAAGAGCTACCTTCACCCCTGTGATCTTGCCTGCATGTTACAGAGGCACTGTAGTATGCTTGCCACTAAGATAAGCTAGGAGGGGATTTTTGGTGGTGGCTCCACTGCTGCGGAATTCCTTTCCAATCTAACTGCACATGTCCTCAAACAGGCCTTCCAAAATGTACCTATTCCAGGCTGCCTTTCCGTAACAGTGCTTTTGTGTTGCTGCTTTCTGAGCCTCTTAGGATTTGTTGCTTCTAATGTATCGTAATATTTCCCATCTGAACAAAGGTGCCTCCTTGTGAGGGCTGCATGCAAAAAGGTGACCAATAAATACTTGAATACTGACAACAACAATGGAAGGCCAAGTAGAAGAGTGTTATAAAAGCAAATAAAGGTGAAATTTGGGGGATCCGTATAGATAAAAACAGGGTCTGATTTTATATGGCGGGAAAATACTGGGCTTAAAAAATACGTCTTTACAAGGCACCCGAAGCAACTGATGGTTGCTCCTTCATATATAGGTACCAGGAACCTCTCTTTCTGGCTGATTAATGGAACAGGACGATTTGTGCCCCTCAGAGAGCCTGCGTTGTCAGGTTCAAAAACTCAGGTGTGAGTTTGGGGTCAGCCACCCTCAGTGCTGGCCTAGCCCCAACATTTCCCCTCCATGTTTAACTCGGTTTTTAGAGTACAGCGCCTCTAGCCTACTCTTGAAAGTGCTTGCTGAATGCAGTCGGTTCTCGCCCCCCTCTCTTCTACAGCTGTCCCCAAATGGCCCAGCAGAGCCCTGTTAGTATTCATTTAAGGACTGTGAAATGACCCATTTTGGTTTTAGAATCCTGGCTTCTGCTCTCCAGAGATGGGCGTGCATTAGGCAGGCAGCTCTGATTCATTGAAAATCAAGGAACGTTGCGTCCCCAGACAGGCTTTTTGATTACCTGAGTGTTCCAAGCTCTGTGTTAAAAGGTCTGGTTTGATTCCTTAGTGAGCCGGCACAAGGGGATATTAGTCCCCTTTTTATCCGTTCAGAGAGTTAATTGCCATGGCAAGCTTGTCTGCGATACCCAGGAGCCGGCTTGTTGACTTCTTCCAAGTAAAGAAAGGTGACTTTTTCCTCTCTCTCTCTCTCTCTCTCTCTCTCTCTCTCTCTTTTTCTTTTTTGGACACACTCAAAACATTTCTGTTCTTTTCAATTTGAAGCATCATGAATGCTTCAAGCCTACTCTGCGCTTGTAATCAGATCCCGCTGAGTAATTGTGTGCTATACAGAAAGAAGATGGGTAATGAGATGGGTAACTACATCTATCCAGGAAGAAAATGGAGCCATTTTTGTTGACTGGCGTAATTTCTGCACCTGTAGTTAGATCCCTCAGTTGGCAGGCTTTGAATTAAGTGGGGGCTGAGGGGTCAGCAGCCATGGCTCATCCTGCATGCGCTAAGAGGACAAAGGGCTCTTTAGGACAAATGGCTCTTTAGCCTACTCTTTCTTGGTCAGAACGGCAATACAGTTGTACCTTGGAAGTCGAACAGAATCCGTTTCAGAAGTTCGTTCGACTTCCAAAACGTTTGAAAACCAAAGCACAGCTTCTGATTGGCTGCAGGGAGCTCCTGCAGCCAATCAGAAGCCGCAGAAGCTTCGTCGGACGTTCGGCTTGCAAAAATAGTTCGCAAACTGGAACAGTCACTTCCGGGTTTGTGACGTTGGGGAGCCAAAACTGGAACTAAGCTGTTCAACTTCCAAGAAACGACTTTAGAGGCTTTGGCAGACATTTTATTGCATGCTGTTTCATTTATTTATTTAAAGGATTTATATACTGATGAATCTTCAATGCCTCTAATCGGTTTGCACAATATATGCATTAAAATTACCAGTCAGAGCAGATATTATTATTAGAAAATATCTTGAAAATAAAACTGCTGAGCCTCTGAGAATTCTTGGAGAACAGGTAAGGTCCCTGCAAATTGTTATGTACTGAAGTTCTCACCCTGGGCCAGCAGGAGGATACTGTAGATAGTTCAGATCCACATATGCAAATAAGGGATCAAAAGTGACGTTCAGTGATTGGATAGTTACAGAAAATGGTTACTGTTGCGTTCTAGTGGAGCTCTATATGGTAAGCAGGCTGGCTGAACCCTTCAGTTCAGTTCTGTTCTGGCCTGTAAATAAACAAGAGCTGTTTGAAGAATCGCTGTGTCGTCTGATATGTTCACCCACAACTTAACACCCATCTTCAAAAATGGGGAGAAGATTCAACCACATGATTTCGATATCAGGAAAGGTCCTAGAACAGATAATTAAATATTCTGTCTGTAAGCATTTAGAGAAGGATGCTGTGATTACTAAGACCCAGCATGGATTTCTCAAAAATGAGTCATGCCAGACCAATCTCATTTCTTTTTCTTTTTTTGATAGAGTTACAGGTTTGGTGGATCAGGGGAATGCTATGGGCACAGTGTATCTTGATTTCAGTTGGAATTAACAGGTACTTGTAGAAAAGAAGTAAAAAAGGGGGGCTAGTAAAGGGGGGAAGGCTAGTAATTTTTGTATGCCCATTTGCAAGGCTGAGTTTAGCTGCCAGAGGGTCTGGGAGATTCAATTTGGCTAGGGTGCCAAGGAGAATGATTTGGACCCCTAGTCGTCTTGGGTGAACTTCATTTACCAGTATATTCTGGGTGAGAGAGGGTAACCCTTAAGCAAGTTTAAGTTGGCGTGGTGCAGGTACCGTATGCTCAAAGGGTTTGTCTTCAGCAGCATCAAACCCACAATCAGAGGCATACGGAGATCATTATATTCCCATATGCTTCAATCTCTGTCAAAGGCCGCTTGTTATGTTTCCCAGACTTTAAGACAGGGAGAGAGTAATGTCTGAAGTTGTTGACAACTGAACCATCCCCGGGATCAAGGCTGTTTTGGCTTTTCACTGCACAACTGGCACACACTTCCCTAACACTTGGCCATTTGCTCTGTGTAATTAAAGCCCGCCGTTGTCTGTGGGCAAAGTTCAGAAGTGGCCTGGAAAAATGAGCTCATTTTTAAACCATCATCAGAGCTATTTCTAGAGGATGGCTTTGTCCTTCAGTGTCATCAAGCAGCCAGCCATAGCAGTTAGCCATGACAGTTATCTATGAAAAACGAGAAATGGGGGACTCCTTATCCAAGGGTATGTAACTCACGCCTTGGGTCTGTTTGTTTTCCTGACCATTTCCAATGGCTTCCCGATATTTTCTGCCAAATGACCTCCGGCTCGCTTTTGTCATGCTGCCGGCATGATGGCTTTGTAAATCAACCTTTCCAAGTGGCCCCTTAATGCTGATGGGTTAGGCTCAGTTTTAATGTACACTTGCATTTTCCGATGTGGTTTTTTTCCTGCCTGTTCAGCGCAGCTGCTAAGCTTGCCCCACAACAAACTATTTGAAGTCTACTGTGGCGCACATGACAAGTTTTCCAACTCTACAATTCTATGACTCTAGGGTGATTGTGAGAATAAAATGGAGACAGGTGGGATATCTGTGTATGCCACCTTGAGCTCTTCGGGGGAAAGTTGGGATGGAAATGTTGTTATTACTGTTGGTTTTCAGCTGTGGGGAAATGATTTTTTGCATTGGCGTGTAGCCAAAATGCAGCCAAGTGTGTGTTTTTCAAAGGAGAGAGATCTTGTGGAGCGCTTTCCCTTAAGTGATTCAAATCCGTTCCTTTCCCAGGACCGGTTCAGGGTACAAAGCAAAAAAGTGCATTTCTGCTGCATGCCAGTCATTTAGTAAATTAATCCCAGATCTGCAGTCACCACAACTGATACACAAGAGCACCTGTCACATAGCCGAGGGGTAAGGAGTCCCCAAGACTCTGTCTGTTTCAGACAGAACGTCTTGTGTTCAGAAAGCAATTTTGAGGTACAGAATTTAGGTCCTTAAAGATAAGGACCACCGCTCAGGAGTAAATTGGTAGTCGAGGCAGGTGAGAGAATATGCAGAGCGACAGGCTCCATCTGCTTGGTTCCAGTCACAAGTTTGGCAGCTGCATTTTGAAACAGCTGAAGTTCCCCGACGCTCTTCTGCAAAGGCAGCCCCACATGAGCTTTACTGAAGCACAAGTGGGTGTAGCCCCAGGGTGGACAATGATCATGGGACCAGGTAGGGTGCTGTCAGGCGTCAGGGAACCCTACCACCACCCACCCACCCACGGCCAGCTACCAGAGATAGAAAGACAGGGAAAGCTCCTTACCAAAGACTTTTATGCAATATGCACAGAGGAGGGCTTAGAAAGTTAGCCTCTTGGACTAATGGCATTGCTCCGAGTAATCTCCCCCGCCTTTACATCTTACTTGTCAACAGCACCACCCTCCTTACAGTGGCTGCTTAAGGCCAATTGCCTCTTAGCTCTCTGCTCTCCTACTTTCACTGCCCACCGGGTTCTGGGGGAAGGGGGATCTGGGATGCTCTCTAATGATAATGTGTCGGCCAGCTGTTCCGGCTCTGCTTCTCCCTCCTCCCCTTCTCCCATTATCTTCCAGCTTTGCTCCCTCTTCTGTCTCTGAGCTCTGATCATCTGCAAACCACTGTTGTATTTTTTAAAAAAATTTTTAGAAAATCTTTATTAATTTTCACGTAGACAAATATACATAACACATCGTATAAAAGACGATACAGATGAGTAAAAACAATAAAGTAAGAAAAGTTAGAAAAATAAACATAAACAAATACAATATATTACACTTACATAACAAATTAAAATATGTAACTCCCAATAATTCTCATTATACTACTTATGTTATCTGTATTCCTTGCACAGATTTATATTATTTTATTTTGTATATAGATAGATAATCCACTATTACATTTTGGATAATTCTTAGTTATCAGTATCACTCTATTTCTGCAAGTATCTTATTGTTCGTACAGTACGTTGTCAAGTACCGGTATTCTTTATATATTTTCCATTCCCTAAATACCTTTTGGTTTGACATTCTTCTGAGTTTTCCAGTCTGTTTAAAATTTATACTGTCTTCCTCTTCTTTGGAAGATTCAGGGGGAGGGGGAGGCGGTCTCCACCATTCCTCCTCAGTCCAGTTCCTGACAGGTGGCAGGGTACCTAAGTGGAGGCGGAGCCTGGGAGTGGGGTGTCACCATAGGTGGAGTCAACCTGTTCTGGTTTGGTTCCCCACTCCGCAACTTCCTTCCTTAGAAAAATATTGTGGACACTTACTCAGTGCAGTAGTAGCTTAACACCTTGGGGACGCGGGTGGCGCTGTGGTCTAAACCACTGAGCCTCTTGGGCTTGCTGATCAGAAGGTCGGCGGTTCAAATCCCCGCAACGGGGTGAGCTCCCATTGCTCGGTCCCTGCTCCTGCCAACCTAGCAGTTCAAAAGCACATCAAAGTGCAAGTAGATAAATAGGTCCCGCTGCGGCAGGAAGGTAAATGGCATTTCTGTGCGCTCTGGTTTCCGTCACGGTGTCCTGTTGCACCAGAAGCGGTTTAGTCATGCTGGCCACATGACCCGGAAAGCTGTCTGTGGACAAATGCCAGCTCCCTTGGCCTGAAAGCGAGATGAGCACCGCAAACCCATAGTTGCCTTTGACTGGACTTCACTGTCCAGGGGTCCTTTACCTTTTTACCTTTAGCTTAACACCTGTTCTACCCAGGAAAGTGGTGGGGACAGGCATTTATGGCTACAGCAACCTCCTTGGCATCCAGGAGTATTCCCAAGCTTTGTTGTTGTTGTTTGTTGTTTAGTCGTTCAGTCGTGTCCGACTCTTCGTGACCCCATGGACCAGAGCATGCCAGGCACTCCTGTCTTCCACTGCCTCCCACAGTTTGGTCAAACACATGCTGGTAGCTTCGAGAACACTGTCCAACCATCTCGTCCTCTGTCGTCCCCTTCTCCTTGTGCCCTCCTTCTTTCCCAACATCAGGATCTTTTCCAGGGAGTCTTCTCTTCTCATGAGGTGGCCAAAGTATTGGATCCTCAGCTTCACGATCTGTCCTTCCAGTGAGCACTCAGGGCTGATTTCCTTCAGAATGGAGAGGTTTGATCATCTTGCAGTCCACTGGACTCTCAAGAGTCTCCTCCAGCACCGTAATTCTTATATGTCTGTTGCCTTTGTCCATGGAGTTTTCTTGGCAGGGATACTGGAGTGGCTTGTCGGTTCCTGCTCCAGGTGGATCACATTTGGTCAAAACTCTCCACTATGACCTGTTCATCTTGGGTGCCCTGCACGGCATAGTTCATAGCTTCTCTGGGTTATTCAAGCCCCTTCGCCACGGCAAGGCAGTGATCCCAAGCTAAGCACCTGATTTTTAGATAGTTAGATGTTTGCATCAGCCATCGGCCTTTGCAGTCCGAGTACAAAACACATGTACAGACAACTTAAGCACTTCTGAAGCGTTCCTTCTTTTGGCCGACAGAGGGTTGGCAGGAGCCCGGCCTTGGGATGACTCTCCTTGAGCCCGATTGCTCAGAACAGCCAATTGCCCTCGCCACGAGTTTTAAGGAACACTGTAATCCCAACCGCCCTCCCCTCACTGCAGGGTTGGCTAAAGATGATACTGTCAAGTGAAAACAATGATTTAATGGCTTTGTGACATGAAGGCCCCGGGACTAATGGAACACAACCTAGAAATCGAAGCCGAGTGAATGTTTTAAGGCTCCTAGGCTGCAATTATGATACAGTCTCTGCCTGCAGCTGTCATTACAATCACAAAATGTCAGCAGCGATTAGTTCTCTTTCAGAAGGTCAAATAACAATGGCGAGGAGGATGCCTGCGTGGTGACAGTAAGCCTGTACCAGTGGGCAAAAGCGTGGACAGCTCTCATGATGCTTTGCAGTCTTGCTGCGATAGGACCACTCCTTCTGCATGTCAGCATAAAGTTATTCCAGGGCCGGGTTCAAGCAAGAGACCAGCATCCTCCAAGGCAGCAGATCTCATGTTTCCTACAATTTTTTTATATATAACAAAATTTAAACCAGAGCATACTGCTTTGCATTTCTCAATTTGACAAGATCCCGGGGCTCTGTTTATCAGGCCTCCGTTCCCTTGGGAAAGAAAGATGGCTGAAGGCATTTCTGTAATGTGCTTTTATTTACAGATATAAAAGGTGAGCATAAGGCATAGACAGATTTATCTTTTTGCTCAGGCAGCCCAGTCAGATGAGCGGGGTACAATTATTATTATTATCCTCATCCTCATCAATATCGTTATCATTATCATTTTTATCACCCATTGAATCAGCCCCTGTTTTGTGGGTCCGAATCTTTTATTTGTTCTTGTTTGCTCCTAAGTATTTTTAGTCTGCATTTAGGATGCATTTTCGTTTTAATTGTCTCTCCCCCCCCCCCCATTGTACACCGCCTCAAGGTCTTTAAAAAACATATTCCAGTTTATGTGCTTTGAAATAAATAAATAAATAAAATATAGGTCAGATAGTTGTTTATTTCTTTGACATCTGATGGGAGGGTGTTCCACAGGGTGGGCACCACTACCGAGAAGGCCCTCTGCCTGGTTCCCATCAAATCTCCAGAGAGGCACCCCAAGACAGAATCATAGAGTTGGGAGGTCCTAACGGGTCCAACAATGCAGGAATCACAGCTAAAGAATCCCTGACAGATGGCCCTCCAGTCTCTGGTTGGAAACCTCCAATGTAGGAGAATCCACTATCTTCCAAGCTTCCACTGTTGGTCAGCTCTTGCCGTCAGAAAATTCTTCCTAATGCTTAGTCGGAATGATCATTTGGATGCTTCTAATTTTCCAGAGCTCTTTTCTCTCTGTCTCAGGTTTTCTCTAAACTGCTGTATCTCTGTCTTTCAGAGCCTCAACCTGCTTCTATTCTTTGCCTTTTTAAATATACATAATGTCACTGCATGTCCCTGCCTCCTACGTGTGTTGCAGAAATATCTGTGTACAGGAGGAGCGAGCGTGGGTTTTGTGGCTCAGAGCCACCGGGTCATTCATCAGCATTTTGGTGCGATATCTTCCCAATACAGTGGTGCCCCGCAAGACGAATGCCTCGCAAGACGAAAAACTCGCTAGACGAAAGAGTTTTCCGTTTTTTGAGTCGTTCCGCAAGACGAATTTCCCTATGGGCTTGCTTCGCAAGACGAAACGTCTTGCGAGTTCTTGTGAGTTTGTTTCCTTTTTCTTAAAGCCGCTAAGCCGTTAATAGCCGCTAAGCCGCTAAGCCGCTAATAGCCGCTAAGCTGCTAATAGCCGCTAAGCCGCTAATAGCCGTGCTTCGCAAGACGAAAAAACCGCAAGACGAAGAGACTCGCGGAACGGATTAATTTCGTCTTGCGAGGCACCACTGTATACACATTTGTGTATACGATTCTTTCCCCTAAAGCGCACACTTTTTTGCAAACAGTTTTCCGTTTGCCCAATCCAGCAGGCTCAGCTTACGTTCTTGTGCATTTTTCTATGTTATTTCATGTATTTTGAGGCAGACTTTGCCCCAGTGTGCGCACAGAACTGCATTTGCAAACTTTGAAGGAGTGCTAATTCCGAAAGGATGGCTGCTGTTTCGGTTTGTGCATTGTTTAAAAAAATCAGAAGACTGTCTGGGGGAATGGGAGATGAAAGACTAAGAGGTGAAATCAGTTATGATTAAATGGGCACAAGATATATGTCATAATATTATGCTGGAAGATTGGGAAAGTTTATGGAAAATTGATTTAAAATTTATAGATTGCTCCTTGATGAAAGAAAATTATATGAAGATGATGTATAGATAGTATATAACACCAGTATAGCTAGGAATAATGTAGAAAACCAGTTCAAATATGTGTTGGAAGTGCAAAGAAAAAGAAGGGACCTTTTATCATATGTGGTGGGATTGTAATGAAATTAAAAAGTTTTGGGAAATGATATATAACAAACTGAAGAAAATGTTCCAATTAACATTTGTTAAAAAACCTGAAGCATTTTTGTTAGGGATTGTAGGAAAAGACCTGCCAAGGAAATTGAAAAATATCTTTATGTATGCGACAACGGCGGCAAGAGTCCTAATAGCACAAGGATGGAAGACTGAAGAAATGAAGAATGAGGAAATCCCAACTAAAGAACTATGGCAAGAGAAATTGATGGACTACGCAGAATTGGCAAAAGTGACACAAATACTACATGACAAGGATAACTGTGATTTTAAAGATGAATGGGAACCCTTTACAAAGTATTTAAAGAAACAACAAAATGAACTGGACTCCTTGGCAGGCTTTGAATAAACATTCACAAACTTTTTCTTGATAACACTCAGATAGATAAATTAAGGATCCGTACAGTTTTGTAACATGCAGAAAATAACATAGGTTGATAAACCAGAGAGAGGAGCTGAGGGAAGTCTGGGGGGGAGGGGAGGGTGGGTCAGGTTTTTTTTTTTTTAATATATATTATATTTTTATTGGTTTTCAAATACAAAAACAAATTTATACATTCCATACATCTTAATTACATCTTACTTCTCTTTTTGACTTCCCTCAATTTGTCTGAAATTCCTTCCCTTTATTACTTTTTACACATTTCTGCCATTTTAACCATTTCCCCTCACAGAGCTTCCTTAAAACTTACAAACGTAATTTGATTATCACTCAGTTTTTGCATATATTGTATAAACTTTTCCCAATCTTCTGTAAATCTTTGATCTCGTCGATTCCGGATCCTTCCTGTCATTCTATCCAGTTCTGCATAATCCATCATTTTAGTTCTCCATTCTTCTATCGTAGGTAATTCTTCCTGTTTCCATTTCTGGGCCATCAATATTCTTGCTGCTGTCACTGCATATAAAAATAACTTCTTTTCTTTCTTATTTATCTCATTACCTGTAATGCCTAGTAAAAATGCTTCTGGTTTCTTAACGAATGTATATTTCAACATTTTCTTCAATTCATTATAAATCATCTCCCAAAAGCATTTTACCTTCTTACATTCCCACCAGGTTTTTGGGGCGGGGGTCAGGTTTTTGGGGCGGGGGAGGGAAAAAACGGGGGGGGGGGGGTTAAGGATGATATTTTTTTAATAAAATGTCATGCTGAAATAATTAATTAAAAAAATAAAAAATAATAATTAAAAAAAGCAAATTAGAAGACCGGCCGGATCAGGCTAACGGCCCATCTAACCCCAGCATCCTCATCTCACATCCGCTGACCAGATGCCTGTGTTCAACCCACAAGCAGAATCCAAGCACAAGAGCCCTCTCCCCTCCCGTAGTTCCCAGCCACTGGCATTCAGAAGCAATACTGCCTCTGAACTTTGGGGCAGACCATTGCCCTCATAGCTAGTGGCCATTGATGGCCTTCTTCCTGAGTTTATCCAGTCCTCTTTTGAAGCCACCGAAGTTGGTGGCCATCACTACCTCCTGTGGGAGTGAGTGAGTTCCACAGTTTAACTATGCTCTGCATGAAGAAGTTCTTTCTTTTCATCTGTCCTGAATCTCCCATCATTCATCTTCATTGGATGTCCACCTGTTCTATGTGTTACGAGAGAGGGAGAAACAACTTCTCTCTACAGTGGTGCCTCGCAAGACGAAATTAATCCGTTCCGCGAGTGTCTTCGTCTAGCGGTTTTTTCGTCTTGCGAAGCAACCCTATTAGCGGCTTAACGGATTAGCGCTATTAGCGGTTTAGCGGCTATTAAAGGCTTATCGGCTTAGCGGATTAGCTGCTAAAAGGCTATTAAAGGCTTAGTGGCTTAGATAAAGGGGGGGGAGTGAAAAAAAAATCTCAAGACTCGCAAGACATTTTCGTCTTGCGAAGCAAGCCCATAGGGAAATTTGTCCTGCGAAGCAACTCAAAAATGGAAAACCCTTTCGTCTAGCGGGTTTTCCGTCTTGCGAGGCATTCGTCTTGCGGTGCACCACTGTATTCGCTTTCTACTTGCCGTGTATAACTTTTATACAAGTTGGGCATGTCATCCATGGGCCTAGCTGAAGGGGGAATCGGTGGGCAACTATCCCCTCCCCAAAAAACCAAGTAAATAAATAAAAATGAAAAGTAGAAATAATTAGAATATTTGAAATGCTGTGACAGATTTCACTGAGCACTTGGGGTCAAAAGAAAGTCATTTAAAACATCTGTTGTTGAGACATTTCATTCCAAATTTGCCAGACAGAGGACGATGACATGTGGGTGTCCTGCCCCCCCCCCATAAATCCTGGCTATGCCCATGATGTCATATATCATGTTTCAAAAAGCTTGAATTACGTAGCTTCGCCTTTTAACGCAGACCGAATTGACTCTGTCCTTGGTTGCTGGCTTTTTGATTTCCAACAGATTCCCCATGCATTTTTTTACGCCTGCTTCTCAGTGAGCAGAAAGAGACACGCATGATCTGACTTAATATATGACACCCTCTCTCTCTCTCTCTCATCTGGAGCAAATGTTTCTGTTCTTCTTTGGACCAGCTGTTCTGTGAGGCTGTAGTGCCAAGAGACCCTGTCACGCTGCATTTTTTTTATGTTGTAAGGATTGTCAGTGTGTTTATTTTGCTGTGCTAGACACTGGTCTGACAGTTTGGTATCTAGGCTCTGAAGGCATCAAGCAGCCTCCTTCGGAGCAACTCTCCAGATGTTGGTGAATACTGAAGACACACCTCTTTGCCACACGAAATGCATATTTTTACGATGCACCTTATTTTCTGATTTTAAGTTATTTTTTAGTTGTTATAATCTGCGCTGGCACATTAGGGTGAAGAACAGAAAAATAGTTGTAGCAGTGCTAAGAAGGCAGGCAGAGAGGTTTGTGGGGCACTGGAAAGCTCTGCAAGTACAGTCATACCTTGGGATGAATACGCTTCAGGTTAAGCGTTTTTGGGTTGCGCTCTGCGGCGACCCGGAAGTAACAGAATGCGTTACTTCCGGGGTTCACCACTCGCGCATGCACACTCAAAATGATGTCACGTGCATGCGCGGAAGCAGCAAAACACGACCCGCAGACACGCAGTCACATGTTACGTTTGCTTAAGGATGCGAACTGGGCTCTGGAACAGATCCCATTCGTATCCAGAGGTACCACTGTATCATTATTATTCATATTTTAAAAAATGTGTTTATTATACCCCAGGTGCAGCCTGACTTTCCTCCACCTTGAGTTTGGCCCCACCTCTCTTCCCTGCCTCTGTTTTTTTATCAAAGTTGGAGACAGCTTACTGAGAGTCTTGAAATCAGGTCCGCAACTGTGGCTCCAGTAAAGCTCGTCCCCGTGCCAAAAATGACTTCATGAGCATGTCCTGACAGCAAGCAGTTTTTAAAAATAATAACAGTGCCGTGGCCAGAGGTAGTTGCTTCCTGGAAAATATACTTGGGGGTGGAGAGAAATAATCTCCACTTTCCTCTTGCTTAGGTGACGGATGGAAAGCTAGAAACTGAATAGGATAGATAAAGAGGAAACTTGCCAAGGACAATAAGAGTTTCATTGGTAACATGCAACAAACAGAAGATGTGGGGAACGTTTGCAAGAAGAATCTGAAATTTTTGGCACACCTCCGAACGGTCATGGAAATGAGACAAAGCAGAAAGAGAGAGAGGAATTTGAGAAGCAGAAATGGAGATGTTGTATACAATAGGATGATTATGATTATTATTTTTTAAAAAACGCCTACACAAAAGCACTGGCTCGCGTGGGTAAATTAGAAAAAAAGAAAGAAAAAACTGTGCTTTTCAGATACCCTGCCTGGGAATAGAATCAAGGCTGACTGAAATAACTCAGGGTTTCTAAGCCTGAATTTAAGAATGGCACTAATTGGATTTACATCAGAAATGGCTCTGGCATTTTAATTCTGAAAGGCAGCAATCCAGAATTAATTGACTGCAGAAGCAGCCCCGTTGCATTCATTTGGTCTGCTCTGGAAGTAGGCAGATAGTAGATTTAGGGACCTCCCCCCATGCGGTTGTCCTTTCTATCATGCGTTCAATATTTGTGCTCAAGATAAGAACCTCAGAAGCGTCTGCTGGATCGGACCAGTGGCTTGTCTAGTGCAGAATCCTGTTCTCACAGTGGCTAACCCAAGCATAAGAGCACTCTCGCTTCCTGTGGTTTCCAGGAATTGGTACCCAGAAACATTATGGCCTCCGACCATGGAGGCAGCACATACCCGTCATGTCTAGTAGTTGCTGACAGCCTTCTCCATCCACGATGGTATCAGGGCAGTTATACACGCTGCCGTTTTTCAATACTATTTGGACCTGCAGAAGTTTCAGGGCTAACTTGCTGCTTCATTTCCAATTGGTGCACATCTTGTAACAAACCCCCCCCCCAATTTTTTATTTATTTATTTGGTTTTTCAGATTGAAAACATACAGCATAAAAGCAACATTCCAAGCAATCTCTTGGACTTCCCTCCTCCCCTTTGTGGGTCCTACTGTTAATCATATCCTCCTGCATCTTTTATAATCATCCAAATCTTTTATCTCTCCATTGTATCCAGAATTCACCCTTAAATGACAATCCTACTAACGATTTTAACAGTTTACAATGGTTATTAAAATTTTGGTCTTCCAGATTTCTGATTCTTCTGGCCATTTTAGCCATTTCAGCATAATCCATCAACTTGATCTGCCATTCTTCTCTGGTAGGGACTTTATCTTCTTTTCCATCTCTGGGCCAGTAACATCCGCGCAGCCGTGGTTGCATACATAAATAGTCTTTTCTGCTTTGGGATTTCAGCACCTAGAATTCCTAAAAGGAAGGCTTCGGGGTTTTTCAAAAAGGTTATTTTAAACATTTTTTCGTCTTGTAATTTCCTACTAAAGGCTTGTAGCTTTTTATAGCACAAATGATCCGGTTAAATTTCCACCTCCCTTTTTGTTGTGCTGTACTTGAACACCCCTCCAGGCGGCAATAATGTGATAACATTGGGGAGACATTGCTGAGCAACTAATAACGTGGGATGATGTGTGTGGACGGTCCAGTATAAACCCATCACCATCTCCTGACACACCAATGCACTATTATTACATCAATGGCACATTGCCCCTACGGCTGGTGGTAGCATGTAATGGTTTAAAAGACCGGGAGATGGAAGAGAAATCTGGATAGAAATGAGGATGTAGCAGAATAAAATGAGATTGTTTGGACGTTCCCAAAAACAACACAATGTCAGGCTGAAATTTCAGTGTTAAGACTACACAGGTAAATACAGGAAGTCTGATGCAAGATATCTAAGGCACAATCTGCCAAAACATTGGCTGTTTTAAGACCTATAGATTTCCTGGAGTGACTTAGGCAAAATAGAGGCCTGACTCAGACATAACTACATCGACCTGTAGGACCAAGAATGAGCGTTATGGCTGCTTGTTCCCTTCTCCCCTTCCCTCAAGTGCCTAACTACCATACCTGTGGGATTTGTTAAACCACAGTTTCCCATTGAAGCTCGGACTACAACCCTGGTTTGCGAACCGTCATCAATAATCTGAAATCCTAGTTTGTAGTTGGAGCTTAAACTACAGTTTCCTGGTTCAGGTATAAGAAGAGGAAACTGTGGCTTAACAAACCTCAGGTGTATGGCAGTGAGAGAGCAGAGAGAAGGAAAAGGGAGGATGAAGCACAGGGACACCTTGATTCTTTGCCCAATAAACCATGGTTTATCTGATTGAGGTGGTTAATGTTTGAATTGGGTCACTGAGTATGTTCTCACTTTTGTCCTATTGAAATCAGTGGGATTTTCAGACCAATCTTAAGCATGTTTACTCAGTAAGCCCCATGTGTTCAGTATGTCTACGCAGGAGAAAGCCCCTTTGATTTCAATGGGACTTACTCCCAGGTAATGTATACAGCACGGAAGCCTTACTCCCTCATATGCACGTTCCCAATTTCTGCCTAAGAGCATGGGCTGGATCATGACCAAAGGCTTTTTAGCTCAAAGGCAATCAGGATTTTTCAAGCTTGACTAATTCATTTCCCGTTTTGTTCCCATTTGGTTTGCTGGTTTAATTAAGCTTATTTCAAGAGACATGAGAATTTAGTAAAAATAAAACAGAAAGCTGAGGAAAAATGAAAGGGAGACATTAGCAGTTAGCATTAATAATGCATATATTAAAAGCCTCTTGGGAAAACGTACAATGTAAGTTTAAAAACCTCTTGCTAAAACAGGCAGAATATAGTGAATCTTTTTCTTTTCAATTAACCAGTCCATACTTAGAATAAGGTCTCTCTCTGTTGTGGAATTAAGTTACCAGCAAGATTCAAGGCCTCGCTGTTCTGTTTTTTTAAAAGCAAGCTTCTAGCCCTCATTGAGGTTTTGGGTTGTTGTTTTTTAATGGTGCAGAAACTTGTTGCTCACAAGAGCTCCTCCGTTCACTTCTCAGGAGGGGACAGCTCATTGCACAATGCCACAAATGCAGTGGGCCTGGTGTTTTGGTGCTCATCTACAAAAACTTTCATTGTTCAGAAGTCAGAGCTGGGAAAGGTCCCTGCCTGAGATGTTGGAGAATCACTACTGGCGAGGAGGAAGATGCTGATTTACTAAAACCATTTAGGAACATAGGAAATCGCTTTATGCCATGTCAGACTGTTGCTCCATCTAGCTCAGTATTGTCTGCAGTGACTGGTAGAGGCTCTCAGGCAGGGGACATTGACATCCCTAGCTGGAGATCTCCTCGGGGGCTGAACCTGGGAGTTTCTGCACACAGAGCTCTGACCCCTGAGCAGGGACGCCAGCTAAGGGGGACCAAGGGGGACTTGCGTGTCAAGAGAGGAGAAGCAGCTGAGTGACCGGGCGTTTGCTGAAAGCATTGCTATTACAAACACTGGGTGAGACCTTGGTGGTAATATTGCCACTGGGGGCTGCCTTGTTGGTGTTGACCCAGCGCAGGGCCTTTTCAGTGGTGATTCCCCAGTTGCAGAATGGCCTCCCTTTGTGAGGCTCACCTGTCTCCATCATGATCAGCTTTCAGGAGGAATTTGAAAACAGTCCTGTTTACCCAGGCATTTGGTGGCTGAAGAATACTGTTCCTGGCGACCCTGAGATCATTGGCTAGAAAAATGCCTTTAGTTATAATTGGGTTTTTTAATAATGTTTTAATCTGTTTTAGAATGTTTTTGTGGTTGGAGGATGGATGGCAGCTAACAGATTGAGGTTGAATCCTGACAAGACAGAAGTACTGTTTGGGGGGGCAGGTGGGGGTGGAGGATTCCCAGATCCTGAATGGGGTAACTGTGCCGCTGAAGGAACAGGTGTGCAGCCTGGGAGTCATTTTGGACTCACAGCTGTTTATGGAGGCGCAGGTCAATTCTGTGTCCAGGGCAGCTATCTACCAGCTCCATCTGGTACACAGACTGAAACCCTACCTGCCCGCAGACTGTCTCGCCAGAGTGGTGCATGCTCTGGTTATCTTCCGCTTTGACTACTGCAATGCACTCTACGTGGGGCTACCTTTTAAGGTGACCCAGAAACGGCAACTAATCCAGAATGCAGCAGCTAGACTGGGAGTGGCCGCCAAGACCGTATAACACTGGTCCTGAAAACCTACATTGGCTCCCAGTACGTTTCTGAGCACAATTCAAAGTGTTGGTGCTGACCTTTAAAGCTCTAAACAGTCCTGTATACCTGAAGGAGTGTCTCCACCCCCATCGTTCAGCCCAAACACTGAGGTCCAGCTCCGAGGGCTTTCTGACAGTTCCCTCCCTGCGAGAAGTGAGGTTATAGGGAACCAGGCAGAGGGCCTTCACGGTAGTGGCGCCCACCCTGTGGAACGCCCTCCCATCAGATGTCAAGGAAATAAACAACTATCTGACTTTTAGAAGACATCTGAAGTCAGCCCTGTTTAGGGAAGTTTTTAATGACTGATGTTTTAATGCATTTTTTATATTTTGTTGGCAGCCGCTCAGAGTGGCTGGGGAAACCGAGCCAGATGGGCGGGGGTATAAATAATAAATTATTATTATTATATATTATTTGCTTCATTTTTCCCTTCAGGTTACCTGTTTGCCGTCCTGACCTCCTTGAGGACAAAGGGCAGGGTGCAGATTCAATTCAATAAATAATAACTCTGTTTTGATTAATTCCTTACTTCCTTACTTCTTACCTATGCCTTGAGGCAGTTTGCAAACGCACTATGAAAAATGCTAAAAAGAGTTTTGAAAGCTGTACAAAAATCCAGCTGAAGATATACACTGAAAAACAATGCAAAAGGGGCTCCAGCTAAGGGGGGCAAAGGAGGACTTGCGTGTTACATGCGCAAGTTGCACTGCATGCGCTTGTGATATGAGCACGTCACACTGTGCCGGCCTCCTCAATCGCAGGAGCAAACTGGCATGCCTGCCCTGGAATTATGGCCGTTCCTCAATTTGTTAGCTTCCTTTCTTATGTTCAAAACAGTGACAAAAACCTATAAAACTGGATGGATCTATGGTTTGGATCCATTTAAGGCAGCCCTTGTTTCACTCATACCTGGTCTGTATCCTCAAGATGCGAAAGGATGAACATTGAAATAAACGAAAGAGGCAGAGTTGCACACAATGGAATTGTAAAGCCAAAAGTTCTTTCCCCCTAACTTGTGGGTGGTTAACCTGTTGAACTCCAGTTCCCAACAGCCAACCTGAGCAAAGGATGATGGGAGTTGTAGTCCAGCAACATCTGGCATCCTAAAAGCTACTCCCCACAGGCCCTCCAGAAACACAGTGAGCCCGCCAGTAGTTATTTAATTTCACGACAGCTTAATACCTATTTAATTATTTGGTTATATTTTAGTGGAGGGATTAATTATTCAATATGTTACCATCCTGTTTAATAGGGTATTACGGCGTCGGCCGCCCTGGGATCGATGAAACTGATAAAGGGCTGGATATAAATTGAACTAATAAGTAGATAAATAATTGACACTGTTTCTACTATGTGGTTCTTGTTGTTTTACTTTCAAAAGAAATTTACTGGGAGACTTACAAAACATTAATATATTAAAAAATACCATAAATGCGATTCCATAAAATTGCCATAAACTGTAGAGAAACACAATAAACTGTAGAAGAAGTCCTGTCAGGAGAAGAATGGCTACAGAAACTAATGGATTATGCATAATCATAATAATAATAATAATAATAATAATAAATTTTATTTATATCCCGCCCTCCCCAGCCGAAGCCGGGCTCAGGGCGGCTAACAGCAATCAAATAATCAAACAATCAAATAATCCAACATTCTAAAAACATTTCATTATAAAAATTAATTAGAATCAAATTAATGTCAACCATTAAGCAAAATTCTGTGCAGGTTGCCAGAGGAGGAATTCCAAAATGTTCAAAAACTGAAAACTCATATGGAAGCCACGTGGCATGTTCGACATCTGAGGCAAGTTCGAAAACCAAAGTATTTACTTTTGGGTTTACAGTATTCAAAAACCAAAATGTTCATCCATAGAGACAAATCGAAAACCGAGGTACCACTGTCCATTTTTATTTATTTTTTATTTTTTTGCAGCTGGTGCAAATGTCCAGAAGTCCTGGTTAGTTGCATATAGTTGATGGTAGTGTGTCTGACCGTCTCAGTATTGCCTGCACTGACCGGCAGCAGCTTTCCAGACAGGGAATCTCTCCCAGCCCTACTTGGAGAAACCAGGGATTGAACCTGGGAGCTTCTACATGCAGTTTGGATGCTCTAACCGCCGAGCTAAGATCCTTTTCCTGGGCTCTGGCCCATCCCTTGGAGAGGGATTGTTCCTGGAATATTTTTCCCGTTCCACAAACCTGTGTCTTTGTGAGCCTTCCAGCGCTCAGATATACGGACATTTAAGTAGTGTCTTTAATGTCCTGATTTTGTATTTGAGGAAAACAACATGCTTCAGTTCATTTAAAACAAAACAAAAAAACAAGCACCAGATATGCTCAGCATGAATCCCAATGGAGATTTATAAAATAAAACCTGATTTCTGATCACCCATTTTTGCAAAACTGTTTTCATACATTAACAGCTCAGGTCGCATACTGGAAGGGTGGAAGCTGAGTAGAATTGTCCCAATATATAAAAAGGGTGATAAGAAAAACCCTGCCAATTATAGACCCATTAGTTTGTTAGAAGTAGCCTCTAAACTATATGCCAGGCTCCAGACTGGAAGAATGGGCAGATACAAATAAGGTGATATCTGAAGTCCAGGCAGGTTTCCAAAGAGGAAAATCCACATTGGACCAGTGCTTTGTGATGAACTTTCTGCTATGTAAATACATCCGTAATTTGAAGCAAAAATTACACGTCGCTTTTATCGATCTAAAGTCAGCTTTCGATACGGTCCCAAGACGCGCATTGTGGCAAAAATTGGAAAAGACAAATATAGACCTCCTTTTATTATTTCTCATCAAAACCCTATATACTGACATATTGATACAAGTAAAGGTGGATCTGGCTGGCCATCTCACCACTAGTATTAAGACCATTACTGGAGTCAAACAGGGATGCATTTTGGCGCCTTTCCTGTTTAATTTTTATGTTAATGACATGGTTAGAGAACTGGAGGGCCTACAGTTTGCCCCTGTCACAATTCTCTCGATATGCTCGGCTTCATTCCTTGCAATCTTAACAGAGTGTTCTGGCATCTGAATGCAAAACAACAACAAAACCTCTTTTACTTGTTCAAGGCAATACCTAAAGGGCTTGTACCTAAGCGATAGCTCTGTGTGTGTGTGTGTGTGTGTGTGTGTGTGTGTGTGTGTGTCTATTTAGTGGTAGCATAAAAACGAATCCCTGCCCTGGGATTCCATTTTTCAAGCGCAATCCAGGAAGATGAGCTGCAGGCTGCCAAGCTCGAAAAGTGTTTCAAGAGAACTGATTGCCTTTATTTATAGGAGGACAAGGGGTTCATTTCTACCAGGCTGGTCGTTGGTTTGCCGCTGCCCTATTAAGCCCGCCGTATGGCTAACAACCGCTCTGTGATACTCACTGCCCAGATTCGTTTTGATAGCCTCCTGTAATGCTTTTTGCAGCCCGGCTTTCAGAGGAGATCAATTAGGCAGCTCCAGGCTCCACCTAGTGTTCAGTCACTGTGCCTGGCTGGCTCCCCAAAACAGCCGCCTTTGTCTACTATATTCCATCCTTTCAACCCAGTGCCCTCCAGATGTTTCAGACTCCCATTACTGGGGCTGATGGGAGTTACAGGCCAAAATATCTGGAGGGCATATCAGGTGGCAGGGTAGAGGCTGGTATATTCACTTGACATACCTTCAGCTATCTTTGAATCTTCATCATGCTCATTTATCTCTCGTATTTATAGGTATCATTTTAGCACCGTCGGTCCTGGAAGCTTTTTTTCCTCCCAGAATGCCCCAGGTTCTTAGCAGAAACGCTCCGTACTGATGACAATGTTTTGCCTCTTCTTGCAGGGATTCTTCAGAGAGGATGTTGGCCCCGAAGAAGTGGCGGAACCAGTGGAACCAGTCAGTGCTAAGAAGCCAAAACCAAAGGTGAATGTAATATGATCCGTATCTCTGTCTTGAGAGCCAATGTGGTGTACTGGTCAGAGTGCTGGGTTCAAATCCCCACTTGGCCATTAAGCTCACCGGGTGACCATGGGCCAGGGCCTGCCTCTCTCAGCCTCACCTACTGGACAGGGTTGTTCTGAAGTTAAAATAGGGTGGAGGAGAACCATGCATGCCACTTTGAGCTCCTTGCAGGAAAAAAGTGGGATAGATGTGCAATAAATGCATAATAAATCAATATAAAGGTAAACATTAGGTCCAGTCGTGGCCGACTCTGGGGTTGCGGTGCTCATCTCGCTTTATTGGCCGAGGGAGCCGGCATACAGCTTCTAGGTCATGTGGCCAGCATGACTAAGCCGCTTCTGGCGAACCAGAGCAGCGCACGGAAACGCCATTTACCTTCCTGCCGGAGCGGTACCTATTTATCTACTTGCACTTTGACGTGCTTTCGAACTGCTAGGTTGGCAGGAGCAGGGAATGAACAACTGGAGCTCACCCCGTTGCGGGGATTCGAACTGCCGACCTTCTGATCGGCAAGTCCTAGGCTCTGTGGTTTAACCTACAGCGCCACCCGCATCCCAATAAATCAATGTATCGGTTCCCAAATGGAGAAGCGGCCCCACCTAGGGAAACACCAAATATTAGCAGGGAAGTGGTGAGCGTTTTGGCTGAGGGCAGATTTCACTGGTGCACAGCTTGGATATAATTTATCGTGGGATGCACACTCAGACAGGACAGGGTGCATACCCACAAGTGTGTGTTCGTGCCATACACACACACACACACACACACACACACACACTTCGTTTCTCACATTCACATGACCGTCAGTATTGATTTATTAATTGCCTTCTAAGCCACTGCTTTAAGGCGATTTACACATAAGATCATTAGAAACACAAAAACCAGCAATGCATTTGAAGCAAGATGAAAACTCCAGTGAGTGGACATTTGTGCTAAAGTCCTGTTTATCCAGCTAGGAAATGAAGCAGAAATGCCTCCGCTTGTTTCTGGAAGATGTAATTTAGTTAGGGTGTGCCTGTCATATCTCAACAAGGATGCTGTTCCACAAAACAAGGGCAGCCACACTGAAAGCCCTGCTCCAAGTTATTGCAGAGCAAGCTTCTGTGATCTTTGGAACTTGCAAGAGATCTCCTGGTGTCAGGCGGCAGAGGATCCAACCCCCACGGCAGGTTGCCAGGAACGGATAAGAAGGAAAAATTCTTACCAACTGCTTTTTATTCAATATTCACAGAGAGAGGCTTGGGAATGCAGCCTCTTGGAATAATGGCGTTGCCCTGAGTGAGTCTCCGCCCCTCCCTCTCTCATGTGTCATCACTACAAGTGCTGAAAAATGCCCTCTGCCTTTGAGCTCTTTGCTCTCCTACTTTCAATGCTCACCAGGTTCTGGGAGAGGTGGGGTCTGGAATGCTTTCTAAAGACACTGAGCCCGTCAGCTGTCCCCTCTCTGGTGCTTCTTCTTCCTGCTCTCCCATTCTTTCCCAGATTTTTCCCTCATCTGCCTCTGAGCTGTGATCTCCCTCAAACCCCTGTTGTAATTCCAAACTGTCTTCTTCTCTGGAAGGGTCAGGATGGGGAGACAGTCTCCACCATTCCTCCTCTGCCCAGTCCCTAACACCTGGGGGTATAAAGGATAAGGCAGTCCCTCAACTAGCCTGTGATTTGAGGTTTAGACCTAATGCCACCAAGTGTATCACACAGCCACAGTTGCCAGGGAGCCATGATGGGTTGCCAATAGAGATCTCAGAGATTACGGGTTTCCCAAAGGCCTCTGGTTGGGTACCCGTGAGAATGGAACAGTGGGCTAGGTGCTCCTTTGGCCTGATCCAGCAAAGGTTCTTCTAACATTACGTTCCATGTCTGCAGGAACCTGAGAAGAAGCTCCTGCCTTTTAGAAACTTAGAAAAGGACCTGAGGACCCTCCATAAAGACCTTGCACACACAAGGTAGGAAGGATGGCGTGATACCGTACGTCAACGTCTAGCAAAATTGTTGATCTGTAGTTGCAAACGCAGGAATCCCTGCACTCTACTCTTGGTTTCTGAGCTCATTCCCAGAAGTAGGTGATGTGCTTTATCACCCTTGTACTAGCCACAGGTTTTGAACCTGACTTTTCACCCTCTTATCAGAGATATTGGGCGGCATCCGTCTAAATAGATCTGCCAGCACAAGGATTTCTGCTTGAGCAACAGAGCTGCCCTGCCTTCTCTTGCGCCTCAAATCTGCTTTGGAGGGTTGAGGAACCCTCCAGAATAGATTTAGGAGTGTAGGAAGCTGCCTGAAACCAACTCAGGCCACTTGTCTCTTCCAGTCCTACCTGGAGATGCCAAGGACTGAACCTGGGACCTCCCTGCATGCAAGGCAGATGCTCTACCTCTGAGCTACAGCCCTTCACTATACTATGTCAGATCATTGGTCCATCCAGCTCAGAACTGTCCTCCCTGACTGGCAGTGGCTCTCCAGGGTTTCAGGCAGGGGGTCTCTCTCAGTCCTACCTGGAGATGTTGCAACTTTCTTCATGCAAAGAAGATTCTCTGCAGTTGGTTGATGGACACACACTCCCCCCGCACAATGAGCCATGGCACTACCATTTAGGGGGAACACAGGGAGAGGAGAGGGAGTTCCCTTGTGTAGCCAAAAGTCCTTGTGCTAGTGGATAGCTCAGTTGGTTAGAGCGTGGTGCTGATGGCTCCAAGGTTGTAGGTTCGATCCTCATATGGGACAGCTGCCTATTCCTACATTGCAGGGAGTTGGACCAGACGATCCTCAGGGTCCCTTCTGACCCTACAGTTCTATGATTCTATAGTGGCTCTATTTAGTTAGATGCAGCCCATTGAGTTGTATTGAGTGTTTGTCATACTGATCCACTGAGACTAAAAGGCATAACTAACTTAGGCCCATTGATATCAGTAGGTCTAGTCTCACTAGAATTTACCTGGATGCAAGCTTAATCTCTGAGATGTCCTCAAACTATAGCAGCATTCTGGACTAGATGGGCCATTGGCTCCTCTTATGTTCTTAAGCACTTATAATAGGGACGCAGGTGGCCCTGTGGTCTAAACCACTGAGCCTCTTGGGCTTGCCGATCGGAAGGTCGGCGGTTCAAATCCCTGTGACAGGGTGAGCTCCCATTGCTCTGTCCCAGGTTCTGCCAACCTAGCGGTTCGAAAGCATGTGAAAAAGTGCAAGTAGATAAATAGGGACCGCTGTGGTGGGAAGGTAAATGACATTTCCATGCACTCTGGTTTCCGTCACGGTGTCCCATTGTGCCAGAAGCGGTTTAGTCCTGCTGGCCACATGACCTGGAAAGCTGTCTGTGGACAAACGCCAGCTCCCTTTGCCTAAAAGCAAGATGAGCACTGCAACCCCATTGTCGCCTTTGCCTGGACTTAACTGTCCAGTGGTCCATTACCTTTTTACCTTTATATTGGTGGGAATTTAATATACCATCATAGATTCGTAGAGTTGGGACCATCTTGTCCAGCAGCCCTGCAACGCGTTCCACCGAATGTGGGGCTTGACCCACGACCCTGAGATTAAGAGACTCAGGTGCTACCGACTGATGTTCAGACTTATGCACAGGTGGCAAAACAGACCATCTCATGTTCTTATTTGGCTGGTGCATGCATTGGTTTCTAAAGCAGAGAAATGCCAGTTAAGGGGGGTGGGGAGTCACAAATGAAGTAGCCTCCAGCGACGACACTTTAAAATTGAGCAGAGGTGGCTGGAACTGATGGAAATTTCCATTTGTATGCTCGTTGCATGTGATTGCTCCTTTGGTCTTCATATACTCATTAATTTGAATATCAGACTTTTGCAGCAAGAACATCAGCGGTGGGTACAAATGCCATGATTTACCGCTTGCAGGGTTTAGCAACAGACCAATGCAAAATGAACGCTGACAAACGATCGCTGCCAACCGCAGAAGGGCACATACATCCCCAAACTCACATTCTCATCCAGAGTAGCATCTTTCAAAAGCAGTTCCGCAGAGAACAGACAGTAAACAACAGAAAGGAGGCAGGTGCTAGTTAATCTTAGGGCAGTTGTGCCCAGGCAATTTGCCCTAATTCTTTTGGCTGGCTATTTCAGGTCTCCCTTGCACTAGATTTCCTCAAGACATCAGATGAGGCAGGAGAAGTACACGTACCGTATTTTTCGCTCTATAGGATACACTTTTCCCCCTCCAAAAATGAAGGGGAAATGTGTATGCGTCCTATGGAGCGAATGCAGGCTTTCGCTTTCGCTCTCCAGGCTTCAGGCAGCTATCCGCAAGCCTTTGGAGCGCAGCGGGAGTTCCCGCTGCACTCAGAAGCCTTGTGGATAGCTGCCTGTTCTGGAGGCTGGGGTCGGGGGAAGCTCGGGCTTCCAGGAGCAGCGGCGAGGTTGCAAGCTCCAGGAGCAGTGGCGAGCGCTTGCCGCCGCTCTTGGACCTGTTCTGGGGGCTGGGGTCGGGGAAAGCTCGGGCTTCCTCCATCCCCAGCCCCACAAGTTCCGGGAGCGGCAGCGAGGTTGCGCACAATCTTGCCACCGCTCCTGGACCTGTTCTGGGGGCTGAGGTCGGGGGAAGCTCGGGCTTCCCCCGCCCCAGCCCCGCGGCTAAAAACGGAGCCAAGACAGCGAGCGGGATCCATCCCGCTTGGTGTCTTGGCTTCTGCCAAAGCCGCGCGCAGCCTCTCCCGGCTGGAGAGGTTGCGCGTGGCTAAAGAGGAAGCCAAGACAGCCAGCGGCATGGATCCCGCTCGCTATCTTGGCTTCTTTGCTCTCTTTTTTTTTTGCTTCTTTTTCTTTATTTCCCCCCCAAAAAACTAGGTGCGCCCTATGGTCCGGTGCGCCCTATGGAGCGAAAAATACGGTATTCTGAGCACTGGGGAGATCAGGAACAGAACTATGTTATCTTTGAGCAAGAAGATAGGAGAAGCAGCTGGGTGACTGGGCTTTTGCAGAAAGCATTGTTATTACAAACATCGGATGAGACCTTGGTGGTGGTATCGCCACTGGGGGCTGCCTTGTTGGTGTTGACCTAGGGCAGGGCCTTTTCAGTGGTGATTCCCCAGTTGCAGAATGGCTTCCCCATGTGAGGTGTGCCCATCTCCATCATGATCAGCTTTCAGGAGGAATATGAAAACAATCCTGTTTACACAGGCATTTAGTGACTGAAGAATACTGTTCCTGGCAACCCTGAGATCATTGGCCAGAATAATGTCTTTAGTTATAATTCTTTTTTGTAATGTTTGAATCTGTTTTAGAATGTTTTTGCTTCATTTTTATCTCCACATTACCTGTTTGCCACCCTGAGCTCCTTGAGGACCAAGGACAGGGTACAGATTCAATCCCAACAAATAATAACTCTATTTTGATTAATTCCTTAATTCCTTACCTTTGCCTTGAGGCAGTTTCCAAACGTCCCATGAAAAATGCTAAAAACAGTTTTGAAAGCTGTACAGAAATCCAGCTGAAGATATACATTAAAAAACAATGCAAAAAAGGAGTACCTAAGGCAGAGACCTTTTCATCCTGCTGGAAAATCTTGTCGGAACGAAAAGGTCTCCAGTTGTTTCCTGAAAGTAATGTTTCCTGATGTGAAGAGGTCTCTTTTACCAGCAACCGTTGGTTCCTATACAAGGAAGCAAATTCTTCCATTTTCCGATGACAAATGAAAGCTAGAAATGTCAGCTTCCCTAAAGAGGCAGATCCCAGGCAGGTAAACAACAACAATTGTTACCGTATTTTTCGCCCTATAGGGTGCACCGGCCCATAGGGCGCACCTAGTTTTTTGGGGGGGAGAATAAAGAAAAAAAATTATTTTCCCCCCAGGCACGGGGCCGACCCCAGCCCCCAGAAAAGGCTGCTATCCGCAAGCCTTGGGAGCCCGGCGGGAAGTCGTGCCGGGCTCCCAAGGCTGGCGGAGAGCTGCCCGAAGCCTGGAGAGCAAGAGGGGCCCTTCATTTTTGGAGGGGAAAAAGTGCGTCCTATAGGGCGAAAAATACGGTAATTACATTTGCATCCCACCTTTCCTCCAAGGAGCTCAATCAAGGTGTGTGGGGGGGCAATAGTTCTCCTCACCATTTCATCCTTACAACAACCCTGTGAGGTAGGTGAGCCTGAGAGTGAGTGCCTGACTCCAAGGTCACTCAGTGAGCTTCATGACCAGGGGTAGGCAAACTAAAGCCCGGGGGCCGGATCTGGCCCAATCGCCTTCTCAATCCGGCCCACGGACGGTCCAGGAATCAGCGTGTTTTTACATGAGTAGAATGTGTCCTTTTATTTAAAATGCATCTCTGGGTTATTTGTGGGGTCTGCCTGGTGTTTTTACACGAGTAGAATGTGTGTTTTGATTTAAAATGCATCTCTGGGTTATTTGTGGGGCCTGTCTGGTATTCTTACATGAGTAGAATGTGTGCTTTTACCGGTATTTAAAATGCATCTCTGGGTTATTTGTGGGGCATAGGAATTCATTTTTTTTCCCTTCAAAATATAGTCTGCCCCCTCCCCCCCGCCCAAGGTCTGAGAGACAGTGGACCGGCCTGCTGCTGAAAAAGTTTGCTGACCCCTGTAATAGGACCGAGTGGGGAACTGAACCCTGGTCTCCCAGGTCCTAGTCCAACGCTCTAACCACTGCACCACCTTGGGCACGTCAATGCCACTTCTGACTCGGTCCATCATCAATAGTGTTCTGGGGAGCGAGGAGACGACCCCTGAACTTGGCTCTGCTGGCTTTGACCAATAAGGTTTTTGGTCCAAAACATCTGAAAAGGTGCTGAGGTCAATGTAACCCAATCCCTACACTGTGGATTTGACAGTGACACACATCTCAGCTCCCGGGATGAATCACAGGTAATTAAACTGAAATGTCACTGAAGACTGAGGCCGTTGAAATTGCCTTTAAAAGCTTTATTAACACAACCCGCAACATTATAAAGTAACTGCAAAAAAAAGAGATAGAAAAATGTCAGCTATAGACGTAGCACAGGATGAACCCAGTTAGCACAATGTGCACAAAGAAATGGAATCCAAATTCCAGTGAGCAAAGAGGAGTGGCTTGCCTAGATTAATGTGGAGAAAGCAAGCAAGAGCAGGATGCAATCCTAACACTCTCAGAAGTAAGTCCCAATGAGTTCAATGGGGCTGACTCCCCTAGTAAGTAGGTTTAGGGCTTGTTATAAGAATTCTAAGGTCTCAAATTTAAATTAAATGTTCATAAATGTACAAGGCAAACACATACATAAGTATATAAACCACGTGTCTGAAATAGTATAGGAGAGCAATCCTGAAGCCGTTTTGACTCTCCCAAATTGACCTCAAATATTTCTCTGCAAGGAGGAAGGAAATGGGAAACCCTCCCCCATGGTCTTTTGCTTACAAATCCTGTCTCAAGGGTGTATTTGTGTATGAATAGAGTGAGCCTGTGACCTGGGACTCAGGAACTAAAGTATTAACCGTCACAACAGAATGGCCAGGCTGCCCAGGTAATGCAATCAGTGACCATTACTCAGTTATCCTTGCAGACAGGATTTCTGCTGTAGACCGCCTTCTTCTGTGATGTATGTATGATATTTTAGGGGGGTGGTATTGGGCTACAAGGTGGGCCATTTCAAGAGTCTGTATGAGGGCTTGCACACCATTGTTCTGGGTTCTCCTCCCTCCTGTGTGTGGTGAGTGGAGACCCTGTTGCAACAGTTTAATAAAGAACAGGCTTACTAGCCGCTTTGCTTCTCAATATACTCTGGTTGGCTTCTGTTATTCTGTAGCTCAAGACCACCCCCCAAAACATCATACATACATCACAAGGGGGCAGACTACAACAGAAATCCTGTCTGGCAGGATACTGATAATGGTCACTTGATTGCTTTACCTGGGCAGCCTGGCCATTCCTTTTGAGATGCTAAATACTTAGTTCCTGAATCCAGGTCACAGGCTCACCCAATTCATGCACAACCTTAAGACAGGATTAGAGCAAAGAAACAATGGGGAGGCTTTCCCATTTCCTTCCTCACTGCAGAGAATATTTGAGGTCACTGGAAGAGTCAAAATGGCTTCAGGATTGCTCTCCTGTACTATTTCAGACAGGGATGCAGGTGGCGCTGTGAGTTAAATCACGGAGCCTAGGGCTTGCCAATCAGAAGGTCAGTGGTTCGAATCCCCGCGACAGGGTGAGCTCCCGTTGCTCAGTCCCAGCTCCTGCCCACCTAGCAGTTCGAAAGCACGTCAAAGTGCAAGTAGATAAATAGGTAACGCTCTGGCGGGAAGGTAAACAGCGTTTCCGTGCGCTGCTCTGGTTTGCCAGAAGTGGCTTAGTCATGCTGGCCACATGACCCGGAAGCTGTACATTGGCTCCCTCGGCCTGTAAAGCAAGATGAGCGCCACAACCCCAGAGTCGGTCACGACTGGACCTAATGGTCAGGGGTCCCTTTACCTTTACTATTTCAGACACATGGTTTATATACTTATGTATGTATTTGCCTTGTAGATTTATGAACATATGATTTATATATATGAGACCTTAGAATTCCTATAACAGCAGCATCACAGATAAGGCACTCAAAATGCAGAGAGTCAAATTGCAGGATTCCCAGGCATGGACCTGTGCCAAGCTGTTAACACTGGTATTCTGCCAGGCCTCAACTCCCTCTTCTTTCTTTCTTTCTTTCTTTCTTTCTTCTATTCCTGTTCAGCCCACTGCTTTTCAGCCTCGGCTGTTGTAAGCCCCTGTTCGTACTCTCCCAATTCCCTCCTCTCCCAACGCCAGCAAATCAGCCGGAGCAGATCAGGCTGTCGGTGTGGCCGTGATCGTGGCCAGAGATACGATGAGCACCTGCAGGACAGAGAGAAAGAGAGAAATTGTGCCGCCGCTTGGGGACTTTGGCATTACCTGCCAGTGCTAGACTTCCTCTGCAGCTAATGCCTGGTAATGCCAGTTGCTTGGAAACAGGTGCTCTGTTGCCTCGTATCCTAGGCTTCTTCCCTTTTTTCGCCATTTGGCAGCCAGCGCTCTAATTGGCATGCTTCTTGCGTGGTCACGGCTGGAGGTTTGCAAAATTCTGTTCCAGAAAGAAAGAGGGGAGAAAGAGAGTGGATCTGCGTTTGGGGGGTGGGGAGAGACTTTCTTTCTCCATGAATGACAGCTCACGTTAATTAGACAGCAGACATGAGCAGACAGGGAGCAGAGTGTCTGGATGGGTGGAATATTACCTACGCCATCAGTCATGAAAGGAAAGCGCTATTTTCTGGGCCCAGCAACAGCACTGCCTCTCCCAGTTCTGCACCCGCGACGCAGTTTGCCCTGGAGTGGAACTCTGTAAAGAACATAAGAACATGGGGGAATCCTGCAGGATTAGGCCAATGGCCCATCTAGTCCAGCATCCTGTTCTCACAGTGCTGACTCTATACTTGTTGGCATTGTCTTGTGAGACAATGGAGTGCGCCTATGGGGGTGAAGCCAAACTGCTGCGATAGCTGCACCAAAGTGCAAGCCTGGGCAGTGTGTATGGTGGTTCTGGGGATGCCCAGATGTGGTGGTCGCTAAGTGTGGAACTCCCTGCCCTTGGAGGTGAGTCTGACATCTTCATTATACTGTTTCTGGTGAGTGCTGATAAGACACTTCTTTACCTAGGCACTTGAGGTGTGTTATTTTGCTATTGCGTGTCAAGACCCCGCAGCCCCCCCCCCGGTTGGAAATAACTCACACAAGGACACAGATATTAGGTTTATGTTGTTGGGCAAATTTGGCCACAACTTTATTGAATTACAGAATGTGAGCGGTATTGGCTTAGACATTGATTGGACCCGACTATATCTGACTCCTGGCTGATGTGCAGGAAGTCCGGTAAGGGTAAACCTACTGGTAGGGGGAGCCCTGTCGATGCGTACCAACTCGAGCTCCCCCTGGTGTTCCTGTTGGGGTCGTGTCATGGCCCTAGCCCCCGACCCGGGCTTCAGACAAGATCCACACCCCCAGATTCCTTTAACGGAATACTCTTAAGCATGGAGGGGCAGGTGATGGCCACACCTCCCCTCCCCACACAAGGTCAAACAATGCCTAACCGCAACCCTAACAAAGTTGTGACGATTGCTATGAGGTAGGTGAAAACCAAGTGGCCATTGCCAACTTGCCAAGTGGAAAAATTCCTACCAGGCCCCTCGGACAGCCAAGGCGACCAACCGAAGGCCATAGCAAGGCCAGTGCCTAAACTGCAAATAGGGAGGGAGGGCGGGTGATTGAGGAAGCGAGCCAAGAGGAAGTCCTCTGGCTCGCTCCTTGGTTTAAACTGCCCTGGATACGTCGTGTCCCCCCCCCCCGGGCCAGCGGATTGGCCGTCCGGGCTCTGACGTGGCCGGGATCCCCCGGGCAACGGGGGACAAAGTCCCCCGCCCCAAGTGGGGAGTGGGTAGCCACGCCGCCCACTGCAACTCCTCCTCACTGGGAAGTGGAGCGGATTTGTCAGATATTTAAACCTGTTCTTAATACTGTGTTTTACTATTGCAACCTGCTCTGGGACCTCTGGGCAAAGTACGGGTCAATAATAAGAATAATAATAATAGTCGGATCGTACCCTTTGATAAGTATGTTTTCACTCCTGCTTCAAAGAAATGCATCTGGCCTATTCAAGCTTGACTCCTTTGTTATTCCGTGTTACAAATTTACAAATAGATCAGCGGGGCGGTCGGACGTTTTAAGATAATTATACGCACATGATGTTGTATTAAGCATGAAAGCGAGCACCTCGTCAGCTTGCCATCCACCTGGTTTGCTGCCAGGTCATTTTTATTTTGGTACAGTACGAGCCTGACCTTTATCTATATTAATTTAATCCTATAAAGGAGCCGGAGTATTCCGACGAAAATGATTAGCACTCAAAAAGGCGGCGGAGGGGTGGGGGGGAGAAGCTCTCTCAATTTTCCCAGTGACGAAGTTATTAGTTTACAAGAAAGGCATGGCCTTTGTCGGCAAGGTGGCGGAAAATCCGTGTTGTGACTTCCAGCCGGCTGGAGCTCAATTACTGTAATAAATGCATTCCAAAGTTCATCTCAAATGCATTTGCATTTTAATGAATGATTCTTACCTCCTCGTCAAGTTGGCGGCAGAGGCTAATTTTATTAAGTTGCTGCATAAATACGATGCTTTTGAAACGAGGATTTAAATGGAAAGGTATTTGCTTTGCCCCCTCCCCACCCCTTGTGTGAAAATGACTAGCCCTTGTTTGTGCCACCTGCCAGGGACAGCGCAGAATGTGTGTGTGTGTGTGTTGAGAGATAGAGAGAGCTGTCAGAACATAATGCTTGCCTGGTGGAGACAGGGTAGAAATTCAGTTCAGTTCTGATTTGCAGTTTCTGAAACAATATGTGAACTGAAACAGAGTCATCGTTCAAAATTCATGGTTGCAGTCACCGTCGCAGCAGCACCCTTCCTGTCTGGATGCAACTGCTGAAGTTTAAAGAACAAGCAAAGCAAAATTGCATGGAACGGTATACATGTATTTGGAGAAAACGACCCTTAAATGCTGCAGAATTTCGATGAGGCTTTTTAAAAACAAAACCAAAAAACATCAGAAACTGCTATGGGATTATGGAGAACTAAACTTAAAAGATTGGAAGTGGTGTGTGAAATGGAGAGCTTCCATACAGTTGGGAGACTCAGGACAGATAAATGAAAGTATTTCTTTATTCAACGCATAGTTGAACTATGGAACTCACTCCAGCAGGAGGGAGGCGTGGCCAACCAACTTAAAGGTAAAGGTAAAGGGCCACTAGGTCCATTCGTGGCCAACTCTGGGGTTGCGGCACTCATCTCGCTCTATTGGCCTAGGGAGCCGGCGTACAGCTTCCAGGTCATGTGGCCAGCATGACTAAGCCGTTTCTGGTGAACCAGAGCAGCACACGGAAATGCCGTTTACCTTCCCACCGGAGCGGTACCTATTTATCTACATGCACTTTGACGTGCTTTCAAACTGCTAGGTTGGCAGGAGCAGGGACCGAGCAATGGGAGCTCACCCCGTTGCGGGGATTCGTACCGCCGACCTTCTGATCAGCAAGTCTTAGGCTCTGTGGTTTAACCCACAGCACCACCTGCATCCCTTAGATGGCTTTAAAAAGCGATTGGACAAATTCAGGGAGGGCAGGGCTCTCATTGGCTGTTAGCCACAATGACTGTGTTGTACCTCCGCTGTCAGAGGCATACATTACTAGGGTTGCCATATTTCATAGAATCATAGAATCATAGAGTTGGAAGAGGCCATCAAGTCCAACCCCCTGCCAAGCAGGAAACACCATCAGAGCACTCCTGACATATGGTTGTCAAGCCTCTGCTTAAAGACCTCCAAAGAAGGAGACTCCACCACACTCCTTGGCAGCAAATTCCACTGTCGAACAGCTCTTACTGTCAGGAAGTTCTTCCTAATGTTTAGGTGGAATCTTCTTTCTTGTAGTTTGGATCCATTGCTCCGTGTCCGCTTCTCTGGAGCAGCAGAAAACAACCTTTCTCCCTCCTCTATGTGACATCCTTTTATATATTTGAACATGGCTATCATATCACCCCTTAACCTCCTCTTCTCCAGGCTAAACATGCCCAGCTCCCTTAGCCGTTCCTCATAAGGCATCGTTTCCAGGCCTTTGACCATTTGGGTTGCCCTCCTCTGGACACGTTCCAGTTTGTCAGTGTCCTTCTTGAACTGTGGTGCCCAGAACTGGACACAGTACTCCAGGTGAGGTCTGACCAGAGCAGAATACAGTGGCACTATTACTTCCCTTGATCTAGATGCTATACTCCTATTGATGCAGCCCAGAATTGCATTGGCTTTTTTAGCTGCCGCATCACACTGTTGGCTCATTTCAAGTTTGTGGTCGACCAAGACTCCTAGATCCTTTTCACATGTACTGCTCTCAAGCCAGGTGTCACCCATCTTGTATTTGTGCCTCTCATTTTTTTTTTTGCCCAAGTGCAATACTTTACATTTCTCCCTGTTAAAATTCATCTTGTTTGTTTTTGCCCAGTTCTCTAATCTGTCAAGGTCGTTTTGAAGTGTGATCCTGTCCTCTGGGGTGTTGGCCACCCCTCCCAGTTTGGTGTCATCTGCAAATTTGATCAGGATGCCCTTGAGTCCATCATCCAAGTCGTTGATAAAGATGTTGAATAAGACCGGGCCCAAGACAGAACCCTGTGGCACCCCACTAGTCACTCTTCCAAAAGTGAAAATCCAGACACAAAAATTGTTGGGCTTTTGCAGAATCTGAAAAAGAAGTCTTGTAGTAAGGTTAAAGCTTACTGGGAATGATATATAATGAATTGAAAAAGATGTTTAAAATAACATAAAAAACAACAACCCCAGAAGCTTTCTTTTTGGTAGTTATAGGAAAAACTGAAACTGTATAGAATCTTATTCATGTATGCGACTACAGCAGCAAGAATGTTACTTGTCCAAAAATGGGAAGAAGAAGAAGTCCCAGGAATGGATACAAAAACATATGGAATATGCAGAAATGGCAAAACTTACTGGAAAAATAAGAAATCAAGATAACAGACTTTTCATAAAAGCATGTAAATGGTTTATTAGATATTTACAAACAAATTGTAAACAGATAAGAACATTGGCAGGATTATTTTAATAACCTGCAGTTTTGTAAGAGTATATATTTAAAGCAGGTGAATAAATGAACAAATTAAGTTAATTGCAGAAAATATTAAAAATAAATTTAAGGAACAGCAGAAAGAGGGGGAAGGAAGTCAAGTTTTGAAATGTTAAAACGACAGTAAAATTATTGAAATGTATAAACCTGAAAATCATAAATAAAATATTTTTTAAAAAAATGAAAAAAAGAAGTTTTTGAGCTTTTTTAAAGGAAATTTGCCAAAATCTATACATTCCAACATGGGTTCCCATATGTCAGGAATTCCACAGACATTACAGGCAGACGGCGAATCACCTTGAGATTCAGAAGTGCCATTTGTTAAGTGTCTAGTAGCCTTCGAGGAGTTTTAATGCATTGCTAGGAAGGAAGAGGGTGTTCTGAACCCGGTTGCAGCCATTACTTTAGGAGGTACGCGCAGTGTTTCGGGAGATGGATGGGCTTGTCTGATTCGGACAGGGTAGAAATATGTTTTGCACGCGGACTGCAGAACAACTTGTCGTGATGTATCCATTTTGCTGGCAGTGAGCGCTTTGCGTTGTCTGTCTCGTCTGTCATCCGACAAAAGTCTTCTTTTAAAAATAGGTGGCGGGGGGGGGGGGAGGAGAGAGACGAAAGAAATCTTCTGCTGCAGTCTCATAGCCAATGCAAAATTCAACTGTCTTCGTCTCTCTCTGAACCACAAGCCTTTATTTGCCTAGAATCTGGATGAGGTCTTCTCCCCTTATATGTCACATATATATTTATTAAATATGTGAACACCAGCCTAATAGGGGCACAAATGCGTCTTACGATGGAAGCCACTGTTACATAGTCATCTTAGCTCAATTGCTTTTTAACTGTTATATTTTATAGGTTTTTAGCTTTTTGTGTTTGTTTTATTTTTTTGTGAGCTGCCTTCAGTCCCAGTTCTGCAGAAAAGGTGGGATATAAATAAATCGTGGTGAAGGGATAGCTCAGTCGGTAGAGCATGAGACTCTAAATCTCAGGGTTGTGAGTTCGAAACCCACGTTGGGCAAAAGATTCCTGTATTGCAGGGGGTTCAACTAGATGACCCTCATGGTCCCTTACAATTCTATGATCCTATGATGGTGACGATGATGATATACCAGTGTGGTGTTGTGGTTAGAGTGTTGGACTAGGACCTGGGAAACCATGGTTCAATTTCTCACTCGACCATGAACTTCCCTGTGTGATCTTGGGCCAGTCACTGCCTCTCAGTCTAACCTACCTTACAGGGATGTTGTGGGGATTAAATGAGGAAGGGAGAGAAGAACATTTCCCACCTTAAGCTCCTTTGAAGAAAAGGACAGAAATGCAATGAGGAAATCATCATCATCATCATCATCATCATCTGTATTGCAGGGGTTGGACTTGATGAACCTCACAATCCCTTCCAACTCTATCATTTTCTCATTATATATGTGTGTGTGTGTAATATTTTTGTTGTTGTTTTTTGTTTTTTGTTTTTATAATTCCTTTTCCCATCACCATCCACCACCCCTCACCCCACCTTTGTGTTAGACTTCCAATCTACTCAATTGCAATTTCTTTCCACTTCTATTACTTTCTTTCACACACCTTTAACCTAATTTCATGCTTCTTTTTCTATTACACATTGTTATCCATCTTATTTAATATTTCAGTATTTAAAACGGAACTTGTTTATTCTAACAGGAGTTCTGATTTTTCAATATGGTTTTGCAAGTATCCTTTAAACACCTTCCAATCCCTGTCTATCTTCTCTTTTGAGATCCTTCCAATTTCTCCCATTGTTTTGGATATATTGTAGTACTCCAATAATTTGGCAAGCCACTCTATTTTTGTTGGTATAATACCACTTTCCCAATTTTTCGCAGTAGCCTTGCAGCTACTGTTGTGTACAAATATAATGTCTTGTATAATATTTTTGTTTTACAATTTTGTTTTACTCATTTTTGTATCCTTAAGATATCAATGACTTCCCTTCTTCTCACTCCATGGTTCATTTTACATATCATAAAATGCTGCATATCTTACAAAAAACGATACCATTCACTATTCCACTATTACATCCCTCAAAACTTATTTACACTGTTGAATTTATCTTAAACGCTGCGAGCGTTTTCAGCTGTACGACTCTGTGGTTTTCTCTATGATTCTATGATGAGTAATGGACCTCAAAGCAGTTTACAAAAAGAGTTAAGATTAAATTATCATTCTAAAACAAACAGACAAACGAACAGTTCAGCACAGCGATTAAAAACCTTCAGAAAATAATTAAATTTGGCAATGACCAAAAATAATCAAATCCAGCATTTTCAGATTAAAACACATGGAAACTTTCAATATGCGTAGGCTTTGCCTAAGCGATAATGTTTTTGCCAGGCGCCAGAAAGAGCAGACTGAAGGAGCCTGCAAGATGTCTGTAGGCATATAAGGTTGAGAAAGGCTGTTGTACGTAGTCCAACACTTGGGTCAGGATGATGTGCTCCTCGGAGTTACCCTCCATCCTCAGACTCCCCCGTTATGGGCTAGAACAGGGGTCAGCAAACTTTTTCAGCAGGGGGCTAGTCCACTATTCCTCAGACCTTGTGGTGGGCCAGTCTATATTTTGGGAAAAAATAAAATGAACGAATTCCTATGCCCCACAAATAACCCAGAGATGCATTTTAAATAAAAGGACACATTCTACTCATGTAAAAACATACTGATTCCCGGACCGTCCATGGGCCGGATTTAGAAGGTGATTGGGCCAGATCCAGCCCCCAGGCCTTAGTTTACCTACCCGTGGGCTAGAATCTCTCTAGGGAATTCAATAGCTCACCTTCCTTATAGGTTCTGTGTTTAGGCGTACAGTGTGTCCATCAGTACTAGTACAGGAATCTGAATGGAAATCACGGCAGTTAGCAAATTTCTATAAATCCGTTTTGTTATATGGGAGGGAATTGGCAGCACAGATGGCAATTGCGCACCTGTGCAGATGTTTCCTATCGCGTCGCAATCAACACAAGATTGCTGGAGGGCCTGCGGGCTCTGAGGGACTTCCTTCCACCTTTGGTGGGAATGCCATCAGGTTTCATTATTCCGGTCCCGAGTATATTAAGAAATATCCAAAACAATTAAATCACCTGCTCAGGCTTCCCCACAACTGACATTCGTCAATATGTGGACAGACAGCTTGTCACTCCGAAGAGCTCTTGATTTGGATTTTCGCTGTCGCTGGGATTTCAACAGCCCAACAATGAGAAACCTTGAAAAAAAAATCTGCATTTGGCTGTGTGGTATTACCGTATAACTTACGGCCTTTGCCTACCATGGGAAAAATTGCACAAAAACCGCACGTCTCCAGGGGGATGGAAGGTCCAGAATGCTTTTAAGTCATTCAGTAGGATTTTATTTCCTATGATTTAGGGCTGGACGATATCTGGTTTTCAACATTGTGATATATCATCAGCTAAACGTTGTGCTATACCAGGCATAGGCAAACTCAGCCCTCCAGATGTTTTGGAACTACAACTCCCATCATCCCTGACCACTGGTCCTGTTAGCTAGGGATGGTGGGAGTTGTCCCAAAACATCTGGAGGGCCGAGTTTGCCTATGCCTGTGCTATACTAATATATCACAATGTCTGAAATAAGGATGGAGTTATGTAGAGGCATTGTCTGGCTTCATGGTTTTTACAACAAGGCGATTTTTGCATAACACACACACACACACACACACACACACACACACACACACATCATGATTCGCAATATACTGCCAGGTTAAAAATTATGAAACCAATATTGAAACCATTTTTGGACGATGTATTGATGTATCACCCAGCTCTACGATAGACTTAGATGCTCAACATTCACCAACCACTGCAGCTCGTAACATCTTGCTTTATTTTGGCACGTCATCATTTCTTTCCCTTATTATTGATTCTTTGTCTGCCCTGTTTATGTTGTGATGTAACACCCTGCTACTGCACTTTCGGGGTTGCAAATAGTGTTCACAAAAATCTTTTTTTAAAAAATGAATTAAATAAGTTCTTCTGACAGGAATGAGAAGGAGGAAGGCCTCTGAGACAACCCATAATCCTTTGGGTCCTGGACTTCTTTCAACATGTGTTCTTTTACTCTTTGCATAAAGAGACAGAGAGTTCTTCTGGAGGGTTGCTGGAGGGGAATAATGTATCTCCATATTGGTAGCTTTGCCATCACTTCAGCGCTTGACCTCCCGCCATTTTTAACAGGTATCTGATCAACTCGGTGAAGATCGGGCGGGGCTACTTCCATATGCTTCGCAGAGAAACTCTGGAGAGGCAGGAAGCAACCAGGCTGGAAGAGTGGAAGGAGCAGGAAAGGCAGAGGACTGACTGTCAGCCGCCGAAATACCCATCATCCTCATCCTCCGATGAAGACTCAGGGGATGAAGAACTGACTGAGTAGGTGTTCTTCGAGGCTCTTAATCTATTAACAGCCGTTTCCTTTTTCCAAATGTGACCTCTAAGTGGCGCCATCGGGTCCTTGAGGTTCGATTGAGAGCTGAGCTGACGGCGTCTCAGAAGATCATCCACACACACCTTTTTGCGAGGTTGACTAGCTCAGAGTTGGCCAATGCGATGCCCTCCAGACATTTTAGACAGTGTGAGAAACGGCCGTGTAACCTAGGGCTGCCATATTTCAAAAAGTAAAAACCAGGGCTTGTCGATTAACTTAGGTCTAAGATCCAGGATGTATGGCAGCCCTACATACACCAAGTGGGACGCAGGGGGGCGCTGTGGTCTAAACCACTGAGCCTCTTGGGCTTGCCAATCAGAAGGTCGGTAGTTTGGATCCCCATGACGGGGTGAGCTGCTGTCGCTCTGTCCCAGCTCCTGCCAACCTAGCAGTTCAAAAGCACGCCAGTGCAAGTAGATAAATAGGTACCACTGTGGCGGGAAGGTAAACGCCATTTTTGTGCACTCTGGCTTCCGTCACGGTGTCCCAATGTGCCAGAAGCGGTTTAATCATGCCAGCCACGACCCAGAAAGCTGTCTGTGGACAAATGCCGGCTCCCTTGGCCTGAAGTGAGATGAGCGCTGCAACCCCGTAGTCGCCTTTGACTGGACTAAACCATCCAGGGGTCCTTTACCTTTACCATATACCAAGTGAGATTCTTGGCTCAGTGCCATCTACACTGCCTGGCAGCTGCTCTCCAGGAGCTCAGTCCTACTTGGAGATTCCAGGGATCGAGTCACAGACTTTCTGCCTGCAAAACACATGCTTTACCCCTGACCAATCATAGGAGGCTTCCTTATACCGAATCAGACCATTGGCTGACCCAGCTCAGCATTTTCTACACAGGCCAGCAGCAGCTCTGCCAGAGTTCCTCGCAGCCCTACCCAGAGATCAAACCTTTTGGCAAGCAAAGCGTGTGCACTGCCCCTGAACGTCTCTCTTGCACATGGGTTTAGGGTATACACACAATGGCACTCATAGACCGGACATTAGAATGGGGGAATGAGTGGAGGCTCCGCATGGCACAATTTGAATCAGTATTAGAAGGAATTATGATAATATCTCTATGCCTGAAGCATATGAGACACATTTCACAATATAAATCACCTTTTTTAAAAGACGATTCCCCAGCCTTGCATTAAAGGAACATCTTTAGCTGTTAAGCATGCAGGAGATCAAAGAGGAGGGTGATTTTGCTATTATGACATTTTCCTTGTACAGGACTCTGCAGTTGTAAATGTCTATGGGGGTGCTAATTTTGCAGGTCAGGGTGCTCTTCAGAAAGGACGAGGAGTGCCAGGAGTGGGTGTAAATCAGATCAATAAGCAGTTCCTGTCTAGAACAGATTGTGCTTTTGTTTTCTGACAGCTGTGTCTCTTTGTCTCTCTCTCCCCCACCCCCCCACCCCCAAGTTTCTTTCTAACAGAATGTCCCTTTCTGAGAGAGACTGAGAAAAAGAAGAAGAAGAAAATTGTCCGACCTTTCACCCCCGTCTACAACGGCCTGCTGTCGGAAAAGCATCCGGATGCCCATTTGTACGTTTGAAGGCGTTAATAACGTCAAGAATACTCTCTGACTCTCTGCTTGCCATTTCTTTTCAGAGACCACTTGCAGTTTGCTTGTTGGTCTGGGGAAGGCTAACTGTACATGCTCAGAGGGGACTTTGGCTCCTTTGTTCACTTGGGGAAAGGGGGATGATAACCATGTATGGAATATGAAGATGCTAAACAGGTGGTTAAAGGAAGAGTGTTTGTTTCCTTTGAACAGTACCTGCAAGAGAGTTTAGCATTTATTCTGTGTCCAGGGCAACTGTCTACCAGCTCCATCTGGTATGCTGCCTGAGACCCTCCCTACCTGCAAACTGTCTTGCCAGAATGGTGCATGCTCTGGTTATCTCTCGCTTGAACTACTGCAATGCGCTCTATGTGGGGCTACCTTTGAAGGTGAAACTACAACTAATCCAGAATGCGGCAGCTAGACTGATGACTGGGAGTGGCTGCCGGGACCATATAACACCGGTCCTGAAAGAGCAACATTGGCTCCCAGTACGTTTCTGAGCTCAATTCAAAGTGTTGGTGCTGACCTTTAGAGCCCTAAATGGCCCAGTATACCTGAAGGAGCGTCTCCGCCCACATCATTCAGCCCAGACACTGAGATCCAGCTCTGAGGACCTTCTGGCGGTTCCCTCACTGCAGGAAGTGTAACTACAGGGAACCAGGCAGAGGGTCTTCTCGGTAGTGGCACCCGCCCTGTGGAACACCCATCAAAATGCCAAAGAGATAAACAATTATACGACTTTCTGTAGACCTCTGAAAGCAGCCCTGTATGGGAAGTTTTTTAAGTTTTATGTTTTGCTGTGGGGTTTTTCATATTCTGTTGGAAGCTGCCCAGAGTGGCTGGGGAAACCCAGTCAGATGAGTGCTGTTTAAGTAATTTATTATTATTGTGGTTATTTTTATACCTAGTTAAACTGTTGTTTTTGAGGACCACAAGCCCAAAGCCCAGTTGCGTAGTTTTCTGCTTTGTGGCCCATTTCCCCCTCTCCAAACTCACTGCCCCTGAGCCCACCTCCTCTGCCAATCAGCCCCACCATCTGCCAGTCAACTCACCATCTGCCTTTCTCCCTCTTTCTCTTTGACAGCGACTCCATCTTCCGGCAGCTGTGCGCCCTCAACTGGCTCTTGGAAGCTTTGACTCTGGATCCCAACAGCAGCATGAAACCTGTGATGACATGCTGGAATCCCAGGTGGGTCTTGGTGCAGTTAGGCCAGGTCATGGTGTTTGGGGGGTGGGCTGGTCCCCCCCCCCCGAGATACCTTGAAAATGGGCAGGCGGCTCTGAAAATGGGGTAGAGCAACTCCTCCGTTGGTTGGGGTTGAGTGCGGCTTCACTGCTGTGAGTAAACTATGCAAAAAATCACCCCATGAGCTTGTGTTGAAGAATTTAGCCATGGATTTAGAAGGCTAAAGGTAAAGGGACCCCTGACCATTAGGTCCAGTCGTGGCCGACTCTGGGGTTGCGGCGCTCATCTCGCTTTATTGGCCGAGTACAGCTTCCGGGTCATGTGGCCAGCATGACTAAGCCGCTTCCGGCGAACCAGAGCAGCGCACAGAAACGCCGTTTACCTTCCCGCCAGAGCGGTACCTATTTATCTACTTGCACTTTGACGTGCTTTCGAACTGCTAGGTTGGCAGAAGCAGGGACCGAGCAACAGGAGCTCACCCCGTCGTGGGGATTCGAACCGCCAGCCTTCTGATCGGCAAGCCCTAGGCTCTGTGGTTTAACCCACAGCGCCACCTGCGTCCCATTTAGAAGGCTACACGGCTGTAAATTCCATATTCTATACCTTCAAGAGAGGACAGGTCACTAGCCGTAAGAAAAGCACTCTGCACGTGTTTAGAGCCAGAAGCTGGGTACTTTCCACGACTGGGTCCTGCCACTGGATGTGGAATCTGTGGCTAGGCCCAAGAGTCAGTTGTGTCTCAGCGGTGCCAGAAGGGGCATGGAATAAAAGCCAGGGTGTAACCACTGAAAGCTCGCCCCCTTCATTTTCCCCCCTTAGGCACTACGGCGGTGCAAAAAGTTCCTTGAAAGTCATCGCGAAAGAAAAGACGGTGAAGGCTCGATGGGAGCACTTTCTCTTGCAAACAAAGGTAACTTGCTTTATGCCAGTTTCCAAATACAGTCGTACCTTGGATCTCGAACGCCTTGTGACTCAAACGTTTTAGCTCCCAAACGCCGCAAACCCTGAAGTGAGTGTTCCGGTTTGTGAAGGTTCTTTGGAAGCCAAATGTCTGGCACGGCTTCCGATTGAGTGCAGGAAGCTCCTGCAGCCAATCGGAAGCTGCGCCTTGGTTGTCAAACGTTTTCAGAAGTCGAACGGACTCATGGAACGGATTCTGTTTGACAACCAAGGCACGACTGTGGTTGTTTAGTGTTTGTTTAGAGCCTCAAAAAAATAAAATAAAGCAAATCACCATTCCTGACACCCTCCCTGGGTTCTGGGGTTTTCCGCCAGCCCTTCAGAACAGTTTCCGTGGCATGTGTGGTTGGAGGAGGAGTGTAAATTCTTTCTCTGGTGGGGTGGTTACTTAGTGCTCTACTGGGTAGCTGTCACTGTCTCCATACTGCAGATGGGATAACTGAGGCTTGCCTTATGGCTCTGCAGTGAGTGTTGGATGCCACCACACACAGACTCAGCACCTCCACCCCACCAGCCCCTCATACTTGTTTTTATACCATCCATCCTTGGTGGCCTCTGAACCCCCCTTCCAACAACTAGCTATTATTGTTGCTGTTGTTGTTGTTATTTATTAAATTTGTATACCAATCTATACCCACAGGGCTCACAGCATAAAATCACAATATGGAAACACAAAATACATAATAAAAACAACAACATAACAATCCCTCCCTCCTCCCCAACACATTTTAAAAGGGCATTGGATGCCAATCAGCCCAAGGCCTAGTTAAAGAGGAACATTTTTGCCTGGCGCCTAAAGGTGTATAATGAAGGCTCCAGGTGAACTTCCCTGGGGGAAAGCATCCCATCCATACAGCAACCAGAAACATAGCCAATAATTCTCTGTATTGAATTCCACGATTATTTCTCCTTCCGGTCAAGAAGTGTGCTAGAATCAGATCTCAGCAGAGGATTTGGTCTTGTTCAAAAAAGACCTCATTCCCAAAAAAATTGATCTATCGGGTAATCCCACTGCAGGAAAAGCAACAATCCTCTTCTCCGCCATACTATTGTTGGAGTTTTATAACATATGGAATTTTTTACAAGTGTCCGGTCCCAGCAGAATAGCATCTTCAAAGCACCTCCTTGAATGCGTGCCAAAATGGCAAATCTGAACCCATTTTCTCCCCCTTTGTTCATCCTCAAGCCAAGTGCCTAAATCAGTTTCCCCTGTTTTCCTAATACTTTGTGGAATTGTGTGTGTGTCCCCGTCAAACAGTAGGACCATCCTGATGAGGCACCACCTCTTATAGGCTTTCTGTTGCATTTCTCCAGAGCAGAAAATACACCCAGAAAGGACAGTACCGGGGCAGGAGAATCCCCAAGAGGTCTTCCACCATGAGCATCTCCTCTCCCCACAGCAAAACGACCCTGACCAGCACAAGCTCCCTGTCGCCCATCTACGACGAAGCAGCCCAGCCCCCTTCCGACAGCGCCAAGGAAGGGGAGGAGATGGAGTCCATCTTCAGCAAGCAAACCAGGGAGGAAGAGGAGCCAATGTGCTACCGTGAGTCCCGGAGAGCTCAGTGACTCCCCTCTAGGCTGTCACGGCTACCCCTCTCCAGAATTTATTTATTATATCACCTGCCTTTTTTTTTTCCCCCATCCCCTTCTCAGAACTGCAGACGCTGCTTCAGATGATACACGAAGACGTGGCAAAGAATTTTAGCAAAGAAAATATGTTTTGGAACTTGACGCACGGCTGGTACGTCGCGCCTTTTGTGGAAGCGGACGGGGTCACAGTATAAAGAGAGAGTGAAAGGCAGGATATAAATTCCAAACTACTACTACTACTACTACTACTACTACTACTATTACGCCGCTGCTGCTGCTGCTGCTGCTGCTTCTTCTTCTTCTTCTTCTTCTTCTTCTTCTTCTTCTTCCTCCTCTGCCCAGTCCCTGACACCCGATGTCATCCCGGAGAAACGGATGTTGGCAAGTCAAGCTGCCATTTCCCCATACCCAGCCAGCATCTCATTCCATTGCTTGCTCCCTGAAGCCACAATCACACCATGTATTTGGAGCGCTCTGAGAACACTTTGAACAGTCGCGGCTTCCCTCAAAGAATTCTGCATGTTGTGTTTTGCTGAGGGTGCTGAGAGTTATTAGCAAACTTCTGTTCCGCCTCGTGGGACTACAAGTCTCGGAGTCGTTCGACAGTTGATCCCTCTTCCCAGGGAACTCTGGGGATTGTAGCTCTGGGACAACAGCGGGGTGTCTTCTAGTGACCCATAACAAACTACAGCTCCCAGGATTCTTTGGGGGAAGCCATGAAAGTTTAAAGTGGCATTGTCGTTCACATATGATGTGAGTGTGGCTTAAGAGTCTTCCCATCTCCCCAATTTCCTCCAAAGGCCCTACCCAGAGAGTCCCGATTGGACAACTGCGGAAAATTATACCCGTTAATTGGATCGGATGACTGTGTATCTCAAAAGAGAGGCCAGATTTGGGGGGGTGGGGCACTTCTCATTGCATTTTTGCTTCAGTCCCTGCATTCTGGCCACATGCAAGACTCGGTTTCTGCTCCTTATTTTGTAGTTCGCACACCATATTGTCGAGACGCGAGCTGGAGAGCGAATTTTCGTTTGGGCAGAAGGGCAAAAGGTAGGGACTGAGCACGGTGCATATGGCCGCGACGCAGCTGAACATATCGCTCATTTTTTCAGTTTTTTACTACAATTCGGACACGAATATTCTTCATGCAGTTGCTGGAAGCCACAGAGCATCCCGCCTGGCCACTGCAAGAACAGGATGAGCAGCTGAGATCTTACGTTCAAAGGAGCTCTTCAGTGTGAATATTATGGGTGCCATGGCAATACCAGGAGTCAGTTTTGCTAATGTATGATTGCTTTTAAATGTTTTTAGATTTTGTGTGTGTGTGTGTGTTTAAAAATTTCCATATGAAAACTCACCAGTATTTTTAATGCAAATTTATCCCAAGGGATAGCTCAGTCGGTAGAGCACAGGACGCAGGGTTGTGGGTTCAAGCACCATATTGGATAAAGGATTCCTGTATTGCAGGGGGTTGGACAAGATGGTCCTGGGTGTGCCTTCTAACTCTGTGATTATTTTTTTTAATGCAATTTTGCCTAAAACACACATTCCATCGTCTTTGCCTGCCACTCCTCTAATGTTGGTAAATCCGAGTGTCTTGCTTTTCAGCTCAGTTTCGTCCTCGAAGGAAGAGAAGACCAGCACAGGAGTCGCGAAAGAGGAGACCTCAGGGGAGCAGAGGCCAAAGAGGTAGGGAGGGGGAGCAGCCGTGTACAGTGGTACCTCAGGTTACATACGCTTCAGGTTACAGACTCCGCTAACCCAGAAATAGTGCTTCAGGTTAAGAACTTTGCTTCAGGATGAGAACAGAAATCGTTCTCCGGCGGCACAGCAGCAGACCCCATTAGCTAAAGAGGTGCTTCAGGTTAAGAACAGTTTCAGGTTAAGTACGGACCTCCGGAACGAATTAAGTACTTAACCCGAGGTACCACTGTAGTGGCAAGTTCAGAAGGCCAGGGTGCCTTCAGCATCATCCTAGGATTATGGAACAATCTCATAATGGCCTAATAATACTAATTAGGGATGCTTTGCTACAATCAGTGCAGCTAGCTCTCCATGTGCTGCCTTTCAGATAGCTCTATTTTCTGTGCACATACCGGGACAAATGACTTGAAATGCTCCAATATATTCTTTCAGAGCGACTTAAATCGTGTTTTCTGTGACGTTCCATTGTACGTAACAGAACTTGCAGGCCGTTCTCTTGAAACTGAAGCGTTGGTGGGATTTGAACTCTGGAATTGCACTCGTTGCAAAACAGCAGCACGGGTTCTCAGCTACTTGAGAGCCCTAACTCTGTATGTCTGGAAGAGACAGGCACCAAGAGCAATCGTGTATGAGAGAAGTACTCCGGGATTCTTTGCCTGAGTAATCGAGGCTGGATTCCTCAAGCTAACAATCCTGGGTCTGCAAACTTTTGTATCCTCGTCCTTGCACAGAAGAAGCCCCCTGATTTCAGACCTGCCCCCCTCCCTTGATTGTTAGCTGTGTGTGTCCATTTCCCTTTGAATTTCCTTGCAGTTCAATGACAGTGACTGTCCGGGAAGATAAAACGATGACAGCGACCTACTCGGACGAAGACACCACTGAGCAGATCAACAAACCTCAAAGGTAGGTGTGCGGAGATAGGCTTCTTTCCTGAGGGTCAATAAGAGGGAGTCTATTCTGGCTGTGCAGAAGCTCCTCCCACAAACTCTGACATCACCCAGAAGGAGGAGTTTGCACACACCCAGGGAAGTCTCAGTGGCAGAAAGTAAGGTGATGAAATGCAGCTGCTCATTTGGGGCTCCAAGATCACAGGCCTTTCCTCTGCTATCTGGCTGATAGAGAGGGGATGATTTGTTTCTATATTATATATATCTGGTAATTTATATACTGCTTATCTGTAAACAGAACACTCAGGAGTTTACAACGTAAGTGAGAAATATCTTAAAATAAACAGCTAGTACGATTAAGCGCCGGAGCTTTTCTACATTCTGTGAAACACAGGTACCTACCAAACTGAGCATCATCTTTAGCATCAAAACGAACATCATACGTAAATTCCAAAAGAAGATTCATAGCGTGATGAGTGTTTTGTGGAAGAATGGATGCATTTTTCGGACTATTTAAAGAATAGTATGATGATCTCGTGAGCAGGACTTGAGCTATGAGCAAGAGAAGTAACTAGATTATAATATTATGGTTATGATTTGATAGACGATAGAGTGCAACAGACGAGGAAAAGCAACAACTCCATGGATAACTGAGTGGGAAGTTGACAAAAATAAGAAAAAAGACGAACTTGTGTTTTGACTGCCTGTGTTAGAAATGTTGAAACTTAATAAAATATAATTGAAAAAGAGAGAGAAAATTCATAGTAAACAAGCTAAGCGAAATAGCATCAGGAGGTGAGAATCAGACCATTTTGCACTTTGCACAGCAGGATGGGGTACTGCCATATGTCTGGATTTTCCAGGACATTTAAACAGCCTGGACACTGTCTACGTGGGCCAAACTACAGACTACGCTGTGTCCGGATGTAAAACCTCTCGATATACTTGTCTCTAGAGCAGGGGGTTTAGTGGGCTGTTCAGCTGAGTTAGCATAAGAGAGAAACATAGGACAGGGGACTTTTTTGTCCCAGGAGCTGAATCAGAGGCCATCTGGTGAAGCTGAACAGTGGGAGATTCAGGGCAGACGAAAGAAAGGGCTTCTTCCCATGGAGTATATAGTATGGAACTTGCTCTCCCACAAGGTGTGGCGATGCTTTTAAGAGAGGATGAGACCAATTCATGGAGGCTATCTGTGGCTACTAAGTATATTCTTCCAGTTCCATTGTCCCAGGTGTGCCTTTGAATACCCATTGCTGTGAATCTCAGGCAAGGAGAGGGTTTTCCAACCCAAGCCCTTTTGTTTGCCCCAGAGAGGTCCGTTTCCCAAACTGGCCAGCTTGGGCAGATAAACTGGGCCTACCCTTCTTCCACCTCTCTAGAGACCTGGAGCCTGTGGGTTAATACCTCTGCCTCTCTCTCCTCCAGCCTCTTCCTTAAAAGGAAAGAGCAGACTTTCCAGAACATGAAGGATATCTTCCACGAGGTGGCCCACGAGTCTGCATTCAGGCTGCACGATCAACTGGACATCCTAGAGAGGTAAATCATATTTCGTCTTCCATCTTGGTTATGAGCCCAAGCCCAGAACTGGGGCAGGACATTGTCCGGTTTTCGACATTGTGATATATCACCACCTAAACATTATGATGCACCAATATATCACAATGTCTAAAATAACAGTGTAACTATGTAGATGCAAACAGGGTAATGTCCTGGCAACTGCTACTACTTAGGGAAACTGTCCCCCCGCATCCCCCCTAAAAAACCCTCCCGTTTTTACTCTGCGGCTCCCAGCTTCAGCCCTGCCTGTCCTGCGTCCCTACGGCCCTGTCCCCAGAACAGGGCAGATTTGAACTTGCAGCTGGGTGGGCACTGGCAATCACACCTTGCTCAAAGGGTTCACTTTAAAAAACAACAACACGTGAGCTAAATTGGCAGGAGGCGAGAAGAGAAGAGCACGAGGAAGTACCTGTGCCTGAGTCGCATCACCAAGTTCCGAAAAGATCTCGAGCGGATGAGGCAGTCGATGGTGGGGACGGAGCCGGAACAAGACGCCGAATCCGAGAACTGGTGAGGAAATGGGTAAAGGGGCTTCTGTATCCAGGGCACCTGGTATGCAGGCTGAGAGCCTACCTGCCCACAGACCGTCTCGCCAGAGTGATGCATGCTCTAGTTATCTCCTGCTTGGACTACTGCAATGCGCTCTACGTGGGGCTACCTTTGAAGGTGACCTGGAAACTACAACTAATCCAGAATGCGGCATCTAGACTGGTGACTGGGGGCAGCCGCCAAGACCACATAACACCGGTCTTGAAAGACCTACATTGGCTCCCAGTACGTTTCCGAGCACAATTCAAAGTGTTGGTGCTGACCTTTAAAGCCCTAAACGGCCTCAGCCCAGTATACCTGAAGGGGCATCTCCACCCCCATCGTTCTGCCCGGACGCTGAGGTCCAGCGCCGAGGGCCTTCTGGCGGTTCCCTCACTGCGAGAAGCAAAGCTACAGGGAACCAGGCAGAGGGCCTTCTCGGTAGTGGCACCCGCCCTGTGGAACGCCCTCCCATCAAAGAGATAAATAACTGACATTCAGAAGACATCTGAAGGCAGCCCTGTTCAGGGAAGCTTTTAATGTGTGACATTTTAGTGTATTTTTGGTCTGTGTTGGAAGCCGCCCAGAGTGGCTGGGGAAACCCAGCCAGGTGTGCGGGGTACAAATAATAAATTATTATTATTATTATTATTATTATTATTATTATCATTATCATTAAAAGCCAGAGTGCTTTGCCGCGGGGAGAGTGCAAAACAGGGTACTGGCACCAGGAGCCAGCTTCCTAAGAACCTCGGCACTTGCATTTTAAAAACAAAACCCAAAGTTTCTAGCTTGTCAGGAGGCAGTTGAAAGCACAGAGGCATTTACAGGTGACCTCCGGGAGGCCAGGAATCTTGGCAGTCACAGGAAGTCGCTTCTCAGTGAGCAGCAGGCATGTAAAAATGTTTTTCCAGCAGGATAAAAACATGCAAAAAAGGTGGTCAAGGGGAGGTGTTTTAAAACCAGGAAGTTGGCAGAGTTCTGCCCTACCATCTCAGTTTCCAGTAGGGAGGTGGATATGGCTGGACAGGTTTTGCCGTTCTCCATTTTAGGATTTTGCAGCCTTAAGACACTGCCTTGCGGACCTGTCATGGGCATTTGGTGGGTGGGAGAGAAACTGTTTTGACATGCAGTTGCTCTCCATCACATCGTGGAGGAAATGCCATCTTGGAAGACCCTAACACAATGTTTTCCAAACTTGGGTCTCCAGCAGTTTCTGGACTACAACTCCCATCATCCCTAGCTAGCAACCCCAGTGGTCAGGGATTGTGGGAATTATAGTCCGAAATCAGCTGCAGACCCAGGTTTGGGAAACACTGGCCTAACAAGCTCACCACAAGCCGTCCAGGACACTTGCGCTGAAACACCTGTTTTCGTATCTGTTCCAAGGTTCTCCACTTTGCTGGCCAGGATCCCAGATGACGTCAAGAGAGACCACCGTACCCAGAAAGTCCTAAAGAAACTGGAGAGGTTTGCGAGGAATCCGGACTTGCGCATCCGGCCGCCCACCTTCCTGAAAGTGTTGGGGGAGCTTCGGATCTGGGAAATCTGCTCTCCGGACATCTGCGCGGCTGTGGAGGTGAGAGATGCGAAAGGAGAGTCTGTCTGAAAGGGCCGAGAGAGCCCAAGGCAGATTTGCTCATCCCTGGGCTTCTCCATGACAAGAGAGAGAAAACAAATTCAGTTCATTAGGCTCTAGCTCAAGGATCCTGGTAAGAAATCTTTGGCCTTCTGGGAGGGATGCTGTGCTCTGCAGGCCTCTGCTTCTATCCAGAATGATTTAGATTACCTTTTTAAATGTGCTCAGAGAGCTCCACGTTTGTTTTATTGGAGCAATCGGTACAAAGCCTCTGCAAGATCAGTCAGCGTTATTATTGCCATCTTGCAAAGGAGGGAGCTGAGAGAGAGAGAGGCGTTTCTTCCTCTCCTCTTTCTATATAAATCCTGGAAGCTCAAGGAGGGTAGCACAGTGGAATTGATCTAGGGTAATGTTAGCATGGACAATTTCACATAGTGCACCATTGAACTCCCGGGATGAAAAATATACCCCCAAAGGCCCATCAAGTCCAGCATCTTTCCTGCGCTCATTGTGGCCAAGCAGATACCCTTTCTCAACCCTGGGTCCCCAGATGTTGTTGGACTACAACTCCCCCCTTCCTCTGGGCTCTGTCTCCTGTCCTAGGTAATTGAGGACGCGGCGGGCTTGGAGCTGCTTCAGTACCACCTCGAGAGGAGAACACCTGAGTTTGCTAAAGAACCACCCGAGGCAAAAGGGGGCAGGGGGAGTCTTGGAGAGCAGAGGAATACTATTTCCCGTTTGTCTCGAGTGCCTCCGGGTGCGTGAGAACAGAGAACATCCAACAAAAGATATCCAATACAGTTCCTTTCACATAAGTGCCGTGGTCCTGCAGGCTGGTTTTTAGAAGCTATCCCTCTCCTTGGGTACAAGCAATTCTGGCAGGTGGAGAGGAGGGGGATGACCTTGTGTGGAAAAAGAGCCCGAGGGTCCTCGTGCTTTTTTCCTGCTTATACACACAGCCTATTGAATCTGCTTTTAGGTTTAAAGGAAAAAGGAAATTTGGGGGAAGATGATACACACATCCCCTACATTCGCCCTCAATGGTATACTTAACTCACTTTGTGCTGGATTTACTTGTTTAGACTGACAAGATATTGAAGGGAGATAAATCTGCAACTAGGAGAGTTTCCTGACCAGTCCTGAACAAATGACTAGACGAGTGTGATTTGGATCTCCAGGGAACAACTGCAGTAGCCATCTAGGGTCCATCTAGCTCAGTAATGTCCACACTGATTGGCAGCGGCTCTCCAGAGTTTCAGGCAGGGCCCTACTTGGGAGACAGCAGGATTTGAACTTGGGGTCTTCTGCAGTTGCCCTACCACTGAGCTACAACTCTCCCCTACTGCTGAACTAGCAGGGGTGCAGCTAGAGGGCTATAGCAGCAGAGGCGGGGGAACCTCGACCTTCCCCAGAGTCCAGCCTTGTAGCTCGTAAGCCAGATCTCCCACCAGGGTGACATTGCAGCAGGAATGATGTACCACTACCCAACTCACCTTCCACTTACTGGTCCCCCAACCACAGCTTTGTTTCCAGCAATCCAAACAATACCAGTGCCAGTTTCCACCAATTGCTGCCCGTTCGGCTTCCAGTAACCTGGTTAGGAGGACCCGTTCCTTTAAGATATCCACCCAGTAGATGGTGGAGAAACTAGTGTGGAGCCTAATCGCTCCTAATTGGACTGTTTTTAAAAAGGATGCGAGTTCCAGGTCTTGTCCAAAACCTCTTCATCACTTTTGCGCAAAACCTCACTCTTACTATTTCAGGAAATGAAATGGGCATTTGCCCGTTGCCCCATGAAAAACGCAGACACTTCCATTTTGCCTGGTGTGAAGCACAGTGGCCAAGGCTTTTGTGCTCTTTTTGCACATTTGCCTTGGTGCTCTTCCTCGAGATTTTTGTTCCAGCCATGCAAGAAGCACTCAAGGAAGGTGCAAAGCAGGACAGGTGAGAGCTGTTACTAGGGCCAGATAGAGAACCCTAGAGAGCCCCATTTGGCCCCAGGGCTTAAGGTTCTTCACCCCTGCTCGGTGGCCTGTATGTTTCTCCTTTACAACCTGTCACACATTCCCTCTTGCCTCTTTCATAGTTCCTGCGTGAATATATTGTGGAGATGCCCATGGATGATTACAAACAATGGTTACAGTCTCGAGTGACAATCCCTAAGCGAGCACACAGCGCTCCGCCGATATGCTGAAAGCCCCCCTCCCCGCAAGGGCCGGGTCAAAAAGACTAAGGACAAAGGCTTCATTTTTTGTAAAAAAAGGAATCAGACACGGGCTGAGAAAGAGCTGGATGAAGCCGACACCTGGAGTGTCTACTTGGAGAACTGTACTCTTGCTCATACGCCTGGAATGATGCGTGGCTAGGGCCCAAGGGCCACACTCTAGAACCCTCTCAAAAGGCTGGAATTGCTCATTCTCAAAAAGGTTCATTTGGAATTGCATCACCTTCGCTTGCAGCTGCAGGCTCAAAATGACAAGGAAGAGAATTGAACAGCCAAAGCCATTTTAACTTTTAGATGTTTAATTTAATTTGGGACAGGAGGCATGGAATTACGTGCCTGCGGCAACCTGCAGGTCAGTGAAGGGAGCGGATCCCTTTGCTTGTGGTGATCAGCTCTCTGCTGAAAGGGAGCAGATCCCTTTGCTTGTGGTGATCAGCCCTCTCTGCTGACAGGGAGCAGATCCCTTTGCTTGTGGTGATCAGCTCTCTCTGCTGAAAGGGAGCGGATCCCTTTGCTTGTGGTGATCAGCTCTCTCTGCTGAAAGGGGCAGTTCTGAGGCTTCAGACCAATGCCAGCATTTGCAAATGTTTTGTTATTTGTGTATGCTTTGAATTATTAAAAAAATTGTTTTAGCGGTGTGCATTCCCAGCGGCTTCTCATCCTGTTAGTAGAGCATTAGACTCTTAAGCTCAGGATTGTGTGTTTGAGCCACATATTGCGCTAGACTCCTGCATTGCAGGGGGTTGGACTAGATGACCCTCGTGGTTCCTTTGAACTCTACAATTCTATGATATACTGAGCTTCCACTTAGGGATCCAGTATCTGCAGACGGGATTTACTCACTCATCAGATAACACACCCTGTCTCCTACTGCCATCTTCTGTACAAGAGAGGGATCTTACCAAAAACCTTGCACGTGATTTTTAAGCAGGGCTGGTGGTATTTCAAAGGTCAGTGCTCATGATCTCACCAACTGACAGAGAGGAAGACGAAAACCTTGCTAAGGCATTTGCTAAAAATGATTTCACTATCCAATGAAAGTCCTTATGATCCTGGAAGCACATCACTGGATTCTAGAAAACCACAAGTAGCTCTTTTTAATGAATTACAGCAAACCATATCTGTGCCATGCTGAAGTGCGTATCTGCAAATAATGCTTTAGCACCAATTTCGTTTCAAAGCTTTTTATTAAACTGTCACCCAAACAGCCTACTTTTCATCCCCCTTTCGCCTCTAATTTCTGAGGCTCTTTAAATTAAGTTTTGATTTACAGAATTTGCAGCCCCCGAGCTACAACAGCAGCAAATCAGCAGTACATCAAAACAAACTGCTCAACTTCCACAGAACTCTTTAATTCCACTTACACAGAGTGGGAATTGCTCCTTTAACACAAAGGTGCGGGAGGGAGATTCACAACAGGACCAACTACCAATTACCGGTTCACAATTGATAGGACTCCTTCACCATGTAATTCTGTGTTTTTTAAAAAAAAATTAAAGTGGGGGGAGCCAAATTCTATTTCTTTATTTACTTAACCTATCAGAACTCTTATTAAGGCTATTCTGGTTTATTTCTTTATTAAAATACTCCGGAAGCCCTTTTTTCTTTGTTTTCCATAAGCTCCCATCAGAATTTAGCATTTTCGAAAATGAAAACATTTCCACTGGTGTTTTGAGTTGTAATGTTGATGCAGTGATGGGTAACAAGGGCCACCTCTCCCTTCTGCGCCTCGAAAATCACGTCAGGATCGTGTCGTCAATCTGCTCGATGGAGTCGGCCTGGCTAGCGAGCTTCTTCAGGGATCGACGGCAGCTCTCGTTCAGCAGTTCCAGACTGGCGGCATCGAGGATCTTGGAGACGGACTGCAGGAAATAATTGTTATTAGAGGAAAGGGTGTGTGGTGTGGGAGGTGGCCACGAAGCCCGCTTCTGTGGCTCATCATGGCGGCGGCTAATGCTCACTGGGACTGGCAGGGGGGAAAGCAAGGAGATCAGCAATAGGTGGAGCTAGAGCCATGGATGGGCACAGCCACGCCCTGACTGGTTGTAAGAAGAAGGTAGGCAGGTGGGGAACTGGCTAAGGGCAGGTGGGGATTGGTGGGGCAGTTACCTGTTTGCCCAAATGGACCAATCAGCAATTAAAGCTAAGGCTGAGTGAAAACCCTCTTCCTCCTGTTCTGCGTCCAATTTACAAGTGGAAAACGAAAGCGGCAGTTAGGAATCTGGGGAGGCAGCAAACATTTCTGGACAGGCAGCAGCAGAACATCCCATTCTATCCCTGTATACCTGAAGGAGCATCTCCAGCCCCATCGTTCAGCCCGGACACTGAGGTCCAGCTCCGAGGGCCTTCTGGTGGTTCCCTCACTGCAAGAAGTGAGGTTACAGGGAACCAGGCAGAGGGCCTTCTTGGTAGTGGCGCCCACCCTGTGGAACGCCCTCCCACCAGATGTCAAGGAAAGGCCGTATTTACTAGAGTCTAATGTGCCATCAAATCTAATATACCCCTCGATTTTCAGAAGCTTGAATCCACAAAAGGTATTTGCTGGCGAACGTAAATGTGCCATCAAATGTAATGCGCACCTTAATTTTCGCGATGCATTTTAGCCAAAAAAGGTGAGCATTCGATTCGAGTAAATATGGTAAATAACTATACAACTTTTAGAAGGCAACTGAAAGCTGCCCTGCGTAGGGACGTTTTTAATGCCTGGTGTCTTACAGTGGTTTAATTTGTTGGAAGCTGCCCAGAGTGACTGGGGCAACCTGGTCAAATGGGCTGCATAGAAATAATAAATATCATCCCTAAACAATGTGACAGCGCGATGCGGCGTCATTCTGAGGAGGCAGCTGGAGGTGGGGGAATGGAGGTCCACAGTTCCGTATCAAGGGGGTGAGCAGAGAGGACAGAGATCACACACTACAAAGGACTTAGCTGGCGTTACCACCAGCACAGTGGGAGATTTTTACAACTTAGGAAGAAGATGCTTCTGCCAATTAGTAGAGAGCATGCGGAAGGGAGGGGAGAGGGGGAAGAGAAACTGACTTCCTCCTCCAAGATGGGCCAATACCTGAAGCACTTCCTCGCCCTCTCGCATCTTCAGGAGGTTGACGATGGCCTGGTCGCTATAGGCCCTGACACTGGTGTTCTTGTCTTTTGTATTGTCCAGAAGCGCTTTGAGGATGGGCTTCATGGTCTGGGGATCCAAGGGAGGAAGGGGGCTTTTGTTGGCCCACCAGAGCATCTTCTCTGCCACTAACTTGATGTCGCTGGATGGATTCTGAAGACACTGCAGGGGTAAACACACACACACTTCAGTTCCGACCAAGAACCAGGAAGCTAATTTTTACTAACGAAACAATTCAACACAAGCAACTACAAGTTGACTTTAGAAAGACTGATGATATTTACAAGTTACAATTCAGAATTTAAAAAAGTGAAAACACATTACAGTCACAGGACACCCACCGTCAGAAAACAGTCGGTGGCGGCCACAGGCCTGTCAGAAGAAAAAAAGTGTTTGTGTGCCCGCAAAAGGAAAACGAAAAAGGGGCCAGCCTAGCCTCCAGTGGAAGGGAGTTCCCAAGTCTGGGAGCAGCCACCGAGAAGGCCTCTCTCCTAGGCAATAGCTAGGGGATAATAAAGGTAAAGGTAAGGGACCCCTGACCATTAGGTCCAGTCGTGGCCGACTCTGGGGTTGCGGCGCTCATCTCGCTTTACTGGCCAGTGGAGCTGGCATACAGCTTCCAGGTCATGTGGCCAGCATGACTAAGCCGCTTCTGGTGAACCAGAGCAGTGCACGGAAACACCGTTTACCTTCCCGCTGGAGCAGTACCTATTTATCTACTTGCACTTTGACGTGCTTTTGAACTGCTAGGTTGGCAGGAGCAGGGACCGAGCAACGGGAGCTCACCCCGTCGCGGGGATTCGAACCGCCGACCTTCTGATCGGCAAGTCCTAGGCTTTGTGGTTTAACCCACAGCGCCACCCGCATCCCTAGGGGATAATACAAATGACTAATTGTATCCTGATACAAATTCCTCCTGACACACTCGGCACCTCTCAGCCTCCTGGCTCTCACGCAGGACTCCAACCCTCCATCCTGGCCCCAAGCAAACTCCTACATCACCCCACTAAATCTCACAATGAAGAGGGTTCCTGGAACCTGCTGGTATCACTCAAGCCTCTTGCTCTAGGGCAGGACAGTCTAACCTTTTATACCAAGTGGGCTGCATGAGTAGTTCAACATGGAACCTGGGGGCCGCACACTGCCTTGTTGTGCCAGGTTGGGGGCGGGGAGCGAGGTCAAAATTTGACACCCCCCTCAACCCTCAATGCTGCCTTCCCAAAGCTGGATTAAGCATTGTGCCAGTGAGGACAAGCTTAGGGCCACTACCATCGATAGAAGGCTACTATATTTAATTCAGGTAGTACATTCAAATACGGCCCTTAGAGTCAGGTTCAGCCGGCTAGGGTTCTTAACAGACCCCATCAAAACATTTACGGGTGTTAGGCAAGGATGCCTTTTGGTCCCTTTATTATTTAATTTTTATTTAAATAACTTGGTAACCATTCTCCATAACCTTGACTTTCACCCTCTGAAGTTAGCAAACCAGCACATCACGGCTCTGCTTTACACAGACGACACGGTAATACTATCCAGAACCCCCATAGGGCTTAGAAGAGCACTAAGAAAATTAGCTGCCTATTGTGTGACGGAATGCCTCAAAATAAATTATCAGAAGACCAAAATTCTTGCTTTTGGGGAAAAACCAAAGCTCAGAAACTGGAAACTTCAAGGCCAAAATTTAGAACAAGTCTAAACTATAAATATTTAGGAATGGTGGTCCAGGCATCAGGATCCAACAAAATTCATATTAACTCAAATGGGTGTGCCAGAGAAAGATCTGCAAATGCTACCCTTAATTTTTTTAGAACTCAAGGGGGTTTTTATGCCCCCGCGGCACTAAAATTATATAAAGCCAAAACGTTGGCACAGCTCCTTTACGGATCCTTTCTGGGCCCGCCTCCCTCTGTGTTCATTCCCCTTGAAAGAGTCCAATCCAAACTCCTCAGAACCCTTCTACAAGTTCCAAGCTGCATTTCAAATGCATGGGTCAGACTAGAAGCAGGCACTGTGCCAGGCTTTTGGAAGGAGGCATGAGGCTCTGGCAGGGTCCTAGAGCTAACCCCCCCCCCCTCGCATTTCACCAAAGCTGGGGTGTCAGATTTTGCTGCGGTCCGCCCAAAAAAAACGCGTCAAGGGCCACATGTGGACCATCAAATTCCATCCCATACATTCAGAAAGGGGCTCACCTTAATGAAGAGGTTGGAGAGTTTGGGGGGCAGATTTCCCCCATTGGCTTCTATGTGGTACTTCATCAGGAAACCCATCCCTCTGATGCCGCTGATTGCAATTGGGATCTGGAGAAGAAGAAGCAGGAAAGTGACATTCGGAACTCCTTGCCACTGGACCTCGCAACCTCGAGGCAGTGCTCGTTTTGTCTTTCAGATCAGGGCCTCCCGGATTTAAGGCCGAACAGAAAGCTGTTAGGAAGCACCCGGCAGCCACGCTGGAAGGAGACGCTTACCCGGTCCGCAGTAGTATTGCTAAAGATCATTTCATGGACACTGTTGCTGTATTTGGGGGCGCACACTCTGCCGGGGGCCACACTGACAGCCACGGAAAGCGCCAGGCTGCGCCCATGCCGCACCATCCAGTCAATGCCAGAGACATCCGCTGCAGGAGCGAAGGAAGAGAGTTTCTGAGCCTGGCATCAGGCCAACGCTTCCTCTCCTCCCCCCCCCCAATCTGGATGGCATCAGCATTTCAGGATGCCAATCATTTTAAAACAATGGTTCCTAAACTGGGTGGTACTGCCCCCTGGGATTACTGAAGGGGGCACTAAGAGGCAAGGGGACAGCGGGGTGGGGGGCACAGGAGGTGTAAATGGCTATCCGACTTTGAATAGATGTTAGGACAACAATACATCAAGGACCGCCTTTTTCCATATGAACCTACCCAGACCCTGAGATAATCAAGGTCAGGAGGGTTGCAACACGAGAACAGGGCCTTCTCTGCAGTGGCTCCCCGTCTGTGGAATGCTCTCCCCAGAGTGGTTTGGCTGGCACCTTCATTATATACCTTTAGGCGCCAGGCAAAAACGTTCCTTTTTAACCAGGCCTTTGGTTGATCCGATTTACATCCTATGCCCTTTTAAAATGTGTTTTTTTTGGGGGGGCCTATTGGGTTGTTGTTTTTACTTTTATTAGGTATTTTGTGGTTTTATATCTTGATTTTACTCTGTCGAATGCCCTGAGACCCCCGGGTATTGAGCAATATATAAACTCAATCAATGATCAAGTTCGTCAATTTTGTTAAGTAAAGTAAACAGTCTTAATTGCATGCTGAATAAATGTGCAATCAATTGTTACTCTTTTGAATTTTATTGTGTTATTATCTTCCTTAGTGGGTTGTGGAAACTACTATTCTGAACAATCCTTTTTTTAGAGAGTAGGGGGCACTGGGAATGTGTTTGTGCAACCGAGGGGGCAATGGCCTGAAAAAGCTTTCCCGGTGTAAATTTAAAATCCGTAACTTAAGAACTGAACCAGGGCACTCCAACCAACCCAACCCCTAGCATGTCTGTTGTCATTGTGCATGTAATGGAGTGCCCCAATCATAATATTTTTTACTGCCTCCTAGTGGACAGAGAAGACAGTACAGTTTCCCCACCCAGGTCTGGACCACTCTATGGTGACAAGCAGGGAGGACACCTTTTCTGCTCCTGGGAATCATTCTGCACCACCTGCAAAACCATACCTAACAGGTGATTCTGGAGAACGCTGCCAAGTTCTTCTTCCGACAGAAACGCACACAGCTCTGCCAGGCAGCCAGCGGAGGCCATACGGGTGGCATCCTAAAAGGAAATATTTCAAGTAACATTGAGGCTTTCCAGCAAAACAGAAGTTCTAGCAGGAACACACTTGGGTTTCTCTAGGTTCTGTTCCTATACGCTTAATGCCTGCAAAAGAATAGCATGAGGTCGCCCTCGTACCAGACGCCCCCTCCCTTTGAGATCTCTTTTGCAGTCACTCTTGTGTTAATCACTCGATTTTAAGGGGTGAGTTCATTTTGTGAACAAGTGAAAAAAATTAATCGAGTGAGGCCCGGGGGGAAAAACAGGGAAGAGAGGACTTGTTGAAAGTCCTGGGAAACAAACTCATCTTGTATTAAGGTGGAGATAAAGAAGATTGAGAGAAGACTCTCCAACCTTCCTATCCTGTGCAGGTTTGATGCTGGACTGGTACCCTTAGGGCTGCTGTTCTCACGTCTGCCTTCCCACCCTTGGGGGATGAGACATCTTTCCTCCCTCCCTCCCCCTATAGAGACAGAAGAACAAGCAGGGCTCTTTGCACCCCCACCTTAGTTAGATGAAAATAGCCTAGTTCTATCAACTAAGTATTTCCTTTAATAAATGTCCTCGTTTTCCTAAATGCAAAGTATCCACGTGATCACATTCAGGGTGTATAAAAGGTGCTGCTCTAAGTGGAGATTCATTGCTAAGCTCAACTTCAGTCAAGACCAAATCCTATCAAGAGCTGTATATGTGGCCCTGAGCTCCTTGGAAGAACAGCAGGAGAAAAAGGTGGTAATATTTTTTTTCAACAAGCACACACAAAGCTGCCCAGAGGCCCTTGGCCCATCTGTGACTACAACTAGCTGTGGCTCTCCAAGGCTGGAGGCAGCGTCCCTTTAGGCCATCGCTGAGCTATTAGCCTTCTCACAATATGGGGCAGATCAGCTGCTGCAAAAATCTAACTACCGTATACTGGAGTATATGCCGACTTTTCCAGCACATTTTTAATGCTGAAAAAGCCCCCCTCGGCTTATACTCAAGTGAGGGTCCTTTCAGGCTGCTCCTTCCTCCTCCTCCGCCTTTGCCGCCACTACCAGGTTTGTGGTGTGGTGAACTGGCTTATACTCGAGTCAATAAGTTTTCCCAGTTTTTTGTGCTAAAATTAGGTGCCTCGGCTTATCTTCGGGTCGGCTTATACTCGAGTATATAGGGTAATTAAAAATACCTCGTCGTGTCCCAACATGCCCAGGAGCACCGTGGTGATGTTCTTCCTAACAGCAGCATCAACTTTAGCACCAGCGCTTTGAGTGACGAACCGCAAGGCCTGGAGCATCGTGTCCCTGGAAAGCAGGAAGAAACGTTAGGTCCGCCAGCCGGTCAGGGACAATCACTTCCTTCAAGTCAAGCCTAAGCCTTGGAAATCCTGCCTGGGAGAAGTCCCTCGTTACAGGATACCCCTCCTGCCCCAAGAGACAGGAAGCAACCACTCCGCGTGGCTTCTGGTCCCCCGACACTTCAGCCCCCCAGGATCTCACTTGCCTGATGCCGGAATCTTCGCTGGTTCGGATGCCGTTCAGCAGCTCAGTGAATAGCGGGTCGACTTTGGCATGCATGGCAATCAGCTTCCCCAGGGCGTCGGCGGCCTTCAGGCGGACAATGCGGTTGGGGTCTTGCAGCGCCTTCGTGAAGGTGGTTTGCAGCTGGGGCAAGAACGGCTTCAGAGCAATGCCCACCTGTAATGTGTCGGAGAAAGCACATCAGCAGAGCCAGCGGCAAAAAAGTGTGACCGCCGCTTCCAAAAAAACATGGCAGCCCATCAATTCTCTGGTTTCTGATTCAAAGCCAATACAAAAGAATGGAGCACAAAGAAGAGCCTTGTGGACTATTTTAAGCATAGTGGGCTCTTCCTGGAATTTCTGAGCACACCCACGGGATTGCTTTAAAGGGCAAGTTCCGAGGCTCAAACTCATGGCCCTGAAATTAAGAGTCTCATGCTCTCCCGACTGAGCCAGCCCAGCAAAAAGGGAGAACAGATACTTTCTTAGAATCATAGAATCATAGAGTTGGAAGAGACCACAAGGGCCATCGAGTCCAACCCCCTGCCAAGCAAGTCGCCTTTGGCAAGTAAGCATCTCTTAGAGGTGACTAGGCCAGGAAATGTGATTTTAAAAAACTAAATGTCCCTTTTTTATGTATATGCTTTTTATTAGCTTATTATTACAACACAAACACACACAACAGACTTTTAAAAAAAATACAGATACAAAACAAATAATAAATGTATACCCATATTTCAATTCTTATTCTTTTCTAATTGACTTCCTTCATCCTCAATGTGGGTCTAATGTCATATTTGGTAAACTGTATCTTTCTCATTTCCTTTTTCCAACTTTTCTCTATATTTTGTACTTTTACACCCTATTTTGTTTTGCAAAAATCACTCAAAGCAATTTGAGTAAAGGTCTCTCTTTCAGGCTACAAATCATTAACATGGGGGTCTGTTGTGGGACAGCAATCTTGTGATTTCTGTTGGCTTGTTTGCCAGGCTGATCTTACTGGGGCTGCTCCTCAAGGTTTCGGCACTAGAGGTCTGCTGTGAGTAGGAAAGCTGGAGGAAAGAAGCACGCAGCTTCTAAGCAGGGCTCCTCAACCTCCAATGCAGAGGATCTCATTCTGATAATACCGTTCTCAAAATGTTTCTCAAGCACAGCGACCGCCCAAAGCGCTTGCCACTTACCTTCGCCAGCAGAAGGCTCAGCGTCTCAAGCAGAGCCACCTTGACGTTCCAGCTGAACCGGTCTCCCAAGATACGGATGAGCGGCCCCGTAATGCTCACGACAGAGGGCTTCAGGGCTTCGGCCGAGGTCAGCTTGATCACAAGCCCCAGCGCCTTGGCCGCCTCCTCCTTCTGCTCCGAGCTGCCCGTCAGGACTCCTTCCCGAAGCACAGGAAGGATGGACGTCACGCCCTGTGTTAAAAGGGGTGGGGGAGGGAGGAAGAAGACAAGTGGGAAAATAAATGAATAGGGAAGTCGTAAGAGTTTTGTGTTTTATATTGTGATTTTATGTTGTAACCGTCCTGAGACCCACAGGTATAGGGCAATATACAAATAATAATATCATCATCATCAAACCTTTTATTGGCATCACAAACATCCAAAACAAATCAATACGGAATTCCCCAGTGGCACAAAACATTTGCTAAAAGAAAGGAGGCAGAGCAGTCTATCATCACATCTCTAGGTCTCCAAGGAGATCAGACGTCTGCAGTGTATTTCGACGACAAACAACCAAATAGAGATATTTAGCCACTAACTCGGTGAGCTCCTGATCATTCCCCAGTAATAGAAAATGTATGACCTCCAACTCTGGTTTCCATTTGGGGATACAGAGTGGATCTAGAAATTGCTGATGGAGATCAGCATATAGTTTACAATTAAGAACCATGTGTGTAAGGGTTTCCACCAGGTGGTCTTTCCATGGGCAAGTTCTTTCTCCTTCCACCCTGCCTGAGAACCTTCCCCAAAGGAGGTTTGATGGATCTGAATTAAATCTGGCCAGCGAAAATGCCCTTCGTTCTTGAGGGTTAAGCAGAAATTCAAGGTAATTGTGGTTAGTTTCACGTGCCCAAGAAAGTTGAAAATAAAGAGGGGAAATAATAATAATAATAATAATAATAATAATAATAATAATAATAGTAGTAGTAGTAGTTCCTTTATGCTCTGCTCAGCTAGTGGGGGAAAGGAAGCAGAGAAAGGGAGACCTCAGCCTGCTCCTAAGGGGGCCATATTCACTTCTCACTGTTTGCTTTCCCTTCTCTTGACCAGAGTGGTTTTCTTTTGAGATTCCAGTGGTGTCCCTCATCCAGGTGTGTGGGCCAAATGCGGCCCTTCAGGCTCCTCTGGCTGGCTTTCAGGACTCTCCCCTGGACCTGCACCCCCTTAGCCACGCCCTCTTCCCCAGGCCTCACCCCTCAATAACCCTGCTTTGCAGCCTCGAGTGCTTTTTGCCTGGCTGGAAAGTGTCCCTGAATTCTGACCATGTCTCTTTCTTGCCTGGATGGAGGACAGAGAGGGGCATGTGAGTGTGGGGTAAGACTAGCTTCCTGAGCAATGGTACAATCTGCACCCATTTCTCTGCCCGCTTTTGCCTCTGGCTCCACCCACCCATCACTGAGCATGCCGCCCTTGGGTTGAAAGATGTCTCCCATCCCTGCTCTAGTCAGCCAACGAATCATCCTGCCTGCCTTTTCAAGGAAGTCCCTTGACCAGAGGTTTTCAACCTTTTTTGATTCCACAGCTCCCTTAACCAACTCCATTCTTTCTGCGGCACCCCTGTGGGGCTCAGGATCCCAGTTCTGTCACCTGAAGAGCTGGCAGCCCCTCACCCTTTTTTGAACACCCTCCCTTGTGGAGTGTTCCCTCAGCCTCTTCTCCCTTCTCCTTGGGAGTCCTCCAGGCAGCTGCTGCAGCTGTCCCTGGTCCCTGAGCTGCCCCCTTCCACCCCAAAGAGAGGTGCCTCCTCACACTGCCCCACAGGGGCCTGGGAAGCACCCCCTGACCAGCCCCAGAGGCACCAAGAGGAGCTTGTAGCCAGGGCCGCTGCAACACACAACTGTGCAAGTGTTTGGGAGGCAGAGATGCGAGAGGGCATCAGAGGCAGGGAGGGAAGGAAAGAGGGACAGAGGCCAGTGTTGCCCAAGGCACCCCTGACCATCATTCAAGGTGTACCCCAGGGTGCCACTGCCCTCGACCACCACTCCAATTCTCCCCCTCTCACAGCCAGAAGAAGGAAAAGATCACCTAGGCTGGCAGCCCTGCCTTGCACTCTTCTCGAGAGGTTTTTGCGGGCTTAACAATAATAACAACAGAAAAATGAACAATGATTAAAAATCCAGAAAAGAGCAGGGATCACCATAACATTCCAGGGTCCCACCGGAGCTCAGAGCTCTTACCTTTTTCAGAATGCAGAACCCAGGGACGTGGTCTCCACCGGCATCATTGCCTACCATACGGATATCCCTGTGCAGATCCTCTATGAGAGCCAGCTGGTTGCCAGCATCTAATTTCTGGGGGAAGAAGCAGAGATAGGACTAGGATTAGCAGATACGGTGGTACCTTGGGTTACAGACACTTCAGGTTACAGACACTTCAGGTTACACACTCCGCTAACCGAGAAATAGTACCTCGGGTTAAGAACTTTCCTTCAGGATGAGAACAGAAATCGTGCGGCAGCAGTGGGAGGCCCCATTAGCTAAAGCGGTACCTCAGGTTAAGAACAGTTTCAGGTTAAGAACAGACCTCCGGAACGAATTAAGTTCTTAACCCAAGGTACCACTGTACAGCCCTAAACAACAACAAAAAGTGCCCATCTAGTCCAGCATTCTGTTCTCATAGCGGCTAACCAGATGCCCCAATTGGAAGCTCACAAGGAAGGCCTGGTATTTCAGGGGTGTACTGCTTCCAGCGTAAAAACATAAGAAGAGCCTTGCTGCTGGATCAGGCCAATGGCCCATCTAGTCCAGCATCCTGTTCTCACTGTGGCCAACCAGATGCCTGTGGGAAACCCAAAAGCAGGACGCCCCCCCACCTGCAGTTTCCAGCAACTGGTCTTTATAAGCATTGCTGCCTCCAACTGTGGAGGCAAAGCATATCCATCACAGCTAGCAGCCAACAGCGAGGTAGAACAGGCACTAAGATCTGCTGGGGATGTCCTGCTTGTTATTCCAACTTTAGCTTCTGCTGGGCGGGTGATGATGTGAGACAGGGCCTTCCTGGTGGTGGCTGCCTTCCCTGCATCCCCGATTACAGAACTTCCCAACAACATTCAGATGTTGCCCACACCCTCAAGAGGGTGCAAGGTGCAAACCTTTTGCCCTTGGGAATGCAATCAACTTTCTTGATACTGCTACTTTGTATAATAGCATTACAATGCTGTTGCCTTAAGAACAACACGGTAAAAATCCACCAACTGATTGATCAGAGATCACCTCTTCCGAGTGTCTAACCAAACTCTATCTAATCAATTCAATTTTAATTTATCTAATTCAATTTTAATGTCCCTGAACCAATCACAGCATCATCATCCTCTCAGAAGCAACTGGCTCCTCCTACCTTGGTGATGGCATTGAGAGCATCCCAGCTTTCGTTCAGAACCACAGTGTTTGTATCGTTGAAGAGCCGGATCAGGCCCGAGACCAGGCTCCGCAGGTGGGCCGTGTAGTCGGCCTTCGTCTTGGAGCAGTAGATGTTGAGGATGACGGCGGCTGCCTGCCTCATCCCCACCTCGGGGCTGCGTGTCGCCTCCAGCAGGTCCTCGATTATAATCCTCTGCCCGGCCTCATCCTCCACCGACAGGATGACCACCTGGCAGTTTGACATCTCCTGGGAAAGCAATGGGTGTCCTGTTGGTTTTTGGCCGCAACTTTATGCTGGGAACGAGTCCTTCCCAATATAGCACGCCAGAGATCCCTTCACCTTGCTGTCCAAAGCCTAAAGGAAATAGACCTCTTCTCCCCATTTAGTGAGCCCTCTTAAAGGTGGGATTTAGTCACACAGTTCAATGGACATATGAAGACCAAAAGGCAGTGGTGGTGGAGCGACATGTTTAGGGTTGGATTACTACAATTCGCTTTCTGTGGGGCTGCCCCAGGGGCTGCAGCTGCTACAGAATGCGATGGCTATGTTGCTTGTGGGGCCAGACTACTGCTGGGACATAACCCCTTGCTTAGACTGGCTGCCAATCTACAACTGGGCCAAGTTCAAGGTGCTAGCACTAAAATATAAGGCCTGGTTACTTGAGAGACCACCTCTCTATAGACCCTATAGGAGAAACTCCTGCAGACCACATTCCAAAGATCTCAGAAGCCTCCTCTGGAGTAACTTGGAGCAGGACTTTTAGTGTGTCCATCCTTGTTCTGTGGAACAACATTCCTGGCGAGACACAACAAGCATCCACTACCTGCACTTTCCAGAAACAACTGGAAACGTTTTTGTTCCAACAGGTTTTCCCATCTGAATGAATGGGTCTTTACCACAAGTGCCCCCTTGTTGGGTTTTAGCCTTATTTGGTTGTATTGGTTGTTTTGGTGTCTTGATGGTTTCTAACCATCTTATATGTAAATCACCTTGAGACCGTGGTTTAGAAAGCAATTGATAAATTCAATGATAATAATAATGATGTCACAGAAATGATACAAATCCTCTATCGCTGGCAATGGCCAACTGGCAGCTCAATGACTGGCAGTCTTCTCTGTCCCTCCCCGGCTTCTCTGTTCCTGTGCCACCTTCTACTTGCAACATCACTGCCAGCATCCTTCACCAACCCGGTGCGCTACTGCTGCTTTGGACTAGAATTTGTTGGAACTCCGTTCGACTGAGCTGATAAGGCTTTTCTTCTGAATCGCCTCCCAACGTGTTTAACGACCTCGAGCCTTTGATGAGGCTCCAAGGCACGTCCTCCCAGCACAGGGAAGGATGAGACAGTATGAGCTACATTTTAAAGAGTTTTATTTCTAAACTACGCAGAACAGAAAAGACATACTCTCTCTATGAAAGCAGAGAGCAACTGAACAAAGGAACAAAGGAAACAGGAAACCACTAACGTCACATCCCGTCTCCTTTCCCGTGAGACTCCAATAGTATGGAATCCCAGGAATGTAAACAGAGTCTATGACTCCACGCAGCTGCTCAGTGAGAAACAGAAAACATAATTCCTATCAGTGCCAGACTCTAGCTGGGGATCCAGCATGGAGTAGTGGTTTAAACTAGGACCTGGGAGAGACCAAGGTTCAAATCCCCACTTGGCCATGGAGCTCACTGGGTGTGGGCTTGGACCGGTAACTGCCTCTTGGCCTAACCTACCTCACAGGGTTGTTGTGGGGATTAAAGGAGGAGGTGTGAACCCTGTATGCCACCTTGAGCACACTGGAGAAAATGAAATAGCTTCAGCTCATCTTTCTCTCCAAAAACATTCTTACCTGCTGCTCTTCGTTAGTCCCAAGCTTCCCCTTTAGCGCCGACATCATGGCAGGCAAGATCACGCCAAGGTGCCGGGTGAGAGCGTCGCCAGCTACAGATGAAAGGAAGGCCAGGACTCTGGTGTTTACAGGAGGAGAAATAAGCTAAGGGAAACAAGAAGTTAGAAATAAGAAGAATATTTTAAACTACTGACCTGTAACAGGTGGGGTACCCTGCAGCCCCCCAGACATTGTTGGACTACAACTCCCATCCTCCCTGGCTGGGGCTGATGGGAGATGGAGTCCGACAATAATGGAAAGGCTACAGGTTCCCCCATCTCTGTCTGACCTACAGCCCGGACACTGACCCCAGACACTGTTCTGTGACCCCAAATTCCCAAGGGTGCTTTTGCACATCAACCAACCAATAGGCTTGCTCTTGAGTGTGCACACTCAGAACCATGGTGTCACGGCGGGTAGAGTGTTGGCATACAGCGTGCAAGACCCAGATTAAAATTCCTGCTTGGCCCGCAACAACAGTGGCAAGAGTATTGTTAGCCCAGAAATGGAAGCAAGAAGAGATTCCAATGAAAGAAGAATGGCAAACAAAATTAATGGACTATGCAGAATTAGATAAAATGACAGGGAGGATTCGAAACCTGCGGGACCAGAGATTTACAGAAGATTAGAAGACATATACGAACTATTTGAAGAGCAACTGTAACCAACAAATTACGCTAGTAGGACTACAAGAAGCTGTGTAAGGAGAAATGTATGAAGCGTTGCAAATTAGAGAAAGAACAGTGATATTAGTTATGAGCTAAATGTAATTGAAGAAGTGGGAAATGTGTATTTAGTGATTAGATTGGAAAATTTCCAGATGAGATTGATGGAAGTCAAAAAAATTGTGTAAGATGTTAAAATGCTGATTACTGTTGAAAATGATATGTTGAAAATTAATAAAAATATATTTTAAAAATTCCCGCTTGGCCACAACCTCGCTGAATGCTGCAAGAAGAGCCTTGCTGGATCAGACCAATGGCCTGTCTAGTCTAGCAACCTGTTTCATATACAGGAAGTAGACGAGCAGGACCTGAGCCCGTTAGCATTTTCCCAGCCATGTTCCCCAGCATACTGCCTCCGATTCTGGGGGCAGCAACACTGCCACCACAACTGGCAGTCACTGGAAGCTTTATCCTCTGTGAGCGAAGTCTAGCTCCCTTTCAAAGCTGTCCAAGTTGGTGGCCATCCCTATCTCTTGTGCATCAGTACATAGAGGCCTTGGGCCAGATGCTGCCTAAACTACGTTACAGGATGGGTGTCAGGATAAAACTGGGAGAGGAGAATCGTGCACTCCACCTTTAGCTCCTCGTAAGAAAAGTGGGAAATACATAAGCAGCCAAATCCTGGCCCTCTGGAGCACGCATAGGCAAATTCGGCTCTCCAGATGTTTTGGGACTACAACTCCCATCATCCCTAGCTAACAGGACCAGTGGTCAGGGTTGATGGGAGTTGTAGTCCCAAAACATCTGGAGGGCCGAGTTTGCCTATGCCTGCTCTGGAGGGTCCACCTACACCTGGGTAGGATTTTTTTTCCTACCTGAGGGCCACATTCCCTCCTGAGGGCCAGATGTCAGCAGTAGGAGGGGCCAGAGGCCAAAGTGGGCAGGGCGACAAGACACACATTATACCTTTAAACAGTAGGCTAGCTTCTACACACCCTTCTCTCTCTGTCGCCCATCCAGGGAGTGTCAGAGTTCAAGGGCACAGTCCAGCCAGGCAAAAACACTCAAGGAGGGTGATAATTTAGGGCTGGTGAGGGGTGTGGATGGAGGAGAGTTCCAAGAGCCAGTCAGACATTCCTCACTCCTGATGGAAATATGTGTTTTCGAAAACCTTGAGATTTCCATGTAAGTGCTTGAAAAGTTTTAAGATATTTTAAGGTATCATAGAGTTGGAAGGGACCCTGAGGTTCATCCAGTGCAGGCTTCCTTACACTCGGCCCTCAAGATGTTTTGAGACTACAGTTCCCATCATCCCTGACCACTGGACCTGCTAGCTAGGGATCGTGGGAGTTGTAGGCCAAAAACATCTGGAGGGCCGAGTTTGAGGAAGCCTGATCTAGTGCAACCTCCTGCAATGCAGGAATAGGCAGCTGTTCCATTTGGGGATCAAACGTGCAACGCTGGGATTATCAGCACCACGCTCTATCCAACTGAGCTATTGCAACTGCTTATCCAGGAACTGAGCTGAGAGGGACTCACCTTTCAAAGGTTACATAAAGGGTGGGGCAGGGGGGAGTGTTCACACACATACCTTTGGCACCAAGTAAGGCAGCACCACTCGGCTCTTCACAGCCATCACCTGCTTAAGGCCATCCAGAGCAAACTCCGACGTCTCTTCACATTCCTACGAGGAGGAAAAGGAAAGAAGCCATTGTATGTACACCCATTACAGCCACTGCAAGCATTATTGTAAGCATTACTTGTCCAGGAAGGTAAAGGTAAAGGGACCCCTGACCATTAGGTCCAGTCGTGACCGACTCTGGGGTTGCGGCGCTCATCTCGCTTTATTGGCAGAGGGAGCCGGCGTACAGCTTCCGGGTCATGTGGCCAGCAGGACTAAGCCACTTCTGGAGAACCAGAGCAGTGCACGGAAACGCCGTTTACCTTCCCACCGGAGCGGTACCCATTTATCTACTTGCACTTGACATGCTTTCGAACTGCTAGGTTGGCAGGAGTAGGGACCGAACAACGGGAGCTCACCGCGTCGCAGGGATTCGAACCGCCGACCTTCCGATCGGCAAGCCCTGGGCTCTGTGGTTTAACCCACAGCGCCACCCGCGTCCCTTTGTCCAGGAAGCTAAAAACACCTTAAACATGAAATCGGATTTCATCAGCTCCATTGATGGTCTGGCCACTACAGGGGGAGGCCTGCCCCATCCTCTCCCACTGCCAGATCCATCCCCAACAGCAAAGACATAAGATGTCAAGAACGGTGTTGCTGGGGACCCATTTAAGCCAATGGTGGGAGAATCTGTACTTCTGCTAACTCCCAGTTCCCCAGCCCTGATCCAAGCCCAGCGATTCATCTTCCAGCACCCAAATGCCCCTGGAAGTCCCCAAAGCCATGATGCTGGTCCTCAGCATCTGACATTCAGAGATTTGCTGTCTCTATACACAGAGGTTCCCACTTAGCTTTCATCAATTAGTCCACCTTCCAAGTTCTGAAGTTATTTTTGGGGTGTTCTCTGCAGCACCTCAAAATAAGGAGAGCTACTGCTGCATATATTTCCTAATTCAACAGGACACAGAAAGAAAGAACTTCTGATGCGCTCACCAGCTGCTTCAGCAAGAAGGGCAGGATGTCTTCCAGAGCCTGGTACCCGACGGTAGAGTGCAGCTGTTCGAAGGTCTTTGCGGCTGCTTCCCGGACCTCCTCCAAAGGGTCGCACAGAGCTTTCCTCACTGTTGGGACCAGAGACTCTGAGAAACACAGCACCTGGAAAGGGGGCAGATGAAGACCACTGCTGGGTGGATTTCCATGGCGAGTACAAGGGGAAAGGTGAAGTCAAGTTATCATTTCATAGTACAGAAAGTATTGATCTGATGTCTAGAGATCTTTCCTATTCTGATTAGTTCAGGAGGGTTCTGGAAGGTTTCTTTCCACATGGGAAAAGGTGCAATCGACTCCTAGGAAACCTATGCAAAGTTGTGTTTTCTGTGAAGCTCCATTGTACATAATAGAAAGAGGTTAAAAGGTAAAGAAGCCCTGGATGGTTAAGTCCAGTCAAAGGCGACGATGAGGTTGTGGCGCTCATCTCGCTTTCAGGCTGAGGGAGCCGGCGTTTGTCCACAGACAGGTTTCTGGGTCACGTGGCCAGCATGACTAAACCGCTTCTGGTGCAAAAGAACACTGTGACAGAAACCAGAGCGCATGGAAACGCCATTATCCTTCCCATCGTGGCAGTACCTATTTATCTACTTGCACTGGTTTGCTTTCAAACTGCTGGATTGGCAGAAGATGGGACAGTGCAACAGGAACTCACCCCGTTACGGGGATTCGAACTGCCAACCTTCTGATGGGCAAGCCCAAGACGCTCAGTGGTTTAGACCACAGTGCCACACATGCACACAATTGCCTTGAAACTGAAGCACCTGGTGTTTTCAGGGTCCCTTAGCTTTGGAGCCTACAGAACAGCTTCTTCTCAGTGTTCTCCCTGCACCTTCTCCAGAAGGACCCTAGGAACCCATCCTCAGTGGTTGGTTTGCCTACTTTCGCTCTGATCGGCTCCAATCAGCACAAAGGGAGAGAAGACTTCTCAGGGGCTACAAAGCTCTCCTTTCATGCCCACTGACGCTGGAGACAAGGACCCTGCTGCAGAAATAGTCGAGCGTCTTTGACCCACCCCCACAACCCCAGAGTACTACACTATTGGAATTAATACATTTCCTGACTACTTCAATAATTATTATCTGCCAAAATGGGAAGAAAAGGAGAAAAGGTTCTATGAGAGAATAGATAACTAAAGTTTTGAACATGGTAAACTTAGAAATATGGTTAATAAACAGAGAAGAAAGATAACAACGTCCTTGTGGAAAAACGGAATCTTTTCATAATTTACTAGAGCAGTTGTTGCTTGGAACTCTGAATTTGATTAAATATGTTAAATCCGCTTTTTGTCTGATTTTGGTTTTGGATATTTACTATCTTCTGGCATTCCTTAAGTTAACTACATCCTCCTTCTTTTTTATTTTGGTTTCTATGTAAAGCATAATAATAAAGACGACTAAAATAAATAACTAAAGCAGCCCAGCCCACCAGGTTCTAAGTTACCGCTGCTGTGAGCAAGAACTTACAGCATCCCTGCTGGTGGACTTCATGATCTCACTCAGGCCAATGCAGACTCCTTGCCTCTTGTCACTCTTCTCCGACCTCAGACCTTCCTCCAAAATGGGGATGATTTCTGGAAGAATCTTCTCCCCCAGCTTCCGGACAAGGTCTCCCAACGTGCGTGCTGCGATCTGCCGATATAGAGTTTTAGGTGTGTCAAAACAGAGCCGGTCACAAGGTTTTAAAAGAAGCAAAAAAAACTGCACTTGGAAGGGCTGGTTGTCCCCACTCTTATTCACTGTAAATGTCCCATTTTGCTTTTCCAAATATTATTATTATTATTATTATTATTATTATTATTATTATTACATTTCTATCCCACCCTTCCTCCTGAAGGAGCCCAGGGCAGTAAACACATGTGATAAAACAATTTTTCTTACAAGAGAGAGGTTGTAACAATTAAAGCATCTGCTAAATGATTCCAATACAGATGCAGGCTTTGAAAAATCTCTACCTAAAAAGTTGTGTTGGGGAAGGAAGGTCTTCAGTGAGTGCCGGAAAGGCAACAAAAGAGACCCCTGTATAATATTCAACAAGAAGGGCTTCCACAGGGCAGTGTCGCCACAACAAAGGCAAGACTCCTATGTTGCATGAAACAGACCACCTGATAGGTTGGTATCTGCTATCGACTGAGTAGCAACAGATCGCTGCCTCATGGAGCTCACATTCCAAGTTTTAAGGACGAGGAGAAAGGTGGAGGAAAAGGTAGAGAGGAAAAAAGGGAACAATCCCTCCATGAGAGAGAGGGGAAATTTGAATTTGATTATTTCAGTCACAGACCAGTTCCAGCCCACATACAATATCAAGGAAATCATAAAATACAATAGGGATACATCTGAATTTGCAATTAGGTAAAACAGGGACGATACAGATATAGCAACAGTTAAAAAATATATAAATTAAAACTTAGTCATTAACATATAACCTAAAATTATCATTTAAAACCTTAATCATTATGATAGCACAGCTTGTTCCCTAAGTTTTATGGCAATCGTACAGAATTTGGCTACCCTTAACATGATCTCAGGATCCTTGTACTCCAACAGGGATTTTAGACATTGAAGTTCAGATTCATTTGGAGATTTTGAGAGAGAGAAGATAACCATTTTACACGTGCGTAAAGTCTACGCATTATGAGGGGCTGAGGTCTCCCTTTATCCCACATGCCTAACCTGCTCCCAGAAATCCAACAGACTCTTGTGTCCCACTGGAATACATAGCAGAAATCCACAAATTCAACCGATCTAGCACTGATCCCCACAGTCCCAATTTTGTGCAAATGAACACTACATTGTGGCGTAGGAGCCAACTACAGTGGTGCCCCGCAAGACGAATGCCTCGCAAGACGAAAAACCCGCTAGACGAAAGGGTTTTCCGTTTTTCGATGCGCTTCGCAAGACGAATTTCCCTATGGGCTTGCTTCGCAAAACGAAAAAGTCTTGCGAGTCTTGCGATTTTTTTCGCTCCCCCCCTTTTTCTAAGCCGCTAAGCCGCTAATAGCCTTTTAGCCGCTAAGCCTTTAATAGCCGCTAAACCGCTAATAGCGCTAATCCGCTAATAGGGTTGCTTCGCAAGACGAAAAAACCGCTAGACGAAGAGACTCGCGGAACGGATTAATTTCGTCTTGCGAGGCACCACTGTACTAGGGGCCGTGTGGGCTTCGGCCCCCACAATAAAATATTTGAGAGGGCCGAGCCCCCACAAAGTCAGTGGACATTCCCATTCAAATAGAGAGAGAGTGTGTGTGTGTGTGTACTGCACCATGTGATCAATTATGGGGGGCGGGGCTTACCTGGACCCCCACAATATTTTATTCAAGTTGGCACCCCTGCGTTGCAGAATCATAAAGCGAAACTCTGTTAACACCTGAAAAGTGGCAGAGTCAAGTTGGTTGGCCCCAAGACTTAACTGTTCTCTTGTCCGCACAGGTGCTGGCCAGGAATCCCAGGAGGAGGCTGAAGAGCGTTGGCAGAATCTCGCGGAGCGTGCGAGGCGTGTTGGAGACGACGATTTTCCAAACGTGCAAGGATGCCTGGCGGACGGCCAGCTGCGTATCCGAGCGGCCCATGTACAACCCCGCCAGCACCCGGTTCCTCCTCTCCACTCCGAGCGCGTTAATGATTGCCTGGAAAAATAAAAAAGAATGTGTTATTTTAAATAAAAAAAAAGAGGTGCAGCCAAGAAAACAAGTTTCGGTTTGCATCCAGGGTTAAACACATTGAGAGTAGGCCCACTGAAACTGTATGCGTTCTTTGTGTGCACACAGTTTAACAATGGAACTCACTGCTGCAGGAAGCAGTGATGGCTACTAATTTGGATGGCTTAGAAAGAGGATTGGACAAGCTCTTGGAGGGAAAGGCTATCAATGGCCACGGACCAAAATGCTTATGCCCTTCCTCTACACTTGGAGGCTGTAATACTTCAGGATGCTGTTGCTGGAAACCACAGGAGGGGTGAGGGCTCTTGTCCTCTGTGAGAACAGGATGCCACCTTGCTTGAGCCACTGCCCTGATCTAGCAGGCTGTTCTTATGACTGCAAACTGCTTCAACCATTCTTAATATTTTATTTCTTTAAAACTGTTGTAACCAGCGCCCTGGGAGCTCACGGTGGAGGGCAGGTAAGAAATCAAACGAGCAGCAACAACAACATAAGATGCATGGATTTCTATGAGTCTTCTCCTCTGAGGAGGATTTATCTGGATAAAGCCCACTGCGTTTCACACTAGCAAGAAACATACTACAGGGCCAAACTAGGGAAGGCATTCATTGGGAGATCTCAAATCATATCGTTCATCTCTTCACATTCCCTACCCCCAAAGAAGGGAAAGCAATATTTTTTGGGAGGAGAGATCTACCAGTGAAGCAAAAGGCACTGGTTTTTTAATATAAGGTTGGCGGCGGCTATTTAAAAAAAAAAGAGCGAAAAGGAAAAAAGAGGGTAGTTATATATCAAGTGTTTGAAATTCCCCAGGTGCCATGTGTGTTTTGCTACTGGTGCAGGTCCAATTGCAAGTATAGCAGTACCTTGGTTTACGAACTTAGTCCGTTCTTAAATCAAAACATTCTTAAACCAAGGCGTGTTTTCCCATAGCAGCGGGGGACTCAAATTACAAATGGAACACACACAACAGGAAGTGGAACATGTTCTGCTTCCAAGGCAAAATTCACAAACCGAAACACCTACTTCCGGGTTTGCAGTGTTCTTAATCCAAGTTGTTAATAAACTAAGCTGTTATTAAACCAAGGTACCACTGCACGTTGAGATTTCTGGGTGTCAGGGTTGGCAACCGCAGTTTAAAAACCTCTGCCCTAGTCCATGGTTAATACCATTTCCATTTCCACTGTGTGTGCTTCTCCTCCTTGCATACTGGGACAAGTGAACTGTTGTAAGAGCAAGCTACAGTCAGGCAATGTAGCCGAGACAAAAGAATCATAGAAATGTAGAACTGTAACGTTAGAAAGGGGTCGTCTAGCCCAACCCCCTGGCGAACAGACCTTCTGTTGTGGCAACCGTAACCTAAGTTTAAGGTGCCATTTGGCTTATACACCTGAGTTTTTAACACTGCAAATATCCACTGTCTTGCCTAGTCTGGGCTCCAGCTGTTTGTTCTCAAAGCAGCCAGGAGAGGAAAGGACAGCACTTGCCTTGTTGGACTGGGCTGTTCCAAAGTTGTCGTCCTCAGAAGCCGTCTCCGTTGTCATCTTCCCTGTGACTCCCGAAATATAGAAGAGGAGGTCCCCAAGTAGCTGAACTGAGCTGTACCTGTTTGAAAAATAAATTTAAAAAGAGGGCAGGTAAGGCAAGATTGACGTATAGCACAAATGAGAAAGCATTTTTCAGCAGAGGGCAGCATTCCCTTCTGCAAAACCTCTGGGAGTCACATGACCCTGGGCAGGGTCAGAAACAAAAGTGGGTGGAGCCATGAGGGTGAATTCTATCTTTGTACAGTAGGGTAGCTGTACACACCCCAGTCGAGCAAGAACAAATAAGTAAACAGCAAAGCAGGACCGGAGTGTGGGTGTGGCCTCTGGAGAGCCCCGGGGGCACTGAGGGAGGACTGGAGGGTCGCATTGGTCCCCTGTGTATGAGGTTCTCTGTCCCCATTCTAAATAATAATACAGTGGTGCCTCGCAAGACGAAATTAATCCGTTCCGCGAGAGTCTTCGTCTAGCGGTTTTTTCGTCTTGCGAAGCAAGCCCATTGACGGATTAGCGCTATTAGCGCTATTAGCGGTTTAGCGGCTATTAAAGGCTTAAAGGCTTAGGGATTAGCTGCTAAAAGGCTATTAAAGGCTATTAAAGGCTTAGCAGATTAGATAAAGGGGGAAAAGCGACAAACAATCTCAAGACTCGCATGGTATTTTCGTCTTGCGAAGCAAGCCCATAGGGGAATTCGTCCTGCGAAGCAACTTCAAAACGGAAAACCCTTTCGTCTAGCGGTTTTTCCGTCTTGCGAGGCATTCGTCTTGCGGGGCACCACTGTAATTTTATTTATACCCCGCCCTACCCAGCCAAGGCCAGGCTCAGGGCGGCTAACAACCAATAATAAAAACAAGTTGAATGAATACAACTTAAAAAACAAGATTAAAATACAACATTAAAACATTAAAATGCAGCCTCATCACAGGAGGAGAAAGGAAAAAAGAAAGAGGGGGAGGGAATCAAATTGACTCCAAGCCAAAGGCCAGCCGGAACAACTCTGTCTTACAGGCCCTGTGGAAAGAAATCAGATCCCGCAGGGCCCTGATATCATGAGACAGAGCGTTCCACCAGGCCGGAGCCAGTGTAGGGAAGGCCCTGGCTCTGGTTGAGGCTAATCTGACTTCCTTAGGGCCCGGGACCTCTAGGGTGTTGCTATTTATGGACCTTAAGGTCCTCCGTGGGGCATACCAGGAGAGGCGGTCCCGTAGGTACGAGGGTCCTAGGCCGTGAGATTCCCTGCAAGTGAGAAGCCACATGAATGGGAAGTCGGCTCTAACCTGATTCTCCAGAGGTCATCAAAGAGGCCTTGCTCCAGCTGAGGCAAGAGGAGCGCAATGGCTGTCTCTGCGTACATGCTTATGATCCTCTGCCCAGCGCGCAAAGCCGTGTCCCGCACGAACTCGTTCTCGTCTGCCAGCGCCTAAATAGGAGGGTACAAATTAGCAACAAGGGTTGGTTTTGTGGGCGCAGCACAGGAGCTAAGAGTGGAATCTCCAGCCGTCAGAGACTTGGAGGCTCCTCCATTCTCATGACTTGAATGCAAGCCTCCATCCCTTCTGGATGGAAGGATCAAAAACCTGCCCCGAAAATCCTACCTTAAGGATGCAAGGAATGATGGGCCCAACATAAGGTGTGAACTTGTCCCCAAAGGTGATGGGCAGGTAGTTGAACATCATGATGTAACCGTCCCGGACATGGGGGGCAATGTCCACTTTGCTTGCTGTAGCCACGATTTCTGGCATAAGTTTCTCCAGCTTCTCCACTCCTAAGCCAGCCATGACTTCAGCCAGACCTGGAAAAGATGGTGTGTTTTGGTGTAACTCTCTTGCTCAGGATCGCACGGGTGTGTATACCCGCAAAAGGTATGAGCCCATAGAAATGCAGAATGTGCCACTGGGTTCAGAACAGCCTTCTGAGAATCTCTTACTTTTCTGGGTTTAATAAGACAAAGCAAATAGCTAGCCCATATGTTTGTGAAGGTGTGATCAAACAATGTGTGGGCAGCCTCTGGTAAAATCCCAGAGCCTGCAAGGGATTTCAGTGACTGGAGGACTTCAATGATGTATACAGCTTCCTGCCCCACCCATGCCCAGGAATAGCAGAATCTGAAATGCCTTGGTGAGGTAAACCCCGTCTCTTGTGGGTGAGGAGCCACAGCAAAATGGCTGAGCGCATATTGGCACAGAATCTACATTGACAAATAAGTCTCTCTCAGCATATAAAGCAGCTTCCAAGATTTTCGATGTTCACAACAACTTTGCGAAGTAGGCCATTTAGAAACCTGATCTTGCAAAATGGTGCGACGGGGCAGAGAGTAACTTGAAAGCTGGTGTGGTGTCAGACTAGCACCCGGGAGGGACCCGTGTTCAAAATCCCTATGTGGCGGCTGTGAAGCTCACTGGGTGACTTTGGGGGCCGGTCACTGCTTCTTAGCACAACCCACCTTTGAATCCTTTTCTCTCGGGTCTTGGTCCAAGACTCTTATCTAACCACACTACCACAATGGCTCTCTCCCATAATAAGTAAATAACTTTGCCTGAGGCTGCCCAACATGCTGGCAAGCTGAGCAGGCAACCAGCCCCCAACTCCCTCGCAGCCAAATCCATTGTTTTTATCAAGGAAACAGCCTGCTGTCCTTGCCTTGGGCGGCCCCAGACCGATCCACCGAACTCTGCTCATACGTCAGGGTCTCCATCAGCCAAGGCAGCAGGTCCTCGAAGCAAGACTCGCCCATCCCCTTCACCATGGCTCCCAGCGCCTTCGCGGATACCGTGCGCACCTGAGAGTCCAAAGGAAAGGATTGTGGGAAACAGGGAGGAAAAGGTGAGGGGGGAAAGGCCACCTAACGAAGGAACTGCACCGAGATGGCATACCTCAGGCACCGGGTCCAGCAAAGAGGCCTTCAGACCTGGGGTCACACTGGGCAGATAAGGAGCCAGATCCTGAAATGGAGATGGTGGACAGGTTAAGTGGGATGAACATCACAAATTGGGATTTTGGGATCAGTGCATGTGGACCTTGGAAGGGTGCAGATGGCAAACGGCGCAGATAATATGTGCGCCCTGTTTTTCACTTAGCATCCAGTCCCCCTCCAAACACAGCTGGGGAGGCAACAAACAGCAAAGTCATGGCCTGTATGTGGATCTGCTGCAGTTCCTGTAGGAATGGGGAGCAACACATCCAGGGGCCACATGTGGCCCTCCAGGCCTTTCTATCTGGCCCTCGGAACCGTACCCAGGATGCACCTCTGACCAGTCATGATCCACCCCCTGCATATTTTATCTAAATCTATAGCTATCTGCAGTGCTTTTTTTCTTTAAAAAAATTTGTTTAGGGGACTCTCATTTTCCTACTCATGAGGCCAAACTATGTGAGGCCAAACTTAGATTCACAAAATGTTCTAAAGCAAAGATTATGGGATAATGCACACAGTGACTTGTGATCTCGATCACACGCAGTCTGTAGTCCGCTGGCAGTAGGAGTTCAATATGGGTATGTCTTTAAGTTAACATCTTACATTAAAAACCTGACAGTACCAAACTACCGAAGGCTTTTCACCAAAGCCAGACTAAATGTCTTTCCCTCTGCAGCGTTGGATGGTAGGTTGAGAGGAGTTCCCTACCAGGACAGACTTTGCTCGTGTGCTCAAGACATCGATTCCATAAAACATATTTTGTTGCATTGTGCAAAATATGAGCAAGCCAAGCCTGAACTGATAATACCCTTGCTGGTACCTTTCCCGAGAAAATCAGAGGTTCACTATGTCAGGTTCCTACTGGAAGACTGGACAAATGCTAGAACGTTAGCAGTGGCAAAGTTTTTATCGGTGGTTGCAAGAACAAATGAGCCCTATATTCTAAACAAAATGCTTGTTTAACCTGGAGGTAGGCTGTATGAATTGTGTATTGATTTGTAATGATTTGTTGGGTCTCTGGACCGTAATAAAGATTGATGATTCACGAAATGTTTAGGGGTATGCGTACCCCTGCATCCCCCCAGAAAAATGCACTGGCTATCTGTGTATGTATGTATCTATCTATCTATCTATCTATCATTGCTTTTTCATATAAATAATTTAAACGACAATAGGCAACATCAACAATCTGTCTGTCATTTCTTAAAAAGAGGCCTAACTGCGTCTTAAGGTTGGAACCACTACTCGGAACAAGTTTATGATGCATATGAACAATTCAAGTCCAATAAGTCTCCAGGTGCTTCTGTGAGTCTGGGGAGGTTGCCTTGATTGATCGTTGCATCTCACATAGGAGATGAATGGATGTCAGGAGTTACAGAACTCATCTTGCCTCTGGCTGTCAGTTTCATACCCTGAATCTATTGCATGTTTTTGCCTGGCTGAGATGTGTCTTTGACCTGCGACAAGGGCTCTTGTTTGTCCAGACGGAGGACAGAGAGAGGCGTGTGTGTAGAAACTAGCCTGCTGTACGAAGGTAAAATTTACATTCATTGCTCCACCCCCTTTTGAGTCTGGCCCCGCCTACCAATGGCATGTGGCCCCCGCAGGAGATAATGTGGCCCCTGAGCCGGAAAAAGGCTCCCACCCCTGGCTCTGAAGCCTCTCTCCAGCTCACCTTCTGATCCGTCAAAGAGTACATGTTGCCGATGATCTGGGCAGCCATTTTCCTTGTGTCTGTGGAGCGATCCTGGAAAGCCCTCTGGACGATGGGCATGATGAGAGCCAGTGAAGGGGCGTCAATGAAATGGACAAATTTTGTGTCCAGCAGGGTCTGCAGGCACTTCTGCGTCTTTCTGGATGGGTCTGTCAAGGCATCCAACAGGACAGGCGCGATCGCTGCATGGAGGGGAAGAAAAGGAGGAGGACATGGTCAGGATCAGAGCAAAGAGCCGGCTGATAGCTTGGCAACAACAGTCCATATATTAGTAACCCATATGCAAAATGCTGCTGGAAACAACCTGTGACGCCTCTGTTGAAAGTGATGCACCAGCTGCCTGTTTTCGACCTGGCTAGATTCAAGGTTTCATTAGATGTCTATAAAGTCCTGTTCCATTCTGGACAGAGGCCAGCAGCTGGTATTCAGAGGTATACTGCTTCAGTACATGGAGGTTCTATCCAGACTCCATAATTAGTAGCCATTGATACATCCAACCTCCATGCTTGGTTCTACCTGCTCCCTTCAACAGCAAACTCAGTAGAGTCCAAGCCATTATGTACTACGCAACGGGGTCACAGAGAAACAAGAGGGAGATGTCAGCAGGCCTGGAGGAACCCCACGATTTTCAGAACTATGGAGGGGGAAATGGGAGCAGGGAATCCCAAAGGAGCAACCCCTGTTGAAACAGCCCAATGAGAACTGTGTATGCTTAGGGACCATGGAACGCCAAATATCTGGAGCGGAAAATAGGTGGGGGAATGGAGTATCCTGGGGTAGGGTAGGGTAGGGTTGGCTGGCTGGCTGGCTCCCTGAATCTCATGTTTTATTGTGCTTTATTTTTAATTTGCAATGTGGTCCCATTTGTTCTACCTTGCACGCCTCAAGAGGAAGATGCTAGTCCACACAGAAACACAAACTACAAGCTCTTACCCAAGATCTCGGGGTTCCTGATAACCGACCCAATTTGCCGGAGCGCCTGCTGCCCAGCCTTCTGGACCTTCACGTGGGAGTCTGTGAGCACCTCGGTGAGTTTTGGCACAATGTTTGGCAAGCAGGAGGAGAGTTGTTTGGGGGCGCAGTAAGCCATGGCACCCAGCAGCTCCACTGACCCTGGTGGGGAAGAGCAGGAAGGCAGGGAATGATGGAATGATAGATAGATGATAGATAGATAGATAGATAGATAGATAGATCGATAGACAGAGGCAGAGTTAGAAGTCAGTCCACAGGGCAGCCTTACTAGGAAGTCATATCCACCAAGCTCGGTGGGACCTCCCTCGACCAAAATTAAGTGTACAGAGGATTACACCTGCAGTCATCATGCAGCTTCAAAAGTTTTGGAGAGCTAAGATAAACAGTGGCCAACAGAGACTAAATTTCATTCTCAATGGACCCTGCCACCCATAGCTGTCAACCTTCCCTTTTTTTGCAGGAAATTCCCTTATTCCAGCGCTGTTTCCCACTGCTTCCCACTGCTATCCCGGATTGTTAGATAACCCGTAGACTGTCCCCGGGACAGGTGAGGATGCTGATCCCTTTTTTTCGAGGCTGCTGATCCCTTATTTTCAAATCTGAAAGTTGACAGCTATGCTGCTACCACTACTTAAACAATAAACTTCAAGAGCCTAAGGTTTCCCAGAAGCTGTAAAGATCCTATCTAGTTAGGACGGCTCTTTGCAGAGAATAATACCTGAGCAAAATAAGGCAACGCTGGTATAATCTTCCTGCAAGAACGAAGGAGCTACAGCCATTCCAAAAGCTGTCAGTCAGCCTCCCTTCCCTTAAATGAAAAACGAACCCAGTCCCAAGTTCTTACCAGCTTTGGTTCTCCAAGACTCCTCCTCAAGCGCAGCCAGCAACGAAGGCAGCACCAGCTTCACCCCGTGGGCACTCAGGTTACTCATCACGGCCTTGGCGCAATCGTCCGCGGCCTCAAAGGAAGGAAACGGAGAAGTCACAACTGGCCTCAACCCACTTCGAGATCCAGCAGCCAAACATTATGGAGGATCAGTCTCACACCAGCAATGAACCATGTATGCAGGGGTGGGGGCACCAGAAAACTAAATCTAAGGTGAGGTAGCCACTGTGGTGCCTTCCAGGTGATGCTGAACTACAACTCCCATCATTCCTGGCCATGCTGGCTGGGGCTGATGGGATTTGGAGTCCATTAACATCCAGAGGACTCCGCACTGGCTGTCCCTGGGCCAAGGGAATCACCATACAATTATTTGTCATGCATTTTTATGCTTATCAGCAGTAGCAGACTGGAGCGAGTTTCTCTGTCTCCAGTCAGGACCCACATAATGTTTTTTAAGGTGTTATGCTCGTGATATACAGTTGCGCTCTTATCTGATTTTCACCTAGTTTTAAGGAATTCCTTCTTGGGTGTTTACTGCATTAAGTATGCTAATTAAGAGATTGTTATGTCCAGCAGCATCAGGTTGGCCAGTGTGTGAACAGGATGCTGGAAGAGATGACCCTGATCCTGCAGCCAGGTGCTTCCTATGTTCTTATGCAATAAGGGAAGGTTACTGCCACCATCGGGACGCGGGTGGCACTGTGGTCTAAACCACAGAGCCTAAGGCTTGCTGATTAGAAGGTTGGCGGTTCGAATCCCCGTGACGGGGTGAGCTCCCATTGCTCGGTCCCAGCTCCTGCCAACCTAGCAGTTCGAAAGCACGTCAAAGTGCAAGTAGATAAATAGGTACCACTCCAGGGGGAAGGTAAACGGCGTTTCCGTGCACTGCTCTGGTTCGCCAGAAGCGGCTTAGTCATGCTGGCCACATGACCCGGAAGCTGTACGCCGGCTCCCTCGGCCAGAGTCGTCCGCTACTGGACCTAATGGTCAGGGGTCCCTTTACCTTTACCTTTACTGCCACCATGTGGAACAGGGTGCTGGACCTGGGCAGGGGGTGGGTGACTGGCTTTGGCCTAATCCAGCAGCGCAATCATCATCATCCTTTTTATTCGACCGTCAGTCAGAAAAAAGTACATTTTATCAATACACAGTTAAAAACATCCAGGAAGATTTTAAAACTTAGCCAACACTAAAATGGGCTAAACAGATAGCCCCATATCAATACAGTCAATTATAGTCTTGCGACGCTTAAAAGCTAAAAAGAGAAATTTGGCCACCACGGAAGGTATAGCTCTAGTGGCGTTATTCAGCAAGTGTAAAACCTGGTTTTCTCTGGGTAGGAAGCTGAATTGACATAGGAGAGGGTCTATAAAATTTTGTCTAAGCTCTGCATAAGAAGGGCAAGTCAAGAGAATATGTTCAGTGGACTCAACCACACCCATGGCACAATGACAGGTTCTCTGGGCGTATGGTACCCCCCTGTACCTTCCCCACAATATCGCAGAGTCAAGGACATTTAATCTAGCCGCTGTAAGAAGTCTACGGTATTCCACATAATGGATTTCTGCAAGGTAGGGGGCTGGTATGGTCCGATAAATCTGGTCCCCTAGGAACATCCCTGGTTTTACCTGGGCTATGTCCTCTTGTCTGGCAATGTCACTCAGTCTCCGGGAGATCACAGCTCTAGCTTGATTGTACGTCATAGACTCAAAGTAGAGGTGAGACAATCCGCAGGATTGAACCTCATTAATGACCTCCCTTTCCCACGATGATTGGAAATCGTCCCTCAATATCAAGGGGCAATACCCACTGGTTTAAAACAAAGCTTGAGCCATAGCCAGAGCTTCGTCTTCAAGGCCACATACCGTAGAGCTTGCCAGCCGACCTCTAATCTCATAACCGCACCCGCTACCGAGGGGGGAATCCTAAGGATGGCTCTAAGGAATCTCGTTTGGATAGAATCCAGTTTCAAAAAATCCCTACGGGAGCCTAAAGAGATGCCCACCAAAAGAAGGGGGACAGCAGCGCAATGCTTCTTTCGTCCTTAACCTACTGCCCTGGCAACACCAGGCGCTTCTTACCTCTCGGACGTACTGATTCCCGTCTCCGAAGCAAAGCAGCAGGTGGGGCAAGACGTGGACCACGTAAGGCTCAAAGAGCTTCCCAAGCATGCTGCAGAGCATCTCAAAGGCAAACAAGGCCCCTAAATGGGAGGCAAACAAGGCTTTTATCAGGGCAAGGGGAGGACTGGCAAGCGAGGCTCTGTCCCCGCCAACTTTCTCTCAGCCTGCAAGCACAAAACATGAAATGAAGGAAAGGGTTGGAATTTTCCGTGAAGTTTATCTCTGCTTCCCCCACCCCCTTCTAATTTCTGTCTCAACCACCCTTCTCAAAAAAAGCAAGATCACGATGCCCAGCCACTGGATGTAGCCTGAAATAGGGAAATGCTGCAACTGCCTTAGTTCAGGCCAATCACAACAACACAAACACAATACGTAGGCTAATAATTAGTAGAGAATATATAATAGAATAATGGTATCATTCAAATTTCAATTTGTTGAAAAATATCGGGTATGTACCTTTATTTATTTATTCTGTTTTGTATATTCTGCTTTATTTTACAATGTGTATGCAGGTAGCTCAGTTTTGTTATCATTCATCGATTGTATGCCTTGTATCTTATTTCCAGCTGATGAAGACTATCATGAAACAGTAGTATCATTTCGGAGACACTGTTTTTTTGAAACTTTTGAGACACCTTCTGTTGAAACTTTTGAAAGACTATTGTGAGACTGTCCTTAGACATCTGTTTTGAACACACAGCTTGACAATCCTCACTACCGCTCTGTTATATTGTACATGTGAACTTTGATTGGCTTATTCCTGTAATTTGAATGATATCATTATTCTATTATATATTCTCTACTATAAGCCTACATGTTGTGTTTGTATTGTTATGATTGGTTCTTATTGCAACATAGGGGGTTGTTTTTAGTTCAGGCCAAGACCGCTCTGGGACCCCCTAGGTCTGAACCAAGGGTTGTATCCAATGCAGTGCTGAGTTAAAGTTGCTTAGCAGTACAGCTGTTCTGCTGGCAAAAGGTTTTGCACCAACGGAATGGACCCCTGTTCTTGTCTGAAAGGTGGTTTTGACGCATGTCAGGCTGTCACATGGGTGAATATCGCCGCCTGGTATCCAAGGCAGGAAATGTTCAGAGTTGAGAAGTATGCAGCTGCTTCCTGTCCTCACTCAGTCCATTTCCTGTCTTCATCCAAAGTGGATTATCTATCAAGCTCTGGACCTTAGCTTCATGGTTTCTCCTTCGGTGTGAGCCGTGAGTGTTGTTTTGTGCCAACGGAACACTTTTTTGCACAAGAGAAGGCGTCAGGCCGTTGGCAACTTTGTCACGTGATAAGACTGTGAAATCTGTTGCGCAACCAGTAGAACCGTTCTACCAGATCCCCGTTGCAAAACATTAAAATTTGCGAGTCCCTAATAAACTACAAGAATTTGCTGAAAATAATAAACTACAAGAATTTGCTGAAATGGCACAGTTGACAAATAGCCTGAGAAGCAATTCAAAACAAAAATTTATGGGAAAATGGGATAGATATAAGATATATGTTAAAAAATATAGTAAAGGTACGTTATCTATGCTAGCATTTGATTGACGTTGGAGAAAAATTGAGTTGAGTAACAAGATCAAGGGTACATATTGATATAGGAATGTATTAGATAAAATGTAAAGAAATATACAATAATAAGAGTACATTCACTTGTAAAAAAAGAAATATACGACGAGATTGACAGGAAGTCCGTAGTGTTGGTACAAATACTATAGTTTTGTGTCTCTGTTTTTTCTTTTATCCTTTTTTTCTTTTTTTAGGTATATAAATTTTGTATATAAACTTAGTATACATGTTGGAAATTATATTATAATAAGCCCTGTAATGTAATATGACAATGTATGCATGTTGTTGTTTAGTCGTTTAGTCGTGTCCGACTCTTCATGACCCCATGGACCAGAGCACGCCAGGCACTTCTGTCTTCCACTGCCTCCCGCAGTTTGGTCAGACTCATGTTTGTAGCTTCAAAGACACTATCCAACCATCTCGTCCTCTGTCATCCCCTTCTCCTTGTGCCCTCCATCTTTCCCAACATCAGGGTCTTTTCCAGGGAGTCTTCTCTTCTCATGAGGTGGCCAAAGTATTGGAGTCTCAGCTTCAGGATCTGTCCTGATTTCCTTCAGAATGGAGAGGTTTGATCTTCTTGCAGTCCATGGGACTCTCAAGAGTCTCCTCCAGCACCATAATTCAAAAGCATCAATTCTTTGGCGATCAGCCTTCTTTATGGTCCAGCTCTCACTTCCATACATCACTACTGGGAAAACCATAGCTTTTACTATACGGACCTTTGTTGGCAAGGTGATGTCTCTACTTTTTAAGATGCTGTCTAGGTTGGTCATTGCTTTCCTCCCAAGAAGCAGACGTCTCTTAATTTCATGGCTGCTGTCACCATCTGCAGTGATCATGGAGCCCAAGAAAGTAAAATCTCTCATTGCCTCCATTTCTTCTCCTTTTATTTGCCAGGAGGTGATGGGACCAGTGGCCATGATCTTCGTTTTTTTGATGTTGAGCTTCAGACCATATTTTGCGCTCTCCTCTTTCACCCTCAATAAAAGGGTCTTTAATTCCTCCTCACTTTCTGCCATCCAGGTTGTGTCATCTGCATATCTGAGGTTGTTGATATTTCTTCCAGCAATCTTAATTCCAGTTAGGGATTCATCCAGCCCAGCCTTTCGCATGATGAATTCTGCATATAAGTTAAATAACCAGGGAGACAATATACAGCCTTGTCGTACTCCTTTCCCAATTTTGAACCAATCAGTTGTTCCATATCCAGTTCTAACTGTAGCTTCTTGTCCCACATAGAGATTTCTCAGGAGACAGATGAGGTGATCAGGCACTCCCATTTCTTTAAGAACTTGCCATAGTTTGCTGTGGTCGACACAGTCAAAGGCTTTTGCATAGTCAATGAAGCAGAAGTAGATGTCTTTCTGGAACTCTCTAGCTTTCTCCATAATCCAGCGCATGTTTGCAATTTGGTCTCTGGTTCCTCTGCCTCTTCTAAATCCAGCTTGCACTTCTGGGAGTTCTCGGTCCACATACTGCTTGAGCCTTCCTTGTAGAATTTTAAGCATAACCTTGCTAGCGTGTGAAATGAGTGCAATTGTGCAGTAGTTAGAGCATTCTTTAGCACTGCCCTTCTTTGGGATTGGGATGTAGACTGATCTTCTCCAATCCTCTGGCCACTGCTGAGTTTTCCAAATTTGCTGGCATATTGAGTGTAGCACCTTAACAGCATCATCTTTTAAAATTTTAAATAGTTCAGCTGGAATACCATCACTTCCACTGGCCTTGTTATTTGCAGTGCTTTCTAAGGCCCATTTGACTTCACTCTCCAGGATGTCTGGCTCAAGGTCAGCAACCCCACTACCTGGGGTGTACGAGACATCCATATCTTTCTGGTATAATTCCTCTGTGTATTCTTGCCACCTCTTCTTGATGTCTTCTGCTTCTGTTAGGTCCTTACCACTTTTGTCCTTTATTATGGCAATCTTTGAACGAAATGTTCCTTTCATATCTCCAATTTTCTTGAACAGATCTCTGGTTCTTCCCATTCTGTTGTTTTCCTCTATTTCTTTGCATTGCTCGTTTAAGAAGGCCTTCTTATCTCTCCTTGCTATTTTTTGGAAATCCGCATTCAATTTCCTGTATCTTTCTCTATCTCCCTCGCATTTTGCTTGCCTTCTCTCCCCCGCTATTTGTAAGGCCTCATTAGACACCCACTTTGCTTTCTTGAATTTCCTTTTCATTGGGATGGTTTTCGTTGCTGCCTCCTGTATAATGTTGCGAGCCTCCATCCATAGTTCTTCAGGCACTCTGTCTAGCAAATCTAAATCCTTAAACTTGTTCCTCACTATGTGTATTCATAAGGGATTTGATTTAGATTGTATCTTACCGGCCCAGTGGTTTTTCCTACTTTCTTCAGTTTAAGCTTGAATTTTGCTATAAGAAGCTGATGATCTGAGCCACAGTCAGCTCCAGGTCTTGTTTTTGCTGACTGTATTGAGCTTCTCCATCTTTGGCTGCAGAGAATATAATCAATCTGATTTCGATGCTGCCCATCTGGTGATGTCCACGTGTAGAGTCGTCTCTTGTGTTGTTGGAAAAGCGTGTTTGTGATGACCAGCTTGTTCTCTTGACAGAACTCTATTAGCCTTTGCCCTGCTTCATTTTGCTCTCCAAGGCCAAACTTGCCAGTTGTTCCTTTTATCTCTTGATTCCCTACTTTAGCATTTCAATCCCCTATAATGAGAAGAACATCCTTCTTTGGTGTCACTTCTATAAGGTGTTGTAAGTCTTCATAGAATTGGTCAATTTCAGTTTCTTCAGCACCAGTAGTTGGTGCATAAACTTGGATTACTGTTATGTTAAAAGGTCTGCCTTGGATTCGTATCGAGATCATTCTATCATTTTTGAGATTGCATCCCAGTACTGCTTTCGCCACTCTTTTGTTGACTATGAGGGCCACTCCATTTCTTTTGCGGGTTTCTTGCCCACAGTAGTAGATATGATGGTCATCCGAACTGAATTCGCCCATTCCCGTCCATTTTAGTTCACTGATGCCCAGGATGTCAATATTTATTCTTGCCATCTCATTTTTGACCACATCCAACTTACCCAGGTTCATGGTTCTTACATTCCAGGTTCCTATGCAATATTTTTCTTTACAGCATTGGACTTTCCTTTCGCTTCCAGGCATATCCGCAACTGAACGTCCTTTCGGCTTTAGCCCAGCCGCTTCATCAGCTCTGGATCTACTTGTACTTGTCCTCCGCTCTTCCCCAGTAGCATGTTGGACGCCTTCCGACCTGAGGGGCTCATCTTCCAGCGTCATAACTTTTATATGCCTGTTGTCTTTGTCCATGGAGTTTTCTTGGCAGGGATACTGGAGTGGCTTGCCGGTTCCTCCTCCAGGTGGATCACGTTTGGTCAAAACTCTCCACTATGACCTGTTCATCTTGGGTGCCCTGCTCGGCATAGTTCATAGCTTCTCTGAGTTCTTCAAGCCCCTTCGCCACGGCAAGGCAGTGATCCATGAAGGGGATGTATGCATATGTAACATTAATAAATAAATAAATAAAAAAGGGGGGGAAATTTGCATGTCCCTTAGTGCAAGAGCCTGCCATCTAGGAAGCAGAGAACATTGGGTGAGGTTCCAAGCAAGCGAAACACCCACCCACATCAAGGGCAAAAGTCCTAAAGAAGTTAAGATGGGGAGAACAGGGGGAGAATCTGCCAATCAAATCACCTTCTCGCCGCCGGAAGTTCTTCTTGTCCTGGATGGCATCTGTTAGCGTGGCCATCATTTCCTGCTGTTTGAGGGAGAGGATGCCCAAGCCTTTCACCAGGCCAGCCAGCCCATAAGCGGCTCCTTTCCGTTCGGCGTACTTATCGGACTCCAGCAGCAGCTGCAGCAACTTCTGGATCATCCCTCCTGCATCCTCCTTGATGGCAGGCACCAGGGGCGGCAAGCAGCTGGCCACGGACTCCTGGACCTACAGGGATCACCGAGACAAGAATGCAATTCAAGCAAAAGTTACCCTGGGCTGACTCGGGGGCCAGTCATAGAAAGTGAATTTGGTAAAAGGTAAAGGACCCCTGGATGGTTAAGTCCAGGCAAAGGTGACTATGGGGTCGCTTTCAGGCAGAGGGAGCCGGCGTTTGTCCACAGACAGCTTTCCCGGTCATGTGGCCAGCATGACTAAACCGCTTCTGGTGCAACGGAACACCGTGACGGAAACCAGAGCGCATGGAAACGCCATTTACCTCCCCACCGCAGCGGTATCTATTTCTCTACTTGCACTGGTCTGCTCTCGAACTGCTAGGTTGGCAGGAGCTCGCCCTGTTATGGGGATTTGAACTGCCAACCTTCTGATCAGCAAGCCCAAGAGGCTCAGTGGTTTAGACCACAGCACCACCCGCATCCCAGTGAATTTGGTATGATTAGGCAGGTGGATAATTTGCTCCCTAATGGAATATAATGCGCTTTTTATTACTGTCCCCCATTGTTTAAAACACACTTTTATAACTGACCCTAATTAAGGCAGGCGTGTTTTTAAAAAAAAGATTTGACGCCCAGTCCATTTTAGCAAGGAAGGGCCATGACATAAATCAGGTAAAAGGGACACTGCTTCCTGGGTCTCCTGAACTGACAAATTGTGGTTAATATTAACTGCAGTCTGAAACAAGGCAACGCGAAACCAGTTAACGTCAACCTCAATTTGGAGAAAATAACACTGCAATGAAGCAAAAAGGGACACAATAATCTTCAAATTTCACAGTATACTTGGGCACCATTCTATTGCTGCGTGTTTAATTGATTTGTTTCTCATGGTATGCCACTGCCCCCTGGTGGACTGCCTGCAGACTACTGAATTAACCAAACTACCAAAAGAGTCAAAACGAACCTAAAATGCAAAAACTGGTTCAGAGATCTCTTCTCAGTGTTTCGAACCCACCCCCCAAAAATCTCCTACCCTATTTCCGTCTCTGCAAAAGTGGCAAGGAAAAGAGAAAGGGTTTACCTGTTGGGATGGAGTGGAAAGGGCTGCTATCAGTTTGGCAACGATCGGCTTGACTTTCGGATCGCTTTTGTCCAAATGTTTGGCCAGGGAGCCCATCAGAATGACGACACTCTGCCGGACGGCATCATAGCTGGCATCGTTTGGCGCGTCCTTCAGGAACTCCTCGAACACGGGCAGCAGGGAGTTGACACTGTCCTGAAAAGCCGTAGGACACACACACAATAGCATTAACCGTGATTTCAAAGACCTGGACGCAATGGTGAGCTAGATGAACCAAAAGACCGAGTCAATATAAGGCCGTTTCCTTCCGATGTATCTTAATGCCTACCTTGCCATGGGTATTGAGCGCCGAGAGGGCTGCGTCCAGCATGCACTTCCGGACTTCGGGGTTGCGATCATTAAGGGCATCCGGTACAAAGAACTGGAAGAGAGGCTTCACCTGCGAACTGTCCAGGTGCTCCGAAAGCTTGTTCAGGGCCAACGCAATGCCACACCTGTAAAGGTAACATGGTAGCTATGGTTCTGAAGGGCCATGGTTCAGTGGCAGAGCAGCATGAAGGTCCCAGGTATTTCCAGGTAGGGCTGGGAATATCTCCTGCCTTAAACCTGAAGAGCCACGACCAGTTAAGTCAGTACTGAGCTAGACAAACTGACTCATCATATGGAAGCTTCTTGCGTTCCTATGCTTTTAAACCAGGGTTTAGGGCTGGGCAATATATCAATATTTCATCCAAAACCAGTTTGAAGTCCGTATTGTGATATTGGTTTCATAATTTTTCACCTGGCAATATGATGTCATGTGTGTATATATATAGCTAGTACTATCGTGCTAGGAGGAAGGCACACTTGGCAAATTCACACTGTGATCAGCTCCCACCCGGAAACCAATGTCCCCACTGTGGAAGGACGTGTGGATCCAGAATTGGCCTCCACAGTCACTTACGGACTCATTGTTAAAACCGTGTTTATGGAAGACAATTTTACTCGGCTACGAGTGATCACAAAAAGAAGAAGAAACTAGTACTATGCAAAAATCACAATGTAGGGAAAACCGTGAAGCCTGCCAGTGCTTCTACATAGCTTCAACTTTATTTCAGACACCGTGCTGTATCAAGTATATCGCAATGTTTAGCTGGTGATATATCGCAATGTTGAAAACCAGATATTGCCCAGCCCTACTAGCTACCAGGTCAGGGATGCTGGGAATGGTAGTCAAAAAACAGCCGGAGGCGCAAGTTTGGGAAACCCCGATTTAAACTATTACGTTTACACCTCGCCTTATAAAGTCAGAGGCCTGAAGCACCTCAGCTGGATAGAGAGAGTCAGAATTTGAATTTAAGTAAGGACTACCTGGCTTCCCACTGGTCGGGTGGAGATTCAGATATCACACGTCCCAGAGCATCCAAAACCGGTGGAGGCCTCTGTTCAAGAGAAACAGGCATTCCGTCAGAAAACCCAGCCAAGGAGCTTATAAAAGCTGAACACGGTCAAAATCCAGGTGCAAAACAAATAAGGGGGAGGGAAGGGGCAGGGACAGAAGCACACCGTGCTAGACTTAAGTTTCTCTATAAGACCAGGGCGTGGGGAACCTGTGGCCCTGTAGATGTGGCTGGACTCTGACTCAAGAGCTACCAGCCATGGTGTCAAGGGCGGCACACCTCTTGAGTACTGGATGATGGGAATCACAAGTGGGGAGAGCGCTGTTGTGCTTGGATCCTGCTTGCAGGCTTCCCACTGGGGCATCTGGTTGGCCACTGGGAGAACAGGATGCTAGACGGGATGAGCATTTGGCATTTGATCCAGCAGCCAGGCCCTTGCTGTGTTCTGTTGTGCTTTATTCCACAATGCTTTAAACCGTATTGCTCTCCCGACACCTGGTGCATGAACTACTATATTGCTTTATGTTCATCATTTGTCAGGTAACCGTGTCAGGAGAGCTGTCTCATTGGGGCATCTGATCAGCCAGTGGATGCTTGACTAGGTGGACCTTTGGCCTGACCCAGCAGGCTCTTCGTATGCTCATTATCACAGAACGAGGACACTGAAGGGCCTATAAGACCTTCATTGGCTCCCAGTACGTTTCCGAGCACAATTCAAAGCGTTGGTGCTGACCTTTAAAGCCCTAAACGGCCGCGGGCCAGTATACCTGAAGGAGCGTCTCCACCCCCATCGTTCAGCCTGGACATTGAGGTCCAGCTCCGAGGGCCTTCTGGAGGTTCCCTCACTGCGAGAAGTGAGGTTACAGGGAACCAGGCAAAGGGCCTTCTCGGTGGTGGCGCCCGCCCTGTGGAACGCCCTCCCACCAGATGTCAAGGAAATAAACAACTATCTGACTTTTAGAAGACATCTGAAGGCAGCCCTGTTTAGGGAAGTTTTTAATGTCTGATGTTTTATCATGTTTTTAATATTCTGTTGGGAGCTGCCCAGAGTGGCTGGGAAAACACAGCCAGATGGGAAGGGTATGTATGTATGTATGTATATATATGTATGTATGTATGTATGTATGTATATATAAATAAATAAAACCACTGCTGCTACTACTACTACTACTACGGGGACACAGGTGGCACTGTGGGTTAAACCACAGAGCCCAGGGCTTGCCAATCAGAAGGTCGGCGGTTCGAATTCCCGCGACAGGGTGAGCTCCCGTTGCTCGGTCCCTGCTCCTGCCAACCTAGCAGTTCAAAAGCATGTCAAAGTGCAAGTAGATAAATAGGTACCGCTGCGGCGGGAAGGTAAATGGCGTTTCTGTGCGCTGCTCTGGTTCGCCAGAAGCGGCTTAGTCATGCTGGCCCCATGACCCGGAAGCTGTATGCCGGCTCCCTTGGCCAATAAAGCGAGATGAGGCCCGCAACCCCAGAGTCGGTCACAACTGGACCTAATGGTCAGGGGTCCCTTTACCTTTACTACTACTACATTGCTGCCAGGTGAAAGCATGCTAGGATAGTACACAGGAATGTAGTTTGGGAGGAGGAGAGGTATGGCCTAGGGAGGGTCCCAAGGCCTGGATTCACATACACCTAGAGGTCTCGGTGCCACAGCCTCTAAGCCAGAGGTTCCCCCCAATCTTGCTCTAGACCTCCCCCCAGTCCCTCATCACGAATGGCTTACATAGAGTTTCTCCTGATAGATCTCCATCAGTTTGGTCATGACGTCCCTCGTCTGGCTTCGATACTGCTCAACGCTCTTGGAAAGGGCCTCAGCACCAGCCTGGCGCACGGCTTCCTCGTAGTGGATGACATCTTTAATGAGGACCGAACAGATGTCAGGCTGCAACTCCAGACCCATCGACTCCCAAAGCCTATAAGAGACGAAAGCCAAAGGTCATCCTCCAGGTATAGAAGATCCACCCCGGTCTCATATCAGGCAGCGACGAGGGAAGTTTTCAGCAGGTAGCGCATTCCACAACCAAGCTGCGACCAGTGAAAAAGCCTGCCTCTGCATCAAGGTGGGCCAATAATTGTTAGGCCCTGGCAAGACTTAGGAGGGTTCCATTTGTTAGGCAATACTCTGCAGAGGCAGTTTCCTATGTCCATTGGTCAAAGCACTTCCTCAGGTCCTGGTGGAGAAGCATCACCTGACATTTGAGCAATGTGCCTCTGGTGTAAAAAACAACAACAAGAGCATCTCTTTGGTGGGACAGCAAATTCTCACCTCTGGGCCAGCGTCCTGATTGCTTCTTCCTTGTCGAAATTCACCACCCAGAGACGGCGCAAAAGGTTCATCCCATTCTTCTCATCGCTGTCCGGCGTTGGCAGCACCAACTGCAGCTCCATCAAGCCCTGAAGATCAGAACAGGTCAAGTCAGTAGAAAGCCTTCCTCCCCAACCTCCTTGTATTCCAAAACTGCCATGAGAAGTGACGTCCCCTTTCCAGCATGCATTAAGGCTGTTCAGGTATTACTTTGCAGGCACACGGTGGCAGCAAGATTGGGAGGGTGTGCTGCGTTCCGAGGGCCAGGCATGAAGGCCCAGAGGGCCACATTAGGCCCCCAGGTCTGGGATTCCCTAACACAGCTCTACAAACGTATCTTCCTCCAGTGGTGGATGGGAAGCCACCTGTCCCCCCATCTCCTCCCCTGTGCTGGCTGGAAAGAGGTCCCGACTGACCCGGAGGGCTGCATCTCGGACATTCATGCACGGGGACTGAAGGGCTTGGAGTAACACATCCACTTCTTCCTGTTCTGCATAGGCACAGCCGTCCTCTCCACTGCTGCTGGCACACAGGGCAGTCAGGGCATTGGAAGCCAAGACCTGACAAGAGGCAAGAGAGCTTAAAATCAGACAGCGAAGGAATATAATTGTTGCCATACAAATTCACAGGCACAAAGCCACCAAAGGGGTACAAAAAGAACATTAAAACACACTCTGAAAGAAATAAAAACTGATTCAACCAACTAAAAACCATGGAACCATCCATACATATCGGAACAACAACAAAGCAATTTCATCAGATATAAAATTGATATTCCATGAATGGCCGGGTTGCACCCTCAAGGGAAAGCACAAATGTTTTCAGCAGATACCTAAATATAATCTCATTAATGGCACCAAACTGGAAAATCCATGAGTGAATCAATCAATTGCATTTATAAACCATCTTTCCTCCAAGGAGTTCAAGGTGGCATCCATAGTTCCTCCCCTCTCAATTTTATCCCCACAATAACCCTGTGAGGTAGGTTAGGGCTGAGAGACAGTGAGCCTCATGGCCGAGTGAGGATTTGAACCCTCGTCTCCCAAATCCTTGTCCAGCACTCTAACCACTGTGCCACACCGGCTCACAATGTACTCAGGCACTGCATAACATATTAATACGGGCACTGTACAGAAAACCCGGAAGACAGTTAACATTAGAAGTATGGGAGCCGAATACAGGTTTAACAGGACCAACAAAGACCAGATAAAAAGAGCTACAGGGGCTCTGCATCTGGTATGCGACCTGTTGCTGTACTAGAATGGGTGGCCAGCTCACCTGTAAGCGTGGAGAGCCTGTCCCGATCACTTTACTCAGGAGCCGCAGCATCTCTGTGCGAGGCAGTAACTCGGGTCCGTTCTGACAGGTGATCGGGGGAAAGAGGGGCAAAAGAGAAACGCAAACACCTGTCATTTAAAAAAAGGCAACTGCCCAACCAATAATGAATAATCATCCTCATCATGCAATGAAGCTGGGGGATTTGGAATGGCACACAGGTGGTGAGCATTCTGCATTTTATGTACTTAACAAAATTTACATACTAGTCGATTTACTAAGTTGCTGTTATTATTTACATATACCATATTTTTCTGTCTATAAGACAACCCCATGTATATTTTGGGGGACTCAGATTTAAGAAAATGGGGGAGATGTATCTGTGTGTAAGACGCCCCCTAATTTTTGACATTATTTTTTAGGGGGGGAAACCTAGTCTTACACACAGAAATATACTGTATATGTTGCTTTTTCAAAGCGGCTTCCAACAGAACAAAATGTGAATCGATACATCGCTAAAATAGCGGTCGAATACTAAAATGTAACACCCAAATCCAGCAAATACAGTGGTACCTTGGTTCTCAAACGGCTTGGCTCCCAAACGCCGCAAACCCCAACTGTTCTGGTTTGTGAACGTTTTACGGAAGCCCAACATCTGACACGGCTTCTGCTCGACTGCAGGAATCTCCTGCAGCCAATCGGAAGCTGCGCCTTGGTTTTCGAATGGTTTCAGGAGTCGAACCGACTCCCGGAACGGATTAAGTTTAAGAACCAAGGTACCACTGTAACGCTGTTCAGTTGCATTAATGTTACAACATTTTAAATTCATGTTGAAGTACTTCCTGTTCTTCTATGGCAACAAGCTGTTGTATGTTGCATCTGGGGTCAGGAGAGGGAGGCGGCTCTCAAGACAAAGAGGCAGAGGAGGAGGGATGCAATGAGAAGGAAAGTATCTCAACACTTGCATCAGCTTTGTTCGGCTGTGCATTTTCAGCTTCGTTTGAACCTCCGGGGGTGGGGGGGGCACGTCTGTCTGCCACCAAGTAAAAATGGCAGCTTGCTTTCTGAAGATGGTGCAATCCCATGGAAAACACTGACCTCGTCCACCAGTAAACTCTGGCTGCTGGCAGATGATCTCAGCTGAGCATGGACCGTGATCGTCTGCAGAGCCTTGACCAAGAGCTCCTCCTTCTCTTCACTGTCGTTGGGAGTCTCCAGCAGCACCATTTTGAGGAGAGGGAAGACTAAGGAAAAGGCTGGGGCCGTTAATGGCACGGGACCTGCAACAGGCAGAAAAGAAGAGGGGAGATACAGACGCAGAAGGACATGCCCATACAGGCCAACGTCAGCCATTGACAGAATAGATCTGCTGAAATCAATGGGCATGGCTGACTTGTTGGGAGTGCAACAGCAGTGATCATTCAGTTCATAACTTAAAGAGTTAATTCTGTTCTCAGTAGAGAGCCAGTGTGGTGTAGTGGTTAAGACTCGTAATCTGGTGAACCGGGTTCGCTTCCCCGCTCCTCCACATGCAGCTGCTGGGTGACCTTGGGCTAGTCACACTTCTCTGAAGTCTCTCAGCCTCACTCACCTCACAGAGTGTTTGTTGTGGGGGAGGAAGGGAAAGGAGAATGTGAGCCGCTTTGAGACTCCTTCGGGTAGTGATAAAGCGGGATATCAAATCCAAACTCTTCTTCTTCTTCTTCGAGTCAGCTGCTCAGGGAGGAGGGGGGAGGCACTGCTTAGCAACCAAATCAGGTGGGAAAAAATCAGAAGCGGGTCCTCACCTGCCTCTCCCTTGCTCATCCGGACAGGCACAGTGTGCGTGTGCAACAAGGTCACCACTCTGGTCACAGCAGTGGGCAGGTCCTCTTGGCACCAGGATTCGTCCAAAACACACTCAGGCTTTATCATCCTCAAGGTCACGTGGCTCACTACAGTACCTGGGGAAAGGGGTGAAGGGAGTTGTAAGTCCAGCACCAAAATTGAGGAGGGGGGAAGGCACCCTTGCTGGCTACCCCAATCTACGTTTGTATGTATTTTTGCAGATTTATGCTACAAAAGCTTAACTTATCTGAGTTTCCCCCCATCATAGAGATAGATAGATAGATAGATAGATAGATAGATAGATATAAACACACACAAAGCAGAACACTAACCAAAAGTCTTCAGCCGATCAGGCATCACACAGGATGCCAAAGAAAGGAAAGGGGTCTTAATCCTTGGAGCCGCCAGAGGGGACTTCAGCAGAGGCAGGAAGAAGCCTATGAGACTGGGGATGTACTGGGAGAGACCAGGGGGGTTCCTCTTTAGAACAGCATCCAGGAGACCCAGCATTGATTCCAGTTCATTGTCAAGCTGCAATAGAACACTGCGGTGGTTACTGGCGAAAGGCAATCTTGAAAGAAGCAGCCAAGCTTTGGACTAACACACCCACACACCCATAAGCACAATCCTTTCTCTGTATTTTCTTCCTTTATCAATATTCTCAGCACAGTAAGAGGGGGAAAGGGACTTGCTGACCCAGAAACAGATGGCATGACAATACTGGACCACAGCAGCAGCTGGTGAGCAGTGGATATGGTGGGGAGGTTGATCTGCTAATGGGAGATGGAGGGGGTGGTCTTTAGAGACCGAGTCAAGAGGGTCCTCAGAAGCAACAGGTAACAATTTGTTGACATATGCTCTGAACAGGCTAGGCTACCCTCTTTTGTGTGATCCAGCCTACATTATTTTTTAAATTTAATTTAATTTAATTTATTAAAACAACCACCACCACCACCGGCCAGGAAGCAAACATTGCCCTTGAGTGTGGAAATGTGCCAGTTCAGAAGAGAGACCCTATTCCTGCTTGTAATTTCAAGGTCTCTCCCCAGCCCCTCTCATCTCAATGCTGGAAGGGAGACATCTCATGTGCTCAGATCCTGCTTGTGGGTTTCCCATGTGACCGGAATTTTTATAAAGGTGGTGGTGGGGTTTTGTTTCCAGTTAAACGGGACACTGCACCCCCAGACCAACCGCCCAAATCGACACCATTCCAACTTCATTTTACTCAGGGAAAAGATGGCTACCGAAGGGGGGGACTTGGGAAACTGGTAAAAGACAGCCATAATCCCTGAAACCTGGGATCACGTACACAGCAGCCTCTTACATAAGAGATAATCACTGGCATCCTGGCAAATGGGTGCCAGACAGGTAGTCATCCTGCAGACAATAGCAAACCACCCAGGAACGGATTAGGTTCTGGGTCAGGACAAAGAAGTGTGATTACCTGAGCAGGAAAGAGCAGGAACTTGTAAATACTTCCATTGTTATCACTTGATGAGTGTAAAGTGGAGGGCAAGGGAGGGTTGGGGGCAAGAAAACCCCTCCCCCTTTGTGACATATGTATGATGTATCTGTGATGCGTGCATGAAGCTTCACCAAAGGGGTTTGTGAGAAAAGGAGAAGCTTATAAAAGAAGGGGCACCCTTTCGTTCGGTGCTTTTTCCATGTGGTGGGTGGAAGTCCTGTTGCAACAGTCTTTTGAATAAAGATCAGGCCTACAGGCTGCTGTTTGGCTCCTATATACACTGAGGTCCAGCGCCGAGGGCCTTCTGGCGGTTCCCTCACTGCGAGAAGCCAAGTTACAGGGAACCGGGCAGAGGGCCTTCTCGGTAGTGGCACCCGCCCTGTGGAATGCCCTCCCACCAGATGTCAAGGAGAAGAACAACTACCAGACTTTTAGAAGACATCTGAAGGCAGCCCTGTTTAGGGAAGCTTTTAATGTTTCAACAGACCACTGTATTTTAATACTTTGTTGGAAGCCACCCAAGGTGGCTGGGGAGACCCAGCCAGATGGCGGGGTATAAATAAATTATTATTATTATTATTACTACTACTACTACTACTACTACATTTCTGGCTGGTGTCTTTTTTGACAATGCAAGTGAGCCCAATGATTTTCCTATAACACCCACAGGTATCTGGCTGGCCGCTGCGAGAACACGATGGGCCCATGGCCTGATCCAGCAGGCTCCTCTTCGGTTCTTAACATTAGGCCCAGCTATAGCTTACCTCTTTCAACTGCTTCCTGGTCTGAGATTCCTTTTCCAGCTGGGCATTCAGCATTTCCTTCTGTTTGCTGGTTAGCTGGATCTCCTCCTTTATCCCCTTCTTCTTCTTAATCTCCTGCAGAAGAGAAAAACCATCTTTTTGGTTATAACGGGGAAGCGGGCGGCACAGCATTCCCTCCAAAGGAAGCAGCTTCAGCAGTTCAAAGACAATGAACAACATGATGGGAGAGAAAATGAGGGTGAATTGGGAGTTGTGCCCAGAGACAGACAAGCTCAGTATGACGACAGCAGCAAGAAAGGAAAAAAAGACACCCAGCTCTATGCAATCTGACTTAGTTTATCACAGGTTGCTCATCAAATGCTACCAAAAAAGGTCTTGATGCAACTTAAAACTATTCAGTCTTCTTTTCATCTTCATTTTCATTCCCCTTCTCTCCCAGAAACTCAGGGAGCTTTACATGGGTTGCTTTCCCTGTTATCCCCTGAGAGGTGGCTCATCAGGCTGAGAAAACGTGAGTGTTCCAAAAAACCCCCTGCAGAACTGAGTGAAGATCTGAAATCCAACTTTCCTCCAGTCCATGCCTGAGTCATTTAGGGCTTTAATAATAATACAGTCATACCTTGGTTCTTTTTTTTAAAAAAAAATATATTTTTATTATTTTTAGCATACAAAAATTTTTAAGACATACCACACAAATTATTATACATATGTCCTTGTTTGGACTTCCCTCAGCATCTCTGATAGCCTTCCGTCTTGATTATTTCTCCTGCAATTCTTAACTTAATATTGCCTTTACCTTTTCTAACAAATCATTTCTCCATTTTTACAATATTTTCCATTTTTACAATATTTCTTAAATTACTCCTCACAGAACTGTTTGTAGTCCTACCTTGGTTTTTGAATGTAATCCGAGGAGTCCATTCAACGTCCGAAATGTTCGAAAACCATGGTGCGGCTTCCGATTGGCTGCAGGAGCTTCCTGCACTCAAGTGGAAGCTGCGTCGGATGTTTGGCTTCCAAAAAACGTCCCAAAACCGGAACAGTTACTTCCAGGTTTTTGGCATTTGGAAGCCAAAATGTATGAGTACCAAGGCGTTTGAGAACCAAGGTATGACTGTAATATAGAAGAAGAAGGAGGAGGAGGAGGAGGAGGAGCAGCAGCAGCTGCACTCTGGGCAGCTTACAGCATATATAAAAACATAATAAAACATCAAACATTAACAAACATTAAACGCTAAGGGGAGCTACCAGTCCAGTTGCTTTAAAACAGGGCTTATATTAGACCTAAATATGGCATTATCCCCCATGCAAGACCTCACCTCCTTCAGCTCCAGTTCAATGATCTGCTCCTTGAAAGAATAAGCTTTGTTTTCTCTCTTCATGTTGGCCTTTTTCAGGCTGTCTTGCTGAGCACTGAAGACAGCGAAGGGGAGAGAGAGACAGACAGACAGAGAGAGAGAGAGAGAGAGAGAGAGAGAGAAAGATTAGCACAATCCACTGAAATCATCTCAGGTTATCAGCTTCAATTACAGCTACCACAAAAGAATAGAAAACATTTAATATTTGTTATTTACTTAAACAAAAATTATATACGGTTTGATTGTGATAAAAGACCACTCTAAGCATTTTACACAAACTATATATCTCTCTCTATATATACAACAGCTAAAAAGAGATTTTAAAAACTTATGAAAATCAACAATGGGGGGGGGGGTTCAGACACATGTAACTTCTACATGTTTGGACAGGCTTGCCTAAACAGAAACGTTTTAAGCAGGAACCAAAAAAGTACAGCAAAGGTGCATGCCTGATGTCAATAGGCAGGGAGTTCTGAAGTTTAAGCACTGCTACACTAAAAGATTGATTTCTTACAAGTGCAGAACAGATATCAAGTTTCACTTGTAACAGTGCCAGTTCCACAGATCAAAGCGGTTTCGTTAGTGGTGGTTTGTTATACCACACACATTTCAAAAGGAAAGGTCATCGCTTAGTGGTCTGTGTACACAAGGTCCATAGGTTGGTGGCATACATGTCTTGATTAAAGAGATTTTTTTCTCCTAAAAGTGCTATGGAAACCTGGCATGGCCTGTCAAAAATAAGGAAGGCTGTAGCTCAATGGCAAAACATCTGCTTTGCATGAAGAAGGTCCCAGGTTCAATCCCCGGCATCTCCAGATAGGGTTGGCAAAAAGGTTCCCTGTCTGGAACAGGAGAGCCGCTGCCAGTCAGTGTAGACAACACTGAGCTAGATGGACCAATGGCCTGGCTCAGTATAAGGCAGCTTCCTGTATCCAAGTGCTCGTCCTCACCTGTGCAAGATGGACTTGTCATAAAGTTCCCCTTCGGGCATCTTCATGATAGCAAACTCCTCCTGGGTCACAAGACACAGCGCTGGGTTTTCTAGAAAGGCGGAGATGGTGCTGATGACCTGAGGGAGGACTTGGCTGGGAGAGAGGGCAGACAGCAGACCCACTGCATTCAGGGATGACTGTGAAACAAGGAAGGGGAGGGAAAACAGCCACTTGTCAAGGATTACAGCACTATCCCAGTAGTGATGTATGGAAATGAGAAATGGACTGATCGCCGAAGAATCGATGCTTTTGAATTATGGTGCTGGAGGAGACTCTTGAGAGTCCCATGGACTGCAAGAAGATCAAACCTCTCCATTCTTAAGGAAATCAGCCCTGAGTGCTCACTGGAAGGACAGATCCTGAAGCTAAGGCTCCAATACTTTGGCCACCTCATGAGAAGAGAAGACTCCCTGGAAAAGACCCTGATGTTGGGAAAGATGGAGGGCACAAGGAGAAGGGGACGACAGAGGACGAGATGGTTGGACAGTGTTCTCGAAGCTACTAACATGAGTTTGACCAAACTGCGGGAGGCAGTGGAAGACAGGGCTGCCTGGCGTGCTCTGGTCCATGGGGTCACAAAGAGTCGGACACGACTAAATGACTAAACAACAACAACATAATATTCTCTCAACACTTGGGGCTGATAGTCTTAATCCGCAGCACTCTTCACTGCATGCACCTGTGGTCGCTGTGTCCTTTTGCAGACGGGAGAGAAGCAGCATCGGCAAGATTTTTCAACCCGCAACCCCCAGGTCTAAAATCTTATCACACAATGTCCATTAAGAAGCTTTTAGGAAGGGAGCACAGGTCAGTGGTAGAGCATCATCAACTCTGCAGGGGGGAAAGCCACAGGTCCAATCCCTGCCATTTCCAATTAAAATTTATAAGCAGCAGATCAAAAAAGAGACACTTTGCCTGCACCCCTAGGGAGCCTGTTCAGAGTGGACCAGGTGTGGGGAGAGCCTTGGGCCCCTAGGCCACATACAGCCCTCTAAACCTCTCTGGCTGACCCTCTACACCCACCTTGAGTAGCTTTGCCTGTCTGGAATGTCCCCTTGAACTCAGATTATGCCTCCTGCTGGGGGTGGGGTGGAAAAACTAGCTTACCGTTCTGCCTACCTTTGCCTCTAGCCCCCCCCCCCCCCCAAATGTAGAATGTAGCCCTTGAAAGGAAGCCAAGAAGGCAATGGAAAAAGTTCCCCCACCTCTGGAGAGTTGGCAGTACCAAAACTAAATCTCTTGGGCCAGAAATATTGTAAAATTAAGTAATCTTAGAAGGATGTTGGATAGAAACTAAGAGGTTTTTAGCTGTAATGCTTTAAGAGATATGAAAAAAGGTTTACAATTGGGTAAAAGCTTAATGGTAAGGATTTGCTGAACTAACAAACTGAACTGGAATACAAAAAAGGGAGGTACGAGGAGGTCCGGGGAAATAAGAGCAAGGAAGATAGGTTATGGAAAATTATTGTGTTTTTAACTGTTTTATTTTGTATGTTTTTCCTTATTTTCTACTTTTTTGTTATATCTCAAAACTTTATACTTTTTTTCTTTATTTTGTATTTTCATGTATTTTTTGAAACTTTAATAAATATCATTATAAAAAAAAAAAAAAGAAAACCTCTGCAGAAGAATCAAACCCAGTCACCTTATTCATGGGGCTCTGGGTGACAATCCGGTCAAAGATCTTTTCCAGGTACTTAGCGATGAAATCGACAGGGTCCAGTTTCATCTTGATCAGGAGGGCTGTCCAAAGGCCAGACTGCCCTGTTACTGAAAGGGAGATACAAGGAAGGAAGGAGGGAGAGACTTACAAGAGGCACAACAGACCCTACTTCCGTCACATACCCAACTGGTAAGATATATAATTAAATTTTCTGTTTTACATTTTAAAATACTAATTTTAAAATCCTCAAAATATCAAGGATTTCCCTTATTCTCTTTCCATGGTTCAATTTGCATATCATATATCCCTGCATATTTTTACAAAAGCTAAACCATTCAGTATTCCGTTATTGCATCCATCAAAACTTATTTACACTGTTGAATGTATCTTAATGCTGCCAGCGTTTTCATGTGTAAACAATTTCCCCCCATATATTCAACAAACGTTTTCCAATCTTTTCTAAAGTATGTTCTTCTTGTTCTCTTATTCTATATGTTAAGTCTGCAAGCTGCACATATTCTGTCAGCTTAAGTTGCCATTTTTCTTTAGTTGGGACCTCGCTCATTTTCCATATTGGGGCTAAACAAACACGGACCACAGTAGTAGCATACATAAATAACCTTTTTTGACACCTGGGAATTTCAGTCTGAATTATCCCCAAGGAAAAGGATTCTGGGGTTTTTTTGGAAAAGAACTCCTAAATGTTTTTTTCAGTTCATTATGGATTACTTCCCAATACTCTTTTACCCTTTTACAAGTCCACCACATGTGAAAAAAAGTTCCCTCCACCTCTTTGCATCTCCAGCACTTACCTGATTCAGTCTTATTATACATCTTAGCAAGCCTAAAGGTAAAGAGTAAAGGGGCCCCTGACCATTAGGTCCAGTCATGGCCGACTCTGGGGTTGCAGTGCTCATCTTGCATTACTGGCTGAGGGAGCCGGTGTGCAGCTTCCGGGTCATGTGGCCAGCATGACTAAGCCGCTTCTGGCGAACCAGAGCAGCGCACAGAAATGCCGTTTACCTTCCCGCTGGAGTGGTACCTATTTATCTACTTGCACTTTGACGTGCTTTCAAATTGCTAGGTTGGCAGGAGCAGGGACCGAGCAATGGGAGCTCACCCCGTCGCGGGGATTCGAACCGCCGACCTTCTGATCGGCAAGCCCTAGGCTCTGTGGTTTAACCCACAGCACCAGCCGCATCCCCTCTTAGTAAGCCGACTCAGAGTTAAATACCATCTGTACCATTTTCATGTAGTTCTCCTTCAAAGAATAACATACTGGGAACTCCTTCAAAGAACAACATACTGGGAACTTTCCCCTCTCCTACTCACCTAGAGAAGGGTGATTGCTTACTAGCAACATTTCCAAAGCTAACTTTTCCTTCTCCTCTGGATCGCCCTCCAGCCCCGACACACACGAGATCATGCACAGCGTCTCCTGGAGGACACGAGGAGGGATGTAGGTCTTTCCTTGTTCCGACAGCTCTCCTGTCTCGGTGAGCAAGGCCTCGGTGGGCAGTACCTGACAAATCGTGAGTATAAATGCAATAGTAAGACAAGTGCTGGAGTGTAGAGAGAGCAATGTCGATCAAAGTCTTGTAAAGCACAGCCGAATGCAGCAGGAGTCTGACTTCAGGATCAGGCTAAAAGGCCCATCCAGCCCAGGATCCTGTTCTCATAGTGCCCGGTCGGATGTCTGTGGGAAGCCTGCGACCCAACCTGAGTGCAACAGAAACACTTTCCCCCTCCTGTAGTTCCCATCAACTGGCAACTCCATTGAAGCTCAAAGTAGCTACTTGCAAAGGATAAAGTCAAATCTAAAACATCTTAATTGTACTTAATGGTGGCTAATGGATCTTTTAGATGTTTTATGTATTTAATATATCTGGATTATCAATGTTTTATGGATGGTTTTCTTTTTTTCTCTTTTACAGTCTTGTTGTCTAAATTATGCATATAAAGGCTGAATGAATGAATAGCCGATGTCTATGGGAAGTCTGCAAACCAGACCTGATTGCAACAAAAACAATCCCCTCTCTTGCACAATATTGCCAGAGTGCAAGGAAACGCCATTTACCTTCCTGCTGCAGCAGTACCTATTTATCTACTTGCACTGGCATGCTTTCGAACTGCTAGGTTGGCAGGAGCTGGGACAGAGCAATGGGAGCTCACTCTGTCACGGGGATTCGAACCGCCGACCTTCTGACTGGCAAGCCCAAGAGCGCCACCCGCATCCCCATGAAGTATGCTCCCTCTAGCAATGGAGACAGAATCTAGCCATCGTGGATATTAGCCTTATCCTCCATGAACCTCAGGATGGAGGGCTTTAAAAGGCTGGACCTCGTCCCAAAAGTTGTATGGACTTTACCTTGTGAGAACTGAGCACTACTTTCAGCTCTTCTAAGAGCCCATAAGCCAACTTGAACCCTCTGGGCAAAGACAGGAGCTTCCTCACAGTCTGCTGGCCGAGCCTTCGGACACCCCATGATCGGCTGAGGAGGACTGCAGCCAGGGCTTTGTGATATTGCCTGAAAGCAAGAAAAAAGGTAGAGGGGAAGGAGAGAGATAGGAGGGAGGAGAGCCATGTGCCAGGGGCAGAGCATCTTCTTTCATGCAGAAGGTCCCATGTTCAATTTAGGGCTGGGAATGTCCCATCAGGAAACCCGGAGAGGCTGCTGCCAGTCAGTGTACACAGTACTGAGCTAGATGGGCCAATGGTCTGATTTGGTATGGGGAGGAGGCAAGCAGTCAACAACAGTGTGATCATGACCCAAAGCATACCAGCCTTTTGTGCAAAGTTATGGGGGTGCCCTCACCCTCAGAGGAAGGTTCAAGAGTTTGATGATAAGCAAGAGAAGGAGACCAAGCTATACGTACTGGACTTTAGCACCAGGTAGTCGATGCTCATGGTCCAAGAGGAGGCGTTCTGTCAGCTGCAGAACCGTGCACATTGCTGTAGGAGGGGAGGAAAAACACAAAAGGTGTGGAAACCAGCCTTGTTGCATTCACCATCCTTGCAAGTAAATCACAATCCCACAAGCGTAAAGTCATTTCCCCAAGAGAATCACAGCTTTCCTTTCAAAAAAAGCAACTTAACAGCTACAAAAGGTTTGCCTAAGATATTGTAGGTACAATATTCAAATAATTTAAAAACAAAAAAATTAAAAAAGAGGCACTTGGTTGATTTACATGTATTCTTTTATAGCAGCTTAGTTTTATCGTCATCATAAAGGACTGGATCATTTGGATCCAATAAGTTTATGAAGAGATTGAAGATTTTTTTGTGATGTTCCAGAATAATATATTTCATGACAATGTACAACCTTACACTGTGTTTAATTTACTATGATGTTATCAGTATTCCCATATGTTTTCAGTTGATTTTTTCTTGCTAAAGATATTAACTAAAAAAGACATCTGATCCCAAAGAACAAAGAAACAAGAGAGGCAGAACTGTGCATATCAGCAAAGACCTGGGCAACACAATCCATTGTGCAAGTGTACTAAGGAGAGATGCAAAAGTTAGTAGCCCATCTTCTTTGTCCACAAGGCAGACTAACCTGCCTCACTCAGCTTTGCCTACAAGCAGTAGAAGAGGAGAACATACAGTGCCCCAAAGCCCCAAAATACAGAAGCCTGTCCATCTTAGGAAACCCTTTTGCAAAACCTGAGGATGACCCCTTAAAGCAAAGGCATCCAGCTCACCTTCCTCTGATGCAGACTGCAGGAACTTCTCAGAAGTGAAAATCTGCTTTTTCTCATCCAGAACGAGGGGCCAGAAGCCACTCAGTTTGTTCTCTGGAGAGGAAAAGAAAGAGATTGTGGCCATGTAGATAACAAAAAGAAGAGGAGGCAACCAGCCCTACAGGCACTGCTTACATAAAGAAAGCTATACCCTATTATTTACTATATTTATATACCACTTAGCATGTAAGATCCTAAGTGACTTACTTACAATAAAACTTTATTTTTTCTATTAACACAGTACTATAAGCAAAAATAAAAACACACCAATAAAACCGATAAAAAACGAAGGGTTGTATCCAACACTGCACAAACAGCGTTCTGCTTGCATAATGGAATTTCCCCTTTTCCTTCTCCTCTTCCCCTGCCTGCCCCTAAAATCTGCTCCAACCACGGGAGAGGAGAGGGAAGTTCCGTTGTGCAAATGAAACAGCTGTGCTGGATACAACCCAAAACAACTAGTAAAATGAATGAAACACTGCAATGAATCTTACAGCCCAGGGCACATGGAATCATAGAATTGGAGAGGACCAATTACTGAGATGCAGGAATCTCAGATGGCTGATCAGCAGCACCACACTTCCATAGACAGGGGGGAAATGGGTGGTGGGAGGGAGAATGGTCTGAGGCCATTGCAATCCAATGAGAGCCAATGTTGGTGTAGTGGTTAGAGTGTTGGACTAGGACCTAGAAGACCAGGGTTCGAATCCCCACTCAGCCATGAAGTTCCCTGGGTGACCTTGGGCCACAGCCACTGCCTGTCAGCCTAAACTACCAACCTCACAGGGTTGTTGTAGGGATTAAATGATGGCAGGGGAGAGAATTGTGTATGCCACCTTGAGCTCCTTGGAGAAAAAGATGGGAGAAAAATGCAACAACTATATAAATCCACAGGTGCAGAACGTAGGTAAGTGAATCACCACAATTGTCTCTGAGTAATAATTCTGTACCAGATCTTACAACTGTGAAGACTGCAGGGGTGGGCGAGGAAAAAGAGACACCTGAATTATGCAGTTGCACTAAGATTGTTCATCTGTACCTATTGTTCCTTCACCCCATCAAAAAAGGGAAACTTGTTTCTAAACATCGTAGGACCTTACCTATTTGTGCATCAGCTACCGAGAGCCTACAAATCAGCAAGGCTGCTGCCACGCCTTCCGTCACCAGGGCAACCTGAGTGCTCTGCGCTGCTGCTTTTTCAACCGTCTGCATCAGCAAGGGCAGCAAGTCTACTCCCTGCATAAGTACGTTGCCTGTGGAAGCAGAAAGAGAAGTCAGGGAGGCCTTTCCCCAAAAACCTGCTATCGGAGGGGATTGCCCAGGCACAGGAATGGAACTAGAAGAGGCTCTTTCTTGCCTTTGAAGGATGCCAGCATGCACTGGAGATACGCATGTCTTACAGCGGAAGTGCAGGTTTTAAGGCTGAAGGCTTTCTTGAACCACTCGACCAGCTTCTTGGGCACTTCGGTGGTGAACCGATTACACCAGAGTGCGAGGACAGAGATGGCGTGCACCAAAGTGCCTTCATGGACTGAGGAGAGAGAAAACGAAAAGAAACTGGGGCGAAGAAAGCAGCCTGTCAATCAACAGTGTGCTTTTCACAATCACTTTCCAATCACTGAAGTCGACAGTGTGCCACAAAATAAGACACCTTACCTTCCTGCTGAAGGAAAGGGATGAAAAGTTCTGTTATAGTTCCGCTTACAACTTGGTTTGAAGGCCCAGAAACTGCATGGTGGCTACAGCTGCCAATCCCTAAAAGCAGAAAAACTCCCTTGGTTAGAGCTACATTTCCTTTTGGCATTTCGAAAGCAGGAAAGAAAAATACTCTGTATCTGCAGGACCATATCGAAAAGTCTTTTCTTTAATTTTCTTTTTCTTTCATTTTCTTTTTGAAGTATGAGATTGTAAATTCTTTGTATAAGTGTGTAATTTAAATTAACAAAGATTATTTAATTTTTTTTTTTAAAAAGTCTGCTGAATCACACTCATGGCCCATCTTGTCCAACAGCCTGTTTTCACAGTGGCCACCTGGCTGCCTTTGAGAAACCTGTAAGCAGGACCTGAGCACAGGAACACTCTCCCCTCCTTTGATCTCCAGCAACTGGTATTCAGAAGCATTACTGCCTCTGACCACAGAGCCAGAGTATAGTCATCATGGCTAACTTGTAGCCTTATTCTCCTCCATGAATTTGTCCAACCCTCTTTCAAAGCCATCCAAGATGCTGGTCATCACTGCTTCCCATGGGAAGGAGTTCTACAGTTTAACTATGCGTTGTGTGAATAAGTACTTCATCTGTCCTGAATCTTCCAACATTCACTACAACTTTAAGGCAATCCAAGACGTTTTCCCTTACCTGAGAGGACACTGATTTTCTGTGCCACAACTGTTAGCTTTCCCTCGGCACCTGTCAACAAGAATTGTGGGTTAGCCGTAGACTCAAAGTTCGAAAAGACATAAAACCCAAATTTTAATGCTCTGGCTGTAGAGAATCACATCTCAGCTTAATAGGCCAAGATATTAATGAGCTCTGGGTACCAACAGGAAAAATATTTGCCTCTCCCTTCTTCATGCAAACTAGGGCACAAGCCAAGAAACCTGCTGCATAATCAGCGTCTGATTATGTTTAAACCAGGAAATCTTGGGGGTTGGGGGACACCACCAAAACTGCCCCATTGGAAGGCTTTCCAGGAACCATGAAGAGGCATGAGGTTTCTGAAGCCAGATGTAGAATGGGAATATGCAACTAAGCCTGCTCCCAGCTCTCCTGACCTTGGCCATTCCTCAAATCCCACAACTGAGACACCACAAGAAGAGGTTAGGTGCACTCCGAAACAGGGCAGAGGGCGATATCCAACTAAGGCCATATTCATGCCTTCATTTCTGGGAGCTGTAGTTTGTTCCCCTCCCAGAGCCACAATTCCCAGAGTTCCCTGGGAAAGGCGGACTGGTTGCTAAGCCACTCCGGGAATTGCAGCTCTAGGAGTGAAACAGGGGTTTCCCTGGAAACTCTCAGCACCTACAGTTACCAGGATTCTTTGGGAGAAGCCGCGACTGTTTCAAGTGACACCACTGCAGTTTAAAGGTATGGTGTGAATTTAGCCTAAGTCATACACAGAGCAGCCCCATTCAAATCTATGAACTTAAGTTACCTGCCCGTCAGTTTTGATGGGTCTACTGTGAGTAGGACTAACACTGCTTATCTCCCAGGCAAGGTGCAAGTGACACAAGAAAAGGGAATGATCAGAGCCACTCACCTCCCAAAATGGCAAACAGGTGTCTCCCAAGTGACTCCACTGTTGATGGATCGCTGCACTGTCGAGCCAAGTTCTTCAATGCTACAATAGCCTCGTCCATCAGCTGAGAACTGTTGGATTTCAACTGACCTATAAAATCGAAACACAAACGCTCAAATCTTTGGAGCTGTATGGAAGCTTACAATTATCTTTACTAACAACTGGGGTTGGGAAGAAGAGATATGGACATGATGACTGCAGCCTAGTTCCCCTCTTTGAAAAACAAACACGCCTCAACTTTTAAATTTTCTCTCCACCTGTTAAAAATTGGCCCCTGCCAATCATGAAATGCTTGGGTCGCTTACTCAGAGTAATTGTTTCCTTCTCCTTGAAGACTAGCACCCTCTCCTCCCAAAAAGCACCTGCTTGGAATGGCAAACAACCACCAGGCTTCAAGTGCTTCAAACCATTCTCAATTGCTCTCACTATAACAAAGCTCCACTCTCAAAACCAGGCAAAGGCAAACTCGGCCCTCCAGTTGTTCTGGGACTACAACTCCCATCATCCCTAGATAACAGGACCCATGGTCAGGGATGATGGGAACTGTAGTCTCAAAACATCTGGAGGGCCGAGTTTGCCTATGCCTGCAACAGTACAGGATGGCATTGGTAAAAGCAGCAGCAACAGAGGAAAATTTCTGCTGGCCTCTGTAAGCGCAGACAATGGAACTTACCAGCTAGACCTTTCACTATGTCCAGAGCATACTGGCTGAGATCGAGGGTCACAGACGCCAAGAGAGAGGAGATAGCTGAAGACAAGAAGGAGAGAAGTGTGTTAACGTTCATTAGCTTACAGGTTTGCCGGGGACCAATCTCTGAGAGTCCACAACAGCAAGACCTGCTGGATCAAGCCTATGGCCCCATCTAGTCCAGCATCTTGTTCTCTCACCCGGCAGCCACCCAGAAGTCCCCAAAAGGAAGCCTGCAAGTGGGACATGAATACAACAAGCATTCATGGTCCATGCACAAGAACCAAAATAAAGTAACTGGGAACTACAAAAACACTTGAGATGCCGCTTCCTAAAAAAATGAGAAACCTGTACCAGGGTGCGAGAGAAACAATCCAGCAAACTGTTAACCCCCTGGTTTTTATCTACTTGCAGAGAATTGTATGTTTGTCTAATACCTACATGGCAAGTTGCTTTTTAATACTGTGAATAAAATAAAAAAAGCACAGGGCATTCCAGAAGATTTTGAGTTTATGTGATCTAATGAAACACAGAATTCCAATGCAACATTGGCATGGGACATGTTCCCCTCACAGATGAACAGAATCTGTACCTTAGGCCAAAAACATGAATGGCCTATTGCATAAACTTAAAACAGATCCACCCACACATGGACATCAAGAACCAAATGCTGCTTCTCTAACCCAGCTGGAGCTCATTCTTGACCCCCATGCAATGAAGAGCCACTATGTGGGTCTCAGGTGCTGACAAATCAGCTTGGTGCAAACTTCCTTTGCAACGCACATGCTTCCACTGGCCACTCACTTTCAATTGCGTTCTCAGGGCTCCGCAGGAGGGACTTCTGCAAAGCTGGCAAGACGAGGTCCTTGAATTCAGTATGCGACACATAGCGGAGCAGAGGGGCACAGTTGTCCTGCAAGAAACCCACCCGCTTTGATGCAATACACGGCTCGGGATCCTTAGTGCAAATATTACTGTTGCTGCTGTTGTTACAATTTATTCATCGCCTTCCAAACCATGGTCCAAAGGCAATTTACACTTAAAGAATTCCTTCCAGTAGCACCTTAGAGACCAACATTGTCAATGACAAACTTAGTTGGTCTCTAAGGTGCTACTGGAAGGAATTTTTTTATTTTGTTTTGACTATGGCAGACCAACACGGCTACCTACCTGTAACTTAAATAATTAAGGACAGTTTAATAGCCACTTGCCTGGTCACCTAGGCAGAGCACAAATTCCCATCCAGCAAGCTGACTTCCAGTCAGTAATAATATGGGTGTTTAACTTACAAGTCAGGAAGACTATGACGGCACCTAGCATAACTGTTATGATGATTATGATTTCTTATCCACTCTTCACAAAATTCCAGGACAGGTAACAGAAATTCAAAACGCAATATTAAGACCAAGTGTTGTTTTTAAGTAAGGATTGTTTCTAATGTCTGTATTCAGGCAACTGTGTTTAGGGAAGCTTGTAACGTTTGATATTTTATCATGTTTTTAATACTCTGTTGGGAGCTGCCCAGCATGGCTGGGGCAACCCAGCCAGATGAGCGGCATACAAAAATTATTATTATTTATTATTATTAAGCTGAGCAAAGCGCAGAAACGCTGGAAACATTTCATAGCCATTTTCCTCCACGGCTTTCCAGTTCTTTTCTCTGTATGCATGCCTGACAACTAAGGAAAACAGTCCATTCATCTGATAAAGCTGACCCTAGGTCATGAAACCTTCCACCACAATAAATTTGCTTGCCTTTAAAAAGTGCCAAGATACTCTTGTTTTGTGTTTGCTGCGGCAGACTTAACCCAGTGAGCCAGCTAACTATTTTTGACTGGGGCCGCAATCCTAACCATGTCTACTCACAGAAGTAAGTCCTATTGAATTCAATGAGGCTTACTCCCATTGTGAGTGGAGTTAGGATTGCAGCCTTAGATGCTCAAGGCTAGGAGTTTCTCTCACCAGCAGGTGCTTCTGAGGTCTTGTCTTGCTCATCAGGATGTTCTTCATGTAGAAATCAAGGAGGGCGCTCTAGAGAAGACAGAACACCTGTTATAATCATTCAGCAATGTACCACTACGCTGGACAAACAGCAAGGGTTTGCTGTAGCAGTTCACCAAGGCTACAAAGTATCTGCTTAGAGGCTTGGGACCCCACCGCTGCTTGAGCCCCCACCCCCTTCACAGGTACAGTTGCAAACACCATCCTTATTTCCCCAGAAAGAAGTGTGCAAGAATTTCTGGTACTTGATGCACAACAGACAGGAATCTGAACTTGAGGTGCTTTACTTTTTCAGATATTAAAAGGTAGCATCCCCCAGGACTGACACCTCCCCCACCAGAAAGAGCCTCCAAAATCTTAGAATCCATCCAAAATCTTAGAATCCGTCCGAATAAGGCTCACCAGTGCCCTGCCTTCGCCCCACAATTTGGCCCAGCCACACCAACCTGCCCTACAAAGGGAATTCTACAAGATGTTGCTGAGTCAAAGGGGCTATGCAAGCCCAAAAAATCTGCTTGATCATCAACATGGGCAAAAACAGGTCACCTGATGGCATTGTGGGTTGGGGAGATAAGGATGCAAGCCACTGACTGGATCCACTTCTCCACAACCTGATTTAAGGTTCCACCACCGGCTGATTCTGACCCTGGGTGCAAGCTCAACCCATGCCCCGGCTGGCAACCTGCTAACTAGTCACATCTTTCTCCATGGCTGCCCTGGGGTACTTGCCTTGTATCGGTTAATGACGTCAAGTTCTTTCTGAGTGGTGCAGAATTGCACTAGTAGGCCCAACATGCCTGCGTAGCCTTGGCTGGCTTCGAGGCTGAGAATAACAGAGAGGTACTGATCCACCAGCCCAGGGTTCTGAGGAGAAGACATCAAATCAGCAAAACCAAGAAGCTAATTCAAGGAGCTCAAATTGGGGGGTATCAAACACGGGGTTCTCGATATGTTGTTGTACTACAACTCCCACAATCTCTAACTACTGGATATGCTAGCTGGGGCTGATGGGAGTTGCAGTCCAACAATGATCGGGAGGGTTCCATGCTGGCCACCCATGACCAAAATAATCAGAATCTGTTCATGCTCTCAGAAGATGTATACAATACCTCTTTCCACAGCCTGTTCAGTTTCTTCACAGCCCCGTCCACCACCGGCTTGCGAGAGCCACCCAGAACCTCCAACAGCAGCAGACACTGAACTTCCACCTGTTTAAAAAGGAGATAACGGACCAGTATAAATGATGGGGAACCTTTGGTCCTCCAGATGTTGCTGAACTTCAGTGTAACTATGACTGGAAAAGTATGGATGGGGTCTCTTCAACGAACGGGTATGAAAAAGTATGGAAATTTGCACTTGTTGACAAACACGCCAATAAACTTAGAATGGCACGAAGTGCAGAATGAAAGGACCCCTGGATGGTTAAGTCCAGTCAAAGGCAACTATGGGGTTGTGGCGCTCATCTGGCTTTCAGGCTGAGGGGGCCAATGTTTGTCCACAGACAGCTTTCCGGGTCATGTGGCCAGCAGGACTAAACTGCTTCTGGCGCAACAGGACACCGTGACAGAAATCAGAGCGCACAGAAACACTGTTTACCTTCCTGCAGCAGCAGTACCTATTTATCTACTTGCACTGGCATGCTTTCGAACTGCTAGGCTGGCAAGAGCTGGGACAGAGCAACGGGAGCTCACTCCATCATGGGGATTCAAATCGCTGACCTTCTGATCGGCAAACCCAAGAGGCTCAGTGGTTTAGACCACAGTGCCACCCGTGCCATTTTGCTTCATTCTGTATACAGTGAAGAATGAGTATAAAATACTCCATACAAGCATTTTTGGTTGCTTTACTTTCTGTCATTCTTTGTGTACCTATGGAATCTGGATATATGATGTGGAATGGACATCTGATTGGGATGTGGACTTCATCTCATGCAGAGGGTGTGGGTAATTCTTTTCATTTTTGCTTTTCATTTTTGTATTTTAATTGCTTTGCAATATACACATATACGATGCATTATCAAAAAGTGGAGACCAAGGTTTCTTACCAGTTTCTCCCAGGTTTCTCCCTGTCTCTTCTCATGTGTGGGGAAGACAATACGAACGAGCAGGCAAGTCCAGGAGAGGGCCTGCAATGCCGCAGATCCACTGCTTTTACTGCCACAGAAAAAGCAAGAAGGAAATGAGGCCTCAACTCCAGGAAAAACAGTCAATAATGTTAACAGTTATATTATTGCTCTCCTGAGTGCAACAAAAGCTGAGCCAAAAAACTCCCAACCTGTAATATCTGTGATATAAGAAGTTACAGGGTTTCGGCAGGAAGCTACAAGGCATGCGGTGATCGGAAATGAAGAAGCATGCCTACCCTAAAGCTTTTGCAGGAGCAAACAGCATTGAAAGCAGGAATCACATATAACTGCCCCAGCACCATTACAAATGCAAATTGTCACAAATGCACAATAAAGAGGGTGTCTGGAGGGGCCCTGGGAAGCAGACAGCCACCTTTTCAAGAAATGCTTCCCAAAAATGCCATGGCACTGAATTCCGACTCTCACCTGGGTCCCCCAGACTTGCTGCTGATCCCCGAAGACTGCAGGGACTGCAGAAGGTTCTTGGCAGTTGCTTCCGGCTGACATTCTGCAAGCTGCTGAAGCGCTGCCTGGAGGGCTCTGTGGGAGGCTGCATCTCTGATGGGGGAAGAAATTGGAGGGTTTCAGAAATAATCAGCTGATTATCCTTAAGGTTCTGGTTGCAAGCACCTTCCTACCAGCCTACATTATTAACAAGCTACGTTTCAACTGATTAACCTATTAAGTAAATTTAAACAAATCTGCGTAGTATTGGACTTCAATATCGATGTCTCTTTGAAACGGAAAGACACATAACGTAATTTTTCAGTTAGGTAAACAATGACGACTACTGGATTGTTATAAGACAGTCTTTTAAAAATAATTATTTCACTGAACATGGCAAATGTTTACATCAGGGATGAAGAACTTCCGACATAGGGGTCAAATGTGCACCACCACCAGCCTCTCTACCTGGCCCTTGAGACTTTTACCAGGCCCCACACCCTTCCCAGACCACACCCCTCAAACCAGCTCTGTTTTGCTTTTCTTGGGTGTTTCTGTCTGTGCTTTGGAATATGCCCTTGAATTCTGATAATGCTTCTTGCTTGCCTGGATGGAGGCTGGAGCAGGGTGCATGCAAGTAAGTGTACGTACTGTACAAATGTAAGATTCACTTTTACTGCTCTGCCCACCTGTCGAGGCAGGAGTCGGGAGCAGGTCAGGAATAACTCACAAGGTGTCGGGGAAGTTAATTCTTTATTCAAAGAAGCAAAACAGCTCAGGCCTAGTGAGCACAGCAACTCTTCCCAGTAGGTCTTGCCTCAATGACACAGTTGTGAGGTCCACACCTTCCCACGGCTCCCTGAAACTCCTCCTCCTCGGGGTTATTCCCAAGCACCCTGAGCCTTCTCCACCTTGTCAGTCTTTGCTTTGCCTTCTTCATACCTCTTCTGGTTCTGGGTGACCAAGGGGGAAGGGAGCTGGTTGCAGCAGGAGGGGGAGACCCCCTGGCTTATTCAGCAGCCTGTCTGATCTCTGCCTCTTGGCCTCCTCTTCTCCAGCCTCCACTTCTGGACTGCTCTCTGCCACAGCCTCTTTCTGCTCCCTAAACCCAGTTACCGCTTCAGCTTCCGACACCTTCTCTTCCCAGTCTTCTCCCTCTGACCACTCATTGTTGTCCCACCACCAATCCTCAGGCTCTGAGTCTTCTTCCCATCTGGTGCTCCTACCACTTCCCTGCATCCAGCCAGTCCATGACACCCCCTGGAAGGCTGCCCCAAAGAGAATGTGGCCCTCAGGGTTAAAAAGAAGTTTCTCAACTTTGATTTACATGAATCAAACAGAAATGCCAATAAACAGCTATCACAGAGGGAGGGAGGGAGGGAGGGAGGGAGAAGAAAACCTCCCGCATGTCCCAAACATTGTTAACTTTTCCTCAGAGAGCAGCTGTTACAAGCCCTTATTTTGGTTAGTCTTTTCTGAATATCTTCTGACACTCCAAGCTCACACTCTTACCTGTATCGATGCAGGGTGAGGCAGAACAACTTGCAGAGGCCCTTCACAGCGCCTTCTGGAAGATCTGAAACAAGGTAGAGGGTTTAATGATCTTTGTATTGATGTGCATTATATAAAATGTGTGCTGCCCTGAGAATCTTCAGATTGCAGGACTTTGTTTCATATTCTTTAGCAAGAGATGGATATGAAACAACGAACTTTTTTTTGCTTCTGAGTTTGCAATGAAGGGGCCAGATTTAGCCCAGAGATTTCTAGTGACTGAGCCTTTCTGTGGCGCAATATGAATACCTTTCCCAGTGATGCATCTTGCAAGTTCATTGAGGATGTCTCTTCGTTCCTTCACACTGGATGTGGTCACTTTCACTGCAAATCTCTTCAGTGCTTCGGAAACCTAAACGGCCAGTCGGGGTGGAAGGAGAGAAGGGTTTCCAGTTTAGTCCTCTCCAGATGTCCAATGTACATCTACATTAGAGCTCCTTGGTTGAACTAAGATCCTGATCCTATGTTTTTTTCTTCTTGAGAAATGTTCATTGGGACTTACTCTCAGGTAGGTGTGCATCAGCTTGCAAACTTAACATGCATCAGATCAAGTTGCCAGTTACACCTGAAAGTGTTTTTGACTGGATTCCTTACTACTCATTATTTCTTTGTAGTATACACACACACAGAGAGAGAGCGAGAGAGAGAGAGAAATCAAGGGAGAAAGACTCAAAAGAAAATCAAGGGAAAGGGAAAGGTCTTAACACAGTATCAAATTTTGAGAAAGGTATGACAGACAGGTCCTGGATCTGCCTCCTAGTGAGCCAACAACTAGTGGGAGCCAATCAAGAAAAAGAGAGTAGAATTTAATAAATTAAATGAACAAGACCCTTGGATAGCTACTCCTCCTGACATAACACCCTTGGTCAGGAAAACAAGCCAAGGCAGAGATGGATGAGGGGGTGGCTGTAGGTCAGAAAGGAGAGTATGTGAATTGTATGCAGAAGGTCACAGGTTCAATATCTGGCATCTCCAGACAAAGATGGGAAAGACTGCTATATGAAACCCACAGCATACTGAGCTAGATAGAGCAGTAGTCTGACTCAATATAAGGCATCTTCCTATGCTCGTGTGTGTTGAAGGATGGGCCAGAAAATCAGTGGCAAAGCATCGGTTTTGCATGCAGAATGTCCCAGGTTTAATCACAGGCATTTCCAGGCAGTGCTGGGAAGGACTTCTGTCTGAAATCCTGGAGAGCCACTGCCAGCTAGTGAAGACAATACCGAGCTGAGTAGACCAATAGCCTGTCATGGTATAAAGCTCTTTCCTGTGTCTTATCCCATTTTATCCTTAACAACTCATGAGCTTGACCAGGCTGACTCCTAGCAGTTTGCTCAAAGCCATCTATTCGGTACAGAGGAGGTATTCAAATCCAGCCTATTTCTGGCAGAGTCTGTCCACTAAATGTTTCCCGTTCCATCTGCTTCTATTCTCCCGTAGCTCTACCTGTAGGTCTGGTTTCCCTAGCAACCCAGCAGGAAAGTCGCAATGCAGTGTATTGCAGTGGTTATATTAGAAAAGTTTTTGTGTTTTCTCAAATTTCATTTGCTCCAAGAGGAACTACGCTTAGCAGAAAACACAAAGGTACCCAACAGGTTTGTCACATTGTCACCACATATGAAGCTGGCCTAAACAGAGTAAGATCTTTGATTCATCTAACTGTGGTGTTGGCGGTAGTCAACATGGTGCCCTCCAGATGCTGTTGGACTCCAACTCTCATCAGCCCCAGCCAGTATGACCAATGCTCAGGAACTATGGGAGTTGGAGTACTACAACACCACCTCAAGGGCAACATGTTGGCTACCCTGAAGAGGCTATTCAGAACCTCCAATGGGAGTTTTTCCCAGGCTAACAGAGAGGACTGAACTTGGTATCTTCTGCATGGAAAGCAAGTGCTGTACCACTAAGCTATGCCCACTGTCAAATAAGAGACTGACAATTGGAGAACTGCTGTAAGCATGAAAATAGTGAACTAGTGGTAAAGGATGAGGCTCAGTGGTGACGCATATACTTTCTATGCAGAAGGCTCCAGGTTAAATTTCCAGCATCTCCAGGTAGGACGTGGAAAGACTCCCTGTCTAAAACCCAGGAGAGCTACTGCCAGTCATTGCAGACAGACAACGCTGTGCTAGATCGACCAATGATTTGATTCATTGTAAGGCAGCTTCCTATTCTTCTATTTAAAACCAGTCTTTAATTCAGAACCATGAGAACTAGAAACTGTGGCTCAGTTACACAGCATTTATTTTTTTTTTTGCAAGCAGCAGCTCCCAAGCTCAATTTGTTTTAAACTATTTTCAACACTACATTTTAAAATTACTGTAACCCTGGGATCTTATGGTGAAGGGCAGGTAAGAAACAGATGCAGGGGCGGTAAAATCCCTGGCATCCCTAAGTACGTCTGGGAATGTCTCCTGTCTGAAACCCATTCTGCGCAGACAATATTGAGCTATATGGACCAATGGTCTGAGGGTTCAACCACACTCCTTTTCATTCCATGTTTTCTGGGCACAGGTCTGGGATTTCCAGGTCCATGTCTAAGCAGTGGTGCATTTTTGGTTTGTTTCACTGCCATGCCACTTTCACCAGGAAAACCCATGTTTTATCACTGAATCAGAGCAAACAGCAATGTGCAGGGAAACCCAATTGCTATTTGTTCCAATTCAGTGGTAAAAGGCAGGTTTTCACCATAGAAAACAGTGGGAAAAGGGGGGAAACCTGCTCCAAAACGGACCTGGAAATCCCAGATCTGTGCCTAGACGCAAGGCACAAAAGGAAGTTTGTTAGAGCCATGAGTATAAGGCAGTTTCTTATTTTCCTGGGGAGCGGTACTTGCTCAACAACAGAGAACTTAGTTTGCATGCAAAGGGTACCAGGTTCAATTCCTGGCAAGGCTTGGAAGAGTCACTGTCTGAAAACGTGGAGCGCCGCTGAGCTAACAACACTGAGCTAGATGGACCAACAGTCTGGTTAAGCATGAAGCAGGCTCCTATTTAAACGAGGACTGGAATCTTGCTTTATTTTTAGCAGAAGGGCTCTTGCTCGGTGGCGCCTGGCGTGGTATAAGGCCGCTTCCTATCTTCCTTGGAACCTGTTTCTCCCCCTCTGACAGCCAACAGACAAGCTGGACGGGCTCCAACTACTGACCTCCCCCTCCCCCAGCCCTGCCCGAGGGGCTTCGCAGCTGGGCGGAGGGAGGGAGGACGCGGCCCCGCGGCCAGAGAGGGAAGAGCCGCTGCCTTCCGCCCTCGCCTCCCCATGGCTCGCTTCCATTCCTCTCGCCTCCTCGCACCGCCCCTCGCCTCGCCTCAAGCAGCACCCACCTGCGTGTCAGCCGCCATAGCGCCGGCTCCAACCCGGAAATAATCCTCCGTCACTTCCGGGGAGCGTTGGGCGCAGTCTGATGGCGTCACGAAGTTCCCTGCTGAGCTGTTAGGAGGAGGAGGGGAGGAGCGAGGCAGGCTGACGTAAGCTAACCAAGGCTCCTCCTTTTACCGCGCCTTCTGTGGTGGCTAAGCTGAAGAGGCTGCGGCCTACATGCAGCCACTCCAAATACTGTAAATTACCTTAATTGCCACCGTTAATTCCCAGTCTCGTCAACTCATTAAAGATAAAAAAATCATTATGGTATAAATTTATGTGGACGACTGTTTATTAGTAATAGGGGGCAAGTTGTGCCACTCCCCAGGCATAAAAACAAAGTTTCCAAAGTGGCTTTTCAGGAAGATGATTTGACACTAGAGGGCAGGGCCTGAGAGACAGCACAAAAATGGAACGGGAAGCAGGAGAAAAAGCAAGTTCAGGAAGGATGGAGAAAAAACTAGGATTACCATCTACAAAGGCTTTCACAAATTGGCAGCACAAGATTGCTTATGTTTCAACAGACTGTAACAGCTACATCTCTCATAATGACTAGGGAGTATCCCTAACTTATATGCCTGTTGTCTTTGTCCATGGAGTTTTCTTGGCAGGGATACTGGAGTGGCTTACCGGTTCCTGCTCCATGCCATGGTTAAAGCCATGGTTTTCCCAGTAGTGATGCATGGAAGTGAGAGCTGGACCATAAAAAAGGCTGATCGCCAAAGAATTGATGCTTTTGAATTATGGTGCTGGAGGAGACTCTTGAGAGTCCCATGGGCTGCAAGATCAAACCTCTCCATTCTTAAGGAAATCAGCTCCGAGTGCTCACTGGAAGGACAGATCGTGAAGCTGAGGCCCCAATACTTGGCCACCTCATGAGAAGAGAAGACTCCCTGGAAAAGACCCTGATGTTGGAAAAGATGGAGGGCACAAGGAGAAGGGGACAACAGGACAAGATGGTTGGACAGTGTTCTCGAAGCTACCAGCATGAGTTTGACCAAGCTGCGGGAGGCAGTGGAGGACAGAAGTGCCTGGTGTGCTCTGGTCCATCGGGTCACGAAGAGTCGGACACGACTAAACAACATCCCTAACTTCCCTCAAGCCTATCCCTGCTAGGTAGGTAGGGATGTGCGATAGCCACCCTGCTGATTCAAAGCAAACATCCATTTCTCCACAGTGGTTGCCATATTCTTCACTCACTCACAATATACCCAAACCTTTTCCCTGAATGAAGCTGAAGGTAGTATATAAGGTTCTCCTTCGCTCATTTTATCCTCTCAACCCTTAAGATAGGCTGGACTTGTCCGGAAAAGCAGCTTGAAAATACTTATGTTCATACATACAATATAGGATATTACCCAGGAGTTGGTCATTACTTATTATGTCCTCTCTTTTTTAGTTAACAATGGGGTTTTAGTTCTTCACCTCCGTGGGGCAAAGAATGAGCAATGCTGGGGCTTCACCCCATTCCAGCAACATCTAGCAGTCCAAAGGTTCCTTATCTTCCAATTTACACATTCCTCCCTTACGTTTTCTGCTCAAGGGCTAAGAGGCCCAGGGCGAAACTACTCTGATATGCAAAATTGCAGATCATTCCAAGTTTCCTGAGCTGGAAAAAAAATTCTGAAAGCCTTGTTGCTTCAGATCAGGGAGGGCTAGAATTGTGGAATGAAGTGGTCCCCTGAATTGTGGAAGGGGGAGGTCACTGTGGACCAGGCATGCATTCAGTTGAATAGCCCTGCCTTTATAACAGGAGGAGGGCCATAACCATTGAAGTTGATGCTTCCCCCTGGCACAGGACTAACCAAGAATGATGGTGCAACATGGGTGTGTAGAGAAGTACTTTTATTTTATTGTTTCATTCTGCTCCGACTGATTGGCAACAAAACTCTGAAAGTTAGTCGAAGAGACCGAATCCCATGTCCTCGTCAGACTCTTCAGACTCCTCCTTGGCCTCCACCTTGGCTGGGGCTGCTGCAGCAGGAGCTGCAGCCTCAGCTGCCACAGGGGCAGCAGTCACAAAAGCAGAAGGGTCAGCCAGGAAGGCCTTTACCTGCGGAGAAATTTTAAAAAAGCAAAGTCAGCTTCATACATCCCCCACTGGCACTTTGTGCCATGAACGGTTTCTGCTGGCAGGAATGTGTCACTTGAACTTGGATCACGTTTGCCTGGATAGAGAGGGGTGCTCAAGTGTGTAGAAACTAATGCATTTGTTGCTTCACCCACTTTTGCCTCTTGCCCTTCCCACCACTGGTACATGCACCACCATCAGAAGCAAATATAGCCCTACAGGTGAAAAGGGTTCCCCATCCCGATTCAAAAATAGACTTGAGCTCTCCTCTAAACAATCTCCCTATTTATGTTGGATCACGTTTGAAGGTGTGTGGAACTATTGACCTTCCAGGTGTGTCTGAACTACAACTCCTATCATCCCTAACCCACGCTTGCTGGGGCACTTAAAACAGCTGGGGGGGATGGTTTGGAGGAACCAAAGAATGACTGATTAACTTGTGGTAGAATTTTCCCATGGGCTTCTCCAAACTTTCTGCAAAACCTGCCTCAAAGACTACAGTACAATCACAAGAAATCAGATTAAGTTGCAGTTCACACATAAGGTTTAATGTGAAAAATGTGATTTTTTTTTTGGAGGGAGGGCAATAATACAACTTCCACACCTGTGAATTTCAGAGTCTTAAGCTGTCTGGTTTTACACTGACAATGGAGAATTCAAGGACTTCGGGGTTCACAGACTTATTACTATACCTAATAATTTCAAAACGAACAATATAATTGTAGCACAGCACCTGATGTGCTTGGGTGTTCGGTAATGTTTCAAAGTTGTACCTTGATGCACGCTATGTTAGCTTGCTCTCAATTACGTTTATATGTAAAATTCAAATAATATATGCACACATACAAAAAAGGAAAGCTGTAGCCACTGGAACCACTCTTGCCAATTCAACATTATGCACTCATCATCCAGTTCAACGTATCATCATCCTTACCTTGTCAGCTAATGGGAAAGAGTAATCAGTCTCTACAGCCACAGCCAGGACTCGTTTGTACCCATTGATGATGGAGTGGGGCACAGAGGCAACTGTCGGGTAGCCAATTTGCAGGCAAACACTGGCAACATTGCGAACACCCTGGTAGGAGAAAAAGGAGAACAGTCTTTATTCCTGTTCATCCCAAGGCAATTCCAATATGTTTTAGGTGCTCCCTTTACTCTCCCAAATTCACAATGCAAAATGAACAACTTCTGGCATTTGTACTTCCCAACTGTAGCCTACTGACTTCAAACTAGGTACACACATTCATACAAAGGAAGCAATTTTCAGAGCTGCTTCTGGAACACTCACAACACAATCCTATAAGTGGATATGGGATGGTCAACTTCAGGCACAACAAAGCTGCCTTCCACTGAATCAGACCACACCAAGCCAAGGCAGACCACTTGACCATGCAAATCAAAAGAGGCATCACTTACTTCCAAGAAGCGCCCATGCAGGGTCTCTTCAGTGATGTCTAGGACTTCAGGGCTGTAAATGCTGCCATTATCAAACACCTGCTGGATGACGAGCCCAAAGGAGAAGGGGGAGATGTTCAACATGTTCAGCAAGGTGGCTTCGCTAGCACCCACTTTGTCTCCGGTCTTGATCAACTGCACATCACTCTGAGAAAAAAAAGGGGGAGAAAGACCAGCAAATTCAACAGCAGCTTCTTTACAAGAACAATAATTGTACACCATCTCAGCAAGGTGATCTATGTTTAGTCCAGTTGAATCAGAAGTGCTGAAAGGAGAAAACAACACGCTCTCCTGTCAGGCTGGCTAAGGCCAAGTCCCTCTTGGTCCCTCTGCTTCATTCATTTCAAACAGTGAGTCATGTCAAGTACTTTTGCAGAAAGTGAGTATCATTCACACACACCACTTATATTTTGAAAAATTAACAAAAGGAAAGAAACATAATCAGCTCATGTTAACAATAAATCATTCCTGACTTATTATTTTACGCTTACATATTGCCCTTCATTCAAGGAACACAGGGTGGTTTACAATATAGAAAGACAAAAATATATCACATAATTACAAACAAAACAATAACCCCCTATACACACTTAAGACAATTTATTAATATAAGCTGCCCTACAAGCCAAACAAAATTGACAATGGTTAAGATACACGTTGAAACGTAGAAAGGTCAGTGAGATCTTCAGACCACCAAATGGGGGTTTATCCTTCCAGCCTTGGGAGTATACATTACTATTAGTGCTCCTTGTCCTGCTACCCCTTTTAACTTGCCCTTCTTCTCATGAAAACCTGGGGTAGCTAATTTTTTTTAAAAAAGCAATAGAAGTATAAGCACAATCACCATAGACAGCCACTAAGTACTCACCAGAATTTCAATGGTGCCTCTGGAGATCTTGGTGGTGATGCCCAAAGCCTGGAAAAAGGAGGTCTTCTCAGGGCCAAGGCCGGTGTTTTGAGCTGGCACAGTGACCTCACAGGGGGCAATGGCACCTGCACGAGCAGCAGCTGGTACCTGAGGGAGGGAAAAAACCCAAGTCATCCTTGGCACTGAATGTTGGGAGGATTCAGGAACGAAGAAAGTACTTCTTCAAAGAGGTGAAATTAACTATGGAATTTCGCTCCCACAGGAGGCAGTGATGGTCCCCAACGTGGGAGGCTTTTAAAAACAATTTAATAAATTAATGGATAAGGCTAGTCACAGTGGCTGCTGTTCTTCCACTACTAGAGGCAGTAAGCTTCTGAATTTCAGTTGCTGGAAACCACAGGAGGGGAGTGTCGTTGCACTCAAGTCCCACTTGCAGGCTTCCCACTGGAGCATCTGGTTGGCAACTGTAAGAACAGGACACTGGCCTATATGGGCCTAATCCAGCAAGCTCTTATTATTTCCTTATCACTGAGGTCCAGCTCCAACGGCCTTCTGGTGATTCCATCACTGTGAGAAGTGAGGTTACAGGGAACCAGGCAGAGGGTCTTTTCAGTGGTGGCGCCCGCCCTGCGGAATGACCTCTCATCAGATGTCAAGGAAATAAACAACTATCTGACTTTTAGAAGACATCTGAAGGCAGCCCTGTTTCGGGAAGTTTTTAATGACTGATGTTTTAATGCATTAATATTTTGTTGGCAGCCGCCCAGCGTGGCTGGGGAAACCCAGCCAGAAGGCCGGGGTATAAATATTAAATTGTTGTTGTTATATCAGATGTACTCTACAACATCTGGAGACCACCAGGTTGGGGCAATTTAGGTGAAAAGAGCCACTCTCTTCCTCCTAAGTGGTTACCACTTACCTTGTTGGCCAACAACATGTCCCTGATTTCAGTCAGATCCTCCTTGGTGAACACGAAGCCCACATTACCACGGATATGAGGCAGAAGCCTAATGAGAAACAAGGCATGTTCTATTAGCAACATCCAATTTCTAACCTGGTTTCTTTATAAACAAACAAAAATTATAGGCAGGTAACAATAACATCCAGCTGTAGAACTAACAAATTTTACATACATGCTCTCAATAACCTTTGCAACAACCCTTTAAGGTAGGACAGTATTATCCCTATACAGTGGTGCCTCGCAAGACGAAATTAATCCGTTCCGCGAGTCTCTTCGTCTTGCAGTTTTTTCGTCTTGCGAAGCATGGCTATTAGCGGCTTAGCGGCTATTAACGGCTTAGCAGCTTTAAGAAAAAGGAAACAAATTCGCAAGAAATCGCAAGACGTTTCGTCTTGCGAAACAAGCCCATAGGGAAATTCGTCTTGCGGAACGCCCCAAAAAACGGAAAACTCTTTCGTCTAGCGAGTTTTTCATCTTGCGAGGCATTTGTCTTGCGGGGCACCACTGTACTGCAGAGACTGGCCGCGAGACTGATAGAGGGTCATCTAGTGAATTTGCAGCTCAAGCACACTTTGAACAAAGGACTTACTGGCTCAATCTTACTTTAAAAATGCATTTTTTTTAAACAGCTAATGCAAAGGAATCTAGGAAATGCTGCATCACTAACTTTTCCAGAGCAGGGTTGTTTTCCAGATGTCCCCGGATTGCCTTGCGCATCATGGTGTTCTTCCCCATCAGGACCACGGCCTTCCCACGCAAGGACATGCGGATTTGCTGCATCTGCTTGGAACCGACATTGTCTGCTCCCACAATGAAGCATTTTGGATAGTCGTCCAAGAGTTGCTGCGGAAAGAAAGCAAACCCTGAGAAAACCTTTTTCAAACTTAGGGCTGGCACACTGTCTGCTTGCAGTAAGATGCAGATACCAAACATCAAACAGGGGTAACGTTTAAATTTAAAAAATTAACTCGGAACAGAAAGTGCTGGCTTTCTCTGTGGCACACAATCAAGTTAACACATACAAATCACTTTTAACGCTTATGAAATTCTGCATATAGCCTAATTAGTAACAGTAACAATACTTCGCATTTTTGTGCGTTGTGTTTCATATACATTATCTTGCCCATTACTACACCATTCCTGTAGTCAAATTTATGCTGATTATGATCTATGGACCAACTGTGGTCACACTTTATTGTACACACTCAGAGGGACCATCAGATTCCTGCTTCTCATATTATAATCTCGCATACTGCAATATGATAGTACAATCTAGGCCCTGCTCCAACCATGCATCACTGAAAGGGTCTGGCTACAATCCCACATTATTCTGTATGCACTGAGAGATCCTTATTCTTAAGACTCCAACATTTCAGACTTGAGACGATGCTGCAACATAGGGACAGAGCTGTATGGTGTGGTGAGCCCATAGAATTTGCTAGGTGATTCAGTGATGGCCACCAACTTTGGCTGTTTTAAATGGGGAATAAACAGATTCATGGAGAATAAGGCTATCAGCGGCTACTAATCATGGAGACAATATCATTCAGAATAACAAGTGGGCAGAGTTGTGCTTGTGTCCTACATGCAGGCTTCCCATTAGCATCCGGTTGCCCACTATGAAAACAGTATTTTGGACAGATGGGCCTTTGGTCTTACCCAGCAGGTTTGGTCTTATACACTCAACTTAAATAGAAAAGCACCCTGTACATAGGGAAATGTTTTTTAATTGTCTATTGTTATTCCTGCTGCTGCTTTTGAAACTAAAGTTTTTTGCAGAATATACAAAGAGGGTTACTTTCACCTGAGTAGACTATACTGCTTTGCGATTACAGTAATTTATTACATTTTAAAAAGTGCTCTCTCTACCTGGTGAAAGAATGCATCTCCTACTGCCTATTACTTTCCCAACTTAATTTCTGTGCCCAATCGTTTTCGGGGCAAATCATACAATGTACTTATAATCATAGGCATCTCTCTTGGAATTAATTACATGATTCCTGCAAGGTGTAATGTAAGGTGCTTATGCTCTGCCTCCAGAGTCTAAGGGAGCAATGTCTCTGAATACCAGTTGCTGTAAACCACACAAGGGAAAAGGGCTGTTGTGCTCAAATCCTGCTTGCGGGTTTCATGCTGAACTAAGATGGAACACTGGCCTTGTCCAACAAGGCTCTTTTTATGTTAGACCTATTGATGATGATATCTTATCACCAACTGCTTTGAGGTTTGTTGCTGTTTTAAAAATCAAGCACGAGATAAATTCCATGAAGTGATAAACAATAATAATGAGCCAGTGTTGTTCTTAAATCTTATTTTATTATTCTACACGGCGCCCAAAGGATTTATTTTATGAGGCACCTAATGGATGCTAGGAACTAATGGTACTTTGTACATGCTCAGAGACACCCCCGCCGGCATCTTTTTTTCTTGTTTTTCACTTGTGCCACAGAGAAAAGGTTTCCAACGGGAGAAATAAGAACATCAGCCCTGTTCCCCCTCGCCCAAGCCACCAGAAGGACTCACGATGATCTTGAGGAAGTAGTTTGACTTCCACGTGGCTCGGTCTTCCCTGGGCATCGCGGTGACCCAAGGATCGCACGGCAGCGGTTTAAAGACTCCGGTGTTTCTCTACAGAGGACAGACAAAAGAGGCTCCGGTTAGGCCCGGCCCCACCTAGGCCCCAAAGGCCTCCCCGGCCCGCCGCCAGCAACAAACCTACCTCACGAGGCCTCCGTGGAGCAAAAGAACTGGCCCCGCCCCCGCCCCACGCTTTTATAACGTCTCCGAGCGCCGCGGCCAATCGGCGGAGAGCAACAGCTTCCTCCTCCCCCTTCCCATCGCTGCGGATTGGACAGGTCTGTCGATGACGAAAAGAAGCGGCGGGAGAGCGTGGGGAGGGGGGGGAGAGAAGAGCTATTCTCAGCTCTCATTGGCATAAAGAGCCATCCTTCCAAGTACCCAGAAACTTCCTCTCCCGCCTTTTAAAGGGAGAGGAAGCTTCCGTAGCTGTGCAGGCTAAGAGAGGCATGCTCCCCCTGCTGGGGCAGAAATGCACATAGATGTAGAGAGAAAGATATAGGCCAGTGGTTTTCAGCCAGGGTGCCTTGAATGGTCAGGGGTGTTGCGGGCAATACTGGCCTCTGTCCTTCTTTCTTTCCCTCCCTTCCTCTGATGCCCTCTTGCATCTCTGCCTCTCAAAGGCTTGCATGGCTGTGTGATAGGAATTTTGAGGTCTTAAAGGTAAAGGGAACCCTGACCATTAGGTCCAGTCGTGACCGACTCTGGGGTTGCGGCGCTCATCTCGCTTTACTGGCTGAGGGAGCCGGCGTACAGCTTCCGGGTCACGTGGCCAGCAGGACTAAGCCGCTTCTGGCGAACCAGAGCAGCGCACGGAAATGTCGTTTACCTTCCCGCCGGAGCGGTACCTATTTATCTACTTGCACTTTGATGTGCTTTTGAACTGCTAGGTTGGCAGGAGCAGGGACCGAGCAACGGGAGCTCACCCCGTCGCGGGGATTCAAACCGCTGACCTTCTGATCAGCAAGTCCTAGGCTCTGTGGTTTAACCCACAGCACCACCTGCGTCCCTATTTTGAGGTCTTAGATATATGTTAAATGTTCATAAGTGTACCAACCAAGCACCTACATAGATCAGCACAGGAAGACCGACCTAGAACCATTTTTGATTCCCAAACTGTCTCAAACTGACCAAATGTTTTCTCTGCAAGGTCAAAGGAAAATGGAAAAGCCTCCCCATTGACTTTTCCTTCACAAATCCTGTCTTAAGGTTTGAATAGGGTGAGCCTGTGACCTGACTCAGGAACTAAGTATTTATCATTACAAAGTATTTATCATTACAAAAGACTGGCCAGGCTTCCCAGGGTATCCAATCAAATAAGCAGGGCATCCAATCAAGTAACCTGCCAGACAGGAGATAAACAACATTCAAATTTCTGTTTTAGACCGCCTTTTCTGTGATGTAGGTATGATGTATGTATCTGGGGTGGTGGTCTTGAGCTACACCCCTTCTGTGATGTATGTATGATGTTTCTGGGGGTGGTCTTGATCTAAAGGTAAAGGTACCCCTGCCCGTACGGGCCAGTCATGTCCGACTCTAGGGTTGTGCGCCCATCTCACTTAAGAGGCCGGGGGCCAGCGCTGTCCGCAGACACTTCCAGGTCACGTGGCCAGCGTGACAAGCTGCATCTGGCGAGCCAGCGCAGCACACGGAAACGCCGTTTACCTTCCCGCTAGTAAGCGGTCCCTATTTGTCTACTTGCACCCGGGGGTGCTTTCGAACTGCTATGTTGGCAGGCGCTGGGACCGAGCAACGGGAGCGCACCCCGCCGCGGGGATTTGAACCGCCGACCTGACGATCAGCAAGTCTTCGGTGCTGAGGTTTTACCCACAGCGCCACTACAGGGTGGCAATTTCAAAAGTCTATATAAGGCCTTGCGCGCCATTGTTCTGGGTTCCTCCTCCCTCCTTCGTGTGGTGAGTGAGGACCCTGTTGCAACAGATCAATAAAGATCAGGCTTACTAGCTGCTTTGCTTCTCAATATTCTCTGGTTGGCCTCTGTTATTTTCTCCTACCAATAGGGAACCTACGTAAGGAGTCTATATGGGGTCTTGGATACCCCATAAGGGGAAAAGGGCAGATTTTTGTTTACAACAGAGCATGGCTGTTGCAGCAGTCCTGGCTACAAACTTCCCAGGCGAATGGTGCCTCTGGGGCTAGCCAGGGGGTGCTTCCCAGGCCCTTGTGGGGCAGTGTGAGGAGGCACCTCTCTTTGCGGTGGGGGACGGCTTAGAGACCAGGAGCAGCAACTGTGGCTGCCCAGAGAACTTCCAAGGAGAAGGGAGAGGAGAGGAGGATGAGGGAACACTCCACAAGGGGAGGGTGTTCGAAAACGGATGAGGGGCTGCCAGCTCTGCAGGCAAGGGGTGACATAACTGGGCTCCCAAGTCCCGCAGGGGTGCCGCAGAAAGAATACAGTTTGGTCAAGGGAGCCATGGACCCCAAAAGGTTGAAAACCTCTGATCTAGGCTACAAATATATTTATTTATTTCATCAGACAGACTTATATACCTCTTGATTGTAGGGGAAAACCTCAAAGCGGTTTACAAAAATGCTTAAACAATATTTTGTTGTAAGAACAGTTACAAAAAATAAAACAATATAGGCAGGGACTTGCAACTTAAGTACGTGTATAGATTTACAAACACATGTAAATATGAGCCATCTTCCAACTATCCAAAGGGCTGCCCCATGGAAGATACAGCAAGCTTGTTGCTGCTCCAGATGGGAGGATCTGAACCAATAGATGCAAAATACAAGAAAGGAAATTCCAGCTGAACATTAGGGGGGGAAACTTTCTGAGGGCAAAAGCTGTTTTGACAGTGGAACATTCCACATATGACCTTGGAAGGTTGTGAACTCTCCCTTCAATGAAGGTTTTAAAGCAGCAGTTGGGTGGCCACCTGTCAGTGATTTATTAGAATTCCTGTATTGCAGGGGGTTGGACTAAATGACCCTTTGGGATCCTTTCAACTCTGTGATACTATATGAAAGAGGAATTTTTAAAAGCACTCAACAGGACCTCAGAGAAGTTTGTTCCGGATCCTGAAAGGTTGCAGTTCCTCATTAAATAAAGCCTACTAATTCTACTATACCTCTTAGGCTTCCAAGCAGTTTATACTTTGCAAACGCCAAGTTACTAAACATTAAAATATAAACAGCCATTACTAAATATTTAAGGCTGGTAGCAGCTCTCCAGGGGTTCATGGAGGAAAGCTTCCCAGACCTTCTGCACGCAAGGCAGATACTCTGTTTCACAGTTGTGATGGGATTATGAGCTGCTTGTGCGTAAAATCGTATTCCCTCAGAGTTTGTTCAAGTCCACAAACCTCTGTCTGTGACTGAGCCCCTCTGACATGGCTCCTCTTAGTCACTAGAAGATTCCGACAGTGGTTGCTTTCGTAATCGCTTCCAACATAAAAGCTCCTTAACGGAAACACGTCTTCTGGACTCTCTGCGTGACAGTTTCCGGCGAGGAGTGGGTGTCGCTACAGGAGGTCCGGGAACCTCACCACTGTTTTCGCTGGAAGTATCTCTGAGCCATCCCCCAGCTCCCTTTCCCTCAGTTCAGCTTCTCTCCCCTGCTGGTTTCCTCTTCAGCTGCTAAGTCTCTTCCAACCTGTCTGAGCCCTTTCACCTCCCTCAGTTCAGCTTCTCTCCCCTGCTGGTTTCCTCTTCAGCTGCTAAGTCTCTTCCAACCTGTCTGAGTCCT